AGAAGGTCTGGGAGACACTACAGGTAGATCTGCAAACTAACAATGACCTGGTAGCCTGCTACAAAGATATTCCATTAACCACATCTGCTGGTGTCTGCAAGGTTGCATCCATTGGCTGTGGTTCCATCAGGTAGATGGGCCCAGTTTTTGACTCATTTTTTTTCTCACTCTTATTTGCTGTTACACTCGACATTTGGCGTAGAAATGACTTCCTCCATAATGAACTGTATAAAAAAATGCTGTAGTAAGCATGAAAGGTGTTTGCATGTATTTGCTTATTTGATTATTTAGTTTGGCAGTCTAATGCTCTCTCTTTGCAATTTAATACGCTAAAATTGAAGTGCCCATGTTTAACCTTTTATCGGCACTGTAATTAATCATTTCTATTCCAAAGGGAAATTTGCAACTCTAAACGAAAATTTATTTAAGAACGAGTTGCACTTCTAGTTGCCCGGAAGGAGCTGGTACCATCGTAGGCATATGCTCTTGTTACGTGTTTGGCTGTTTGGTTATTTTAAGACTATAAATAAACTACTAGAAAACTTGCTGAGGTTATCTTGTTATCTAATCCTGTTATGGCCGGCTTCTTTCATTTAGAACATTTTTATAAACCAGGATTATGATGTTATCTAATTCTGTTATCCGCTGCATTATTTAGCAAGTAAATAGTTTGTGTTTGAATAGTAGATGACTATATTTCATATTACTATGTAAATAACATATTATCAACGATGACAACAAGAGACAGTATCAGATCCTAACAATACACGAGACGCCAGAATTGATTTGATTGCTTAGTTTAATAAGTTCAGAAGAATCAAAGCTGCCATCGCTTCTCCCAACTAGGCGCTGATAGCCATATGGCTCCTTAGAGGTGAATGCTACTATTTGGTTTAAATTGAAATATCGAATCGAAATGTTAATTTTCCTTTGGTTATTAACTCAAAAATTAAATAAAAAATCAAATCAATTTTTGTTTTTTCACTTTTTCGGTTAGGTTCATTTTTTTGGAATTTTTTACTGGTTTAAATCAAAAACTTAATATTATTTTTTTTATCTTTTTTTTAATTTAGAAAATAATGCAAATAAACTAAAAAATGGATACTTTTAACATTACTATAAAAATATGATGGACGGTGGTGTTTTTAGTCTTTTTATTTATTTAAAAAAATTAAAAAACAATGAGAAAAAAGTTTCAAAAAATCAGTTTAAATGAAAAAAATCAAACACTAATTAAGTTTGCATTTGATTTTTTATTTTTATAAAGTTGGTTAATCAAAAACAGAAATGAAATTATTAAAAATCACATTGAAAAACCGAATATCAACCTGTCTTGATCTAGGCCCACTACAGGTCCCTTATGAAGCCCAAGACCAAGCCCAAGTCGTAGCCTGAAGGAATTCGTCTCCCACCATGCCTCAAATTCCAGTTATTGTCATCGTTTAGAATAGCTCAACCTCTATTTGTTATTTATTTCCTTTAAGATCAAGCAACTATTAGTCTATTCCAAGTCAGAATATGACGGCACGTTAGAATTTGATTCTCCTATTTTATCATTAATTACCGTTGTAATAAGTCCTAATGTTTATATATGTAATTTAATATTTTTTTTAAGAAATAAAAAAATATTAATTAAAAAATTCAGAAGATTAATAAAAAATAATATTTTTTTGAGATAAAATATATTAAGTTAATCGAAATCAATACTAATATAGAAACTAAATAATTAGTCGTTAAAATAAAATAAAAAACTAAGAAATTCTTTTCTGGAAGGAGGAACTAATTTATAATTTTTTTATACATACAAAATGTAAAACGACAGATAATTTATTACACATTATCCGAAAAACATTATGTCTAAATTACATTTTTTATTTTTTTATTTGAATATACTCCAATTATATCCAGTAAAAAACTTGAGGCAATGTGAGGGTCCGTGACTAGTTATTATTAAATTCATAGGAGCTAAAATATGGTTTAGTAATTAGTGGTAAATAAAAAGAGCCACGTATACAACGCGTGACGTCCAATAAGTTCAACTTAGCCGTAATAAAAGAAGCGTGATAAAGTTCCTCAACTAAAGCAATCCCAACCGCTCAAAACCTAATCCAACGAATCCACTTTCCTACACGTGTCATCAAGTTACTCTTCTAAAAAAACTTCTCTCCACGCGCTCAGTTACTTTGAAAAGTCCTAAATCATTCCCGTGCCGTTCCCGAATCGGCATCAGCGGTGCTCCTTTTCGCTTTTGCAGTATTTGTTATTTTTTATTCACAAAAACGCAAACACAAAACATTGAAACAAAACCAAACCCACTCATTATTTATTTTTTATTCGAAGAAGAAAGAAAGAAAATTTTTGCACTATTGAATAGATCTGATTCTTACGAAGGTTAGTTTTTCACTCATTATTCTCTCTCTCTCTGTTTATGAATTTCCTTCAGCAATGCAGTAGAATAGGAGAATTTCGATGGTGATTTTGCTATTAAATTTAGTATTAGTATAAAGGTTTTTTTTTTTAAAAAAAAATTTAGGGTTTGATGGGTGAGAATTGTAGAGAATGTAGTGAAATAACTAAATTGTGTGGATCGGGTAGTCGAATGGGTAACAGTGAATCGGATTTCCGTTTTGCTACAATTCGGACAGAATTGGAAGTACATTGATTCGACTCCGTTTAAAATTTTAGTTATAGTTTTTCTTTTTCATAGTACATTGATTAGGCTTAGGATAGGATGTGTTTTTTTATTGAATGGACTATGCATGATGTTATGAATAGCAGCATGCATTGCGTTTGAATAATTACTTGTTTTTCAGATATGGTAGTTAATTGAGTAAAACTATGTAGATGAATACTATGAAGATTAGACTTTAATACTCCCGTTTTAGTTGATATTTTATTATGTGTCACACTATAGCATGATTGTCAACCTCGTTCGAAACATTTCACAAATCTGGCAACTTGATGGGGCATGTTGGCAGCAGCCCCCAATGGTTAAGAATAATTCCAATGCTCAAGTACTGATTTGGCACATGGCTAATGATGGAAAACTTAATTGGGAACTTGAGCAGTTGATAAGAGTACATTTCAGATCTGCCGGAAAATCTGGAAATTACAATATTTTATTTCTGTTTTAAATATTTTGTTTTCTTAATCATAAAGTTATTAGGTTTTCCTATACTAAAATACGAATAGTTATGTTGTACGTTTAGGTGTTCATGTCCTGGTAGGATTTGGGCATCTACAAATCTATAAATATAGCATGTAGTATTTCAATATTTTTCAATGCATTAATATCAAAAATTTCTAGCAATTTGCTTTGATTGTGCGACTCAATCCCCACTTAGTTGTGACTCTTAAGAACCCTAGGTGTGACTTCTAGAAATCTATTCCACGTACTTCCTCATAATTAACAAGAAATCTACATCAACACAGCCCTTAATTGGCCTCTGAAACTTAGATTCAGAACAGCCCTTAAGCTGCCTTGCATCACAACTTCTCCCTCGTGTGTTGCAACTGTTTCGTTGTTGTTCAATTTGTGATTTGTTTGTGATATCTTTTCTTGATAATAGACAGGTGCATCGCTTTCATCTTTTGAAGCAATAAATGTAACTTTGAGAAACCTAGTGGCAGTAAGTATTGTCATACTTAAAAGCATGGATACTGTTTAACGCTTTACTGATTTGAAATTTTGATCTCCTTTTAGGCAGATTTGAATTTGGTTTGTTTAAATCTAAGAAGATGTACCATGTAGTATGAGATCACACTTGGATGTTGACATATTGGAAACCTTGAAATGTAGGAAAATGGAAAGATCACTGTCTAGCAAATTTGGATGATCGATTTGTAAAATAGCTCGTTTGATGTCCAGCACGTTATAAATTCACTTACCTTTGGGACCTCTTTTTTTGGATTTGTAATAGTGAAGACAGCTTTGTTGTGAATGCTTTAAAGTTGCCTCCGTACTTCTCAAGTCCTCGTGGGATGTTTTACATTTAATTCGTTTCCATGTATTTGTATTACTGTTGCCAATACCGTCAATTTTGCTAAGAATTTAATAAGAAAACTGCCTTAGCAATTTTTTCTTTGTAAATTGATTAAAGATCCACGTAATTATTTCAGTTTGTCTGGTTGTGGTGTATGAATTCAGTATCAGCATCATCTAATAGGATGCTTTCTAGTTTTAGTTTCACTAACTGGATTGGCTATAGATGCAGATCCCTATTTATGTAGGCTATTAAAACAAAAAGAAGTAGGCTTGTAGGCTTGAGAAGTTTAGAAAAACTTAAAGTTTGCGAACTTGCGGTGCTCAGTTGGATCCCCAATAATTTACTAAAGCAGAGCAACTTCTGGATGTAGAGAAAAAAAAATTGCATTTTTTTCACCCCCTAAAATGGTTAATGATTGTTCCCTAATTTCTCTGGGCTGAAGACACCACGCTTCAATTATTTTTACTAGCATCTGCCCCTGCAGTTATTATACTGAATATTTCATCCATGGATGGTAATTAGAAAGAGTATCCACCATGTATACATATAGTATCTGGATATGCCAGAGGACCTCTATTTTGCTTTTGAATCTACTTCTGTGCATATACATATAGGTCTTAAAAGAAAGTTCACTGTCTCCTCTTTCTCTTGTTGTGAATATAATTCTCTACATGCTTTTCTTTACTTTTAAATGTGCCAACCGCTAACATCTCAGTGGTAAATTTGCAACTGCGCTGCTACTAAACTGTTTGGGCCTAAAAGTTAAAAAAAGAAGGAAAATTGTAGTTTTGCATTAGATTAAACTGAGAGAAGATTGGGCACCAGAGGAGTGATGGCTTATCAGGGACAAGATCTACTTACTCAGTGTTTTCTTTCACTTCTTTTTTATTTTTCATTGCAAGGTTCATTGTCTCATCTCTTATAACCCAATACTGCAGGTTATGATCTCTTCAATATTCTAGCAGAAAGCGTATCAGTTGAATTATCATACACTTTGTGCATATACATTGAAGAATGGCAGAAGGCATATCGAGCTTTTGGGGGCCTGTAACATCCGCAGAATGGTGTGAAAAAAATTATGTCCATTCATCCTATATTGCCGAGTTTTTCAACACCATATCAAATATCCCAGGCATTCTTTTGGCACTCATCGGCCTTATAAATGCTTTCAGACAACGGTTTGAGAAAAGGTTTAGCGTACTTCACATATCTAATATGATACTCACCATTGGAAGTATGCTATACCATGCCTCTTTGCAATGCATGTAAGTACTATTTTTGTATTCTCCCTCTCTTTCTTCTCAACTGCTTCATTAATTATTTGGACGGTTAGCAGCTCTTGTACATTGCCCATGGAACTAATTGGTGTCTAGTTGGATAAAATTCATAAAAAAGCTCTGGTTTTGAATCTATGGCATACAATTCTGTAAGATGTTAGACTGTTTCATGCACAAAAATTGTCCTAGATGTTTAAGTCTCTATAAGTTGATTTTAATTCCATGCATAGCAGACATTTAACCTTTAACCTTTTGGACCTTCTAAAGAGAAAATATGCAATCCTTTGCCTACGGCTCCTGTTGAGAGAGTGCGGGAGGGAGACGAATTACTCCTAAGCTGTACTTTTTTTATGTTTTTTCCATTATAGACTTTGTGTAGATTGACAGTTTTTTATTGGGTTTCGTCCCCTTGGTGCTTTCACTGATTTCTCACACAATCATTGGAAATTTACTTTCAAGAATGTTCGTATTAGTGCAAAAAGGTGATTATGCTTTTCGAGCTCAAGCAAAAGAATGAGGATCGATAAATTAATGCCCCTTGATTTTTAACCTTGAAGTTCTCACTATATTGTTTTCATCAAGAGGGATCGTATTATGCTTTGAATTCCCCCCCCTCCTTTTGCAGTTTTCTTCTCTTTATAAGACATAGGAACTAGCACACATGCTTTGAGGCTTCTTTATTTGTTGAATGGGACTCAGATGAAAATTTTGCTCATTAAGTACTTTGAAAGAATCAGAACTCCAATTAACTGTATTTTTCTAGGTCCGTGTGGTTCAACAGCAAGAAGTTGCCGTTAGGACTTAGGCCCTAACTTAGTGCTTCCCAATCTTCTCTGTCTTTTTTCCTGTGTGTTGCCCTATTAGCTGATTGTTTTTTTTTTTTCAAAAAAAAAAAGGAAAAATACTTATCTATCCTACCTCATATTCATCCCTGTACTTGGTAACTCTATGGAAGTGCTTGACCGATCAATAAAAGGGAGGAAGTTGGTTACTTGGTATTTGAACTGGTTCTAAAATTGAGAGACATGGAAGTTATGTATCGAGTATGCCAATGACTGAGTGGGACATTGTATTGGATGTGTGATGTGCTTTGCTAGAATTCTATTGGGGTGGTTCTGCAGGTTGCAGCTAAATTTGATGAGGTGCTGGTGCTAATGATTTAAGGAAGTGTTTCAATGCAAGTTGGCCCTATCTTATTTTAGTCCCTTAATTGCCAATGAATGCCCCAGAATTGCAAAAACTTTGAAGTTCCTAATTTGTCCTGCATTTGCTTTTAAAAAAAAAGTTATATGTTATCGGGGATTTGTTTTATTTATTATTATTATTTTTTTATAAGAATTATCCGGGAATTAGTTCATTGCATCTAGTCTACATCCATTTTCCTGCTTCTCTAGCTTTGAGAGTAATATGGGTTTGTAGTATGTGTTCCCCTTTGGAAAATGTTGGGGCTCATTATCTGTATTTTGATATGTTAGAATTCATTCCTAAATCATGTCTACTTGTATTACAATGCGTACCATGTTTTGTTTGGTGATTTATTCATCATGTTGATTAAGGAGTTGATACGTTTTATTTATCTTCAGGCAGCAGCAAGGTGATGAAACACCAATGGTGTGGGAAATGCTTTTGTATTTCTACATCCTCTACTCACCGGATTGGCACTACCGAAGTACAATGCCCATCTTCTTGTTCTTGTACGGAGCTGCATTTGCGATTGCCCATGCATGGGTCCATTTTGGAATTGGCTTCAAGGTACATTATGCGATACTTTGCCTTCTTTGTGTTCCCCGGATGTACAAATACTACATCTACACAAATGATGCATCTGCAAAGCGGCTCGCAAAACTATATTTGGCTACCATTTTCACAGGAAGTCTTTGTTGGCTTTTTGATCGCCTTTTCTGCAACGACATTTCTCGGTGGTACTTCAACCCCGAGGGACATGCTTTATGGCATGTCTTGATGGGGTTCAATTCATACTTTGCAAACACTTTCCTGATGTTTTGTCGTGCTCAGCAGTTGGGTTGGAATCCAGAAGTTGCCCACTTCATGGGATTTTTCCCATACGTGAAGATTCAAAAACCGAAGACCCAGTGACAGGCGCTGCAAAGCAAATGGCATCTTGTTTTCCTTTTCGCCTAATTTGGAGGCAGAGATATATATGGTTTTGGCAGATTAACAAACAATAGCAACACAATTCTTTTCTCCTTCATTTTCTAAATGGTTGTAAATGATAGTTGAATATTCTGACATCATTAGTTGGATTTTGTCATTTTTGGTTAATTTAAGTTGTATAATTAGCAGTTTTGCTCTGACGAAAATTTGCTTGGAGGGCACCCTATAATTTTCCGGCATGACAAAGGTTTCCATTCGTAGCCTAAAATTGTAAATTGGCTTATTTGTTATCCTCCCATTAATCTTAGTCAGTAAACATTCTGATTATGAGAAGTTTCTGGAAAGATTACCTGTCTAATTCATTAATTTGCTGCATTTTTATTTTTATTGTTTTCATGTACGCTACAAACTATGTTCTTAGAATTGAATTCAAATTCCCTCTGTTCCTTTCACATATTGTTGATTTTATTTTCTTTTTCAATTTAAAAATATGTTTTCTTTCATTTTTTATTTTCTTGAAAAGTAATAGCACCGGAAAACTGTACAGAGGACTCTGTTAGTTTCTCGGAGCAAGAGGAAGATGCAGCCATGGATGAATGCCCATGTAATATAATGCAACATGAAATTTTACACCACAAGCCACCTCTTGGAGAGTTCCTTCCTCTATAAATGGTGATAAGAAGAAATGAGAATGGTCTCCAAATTTGAAATTGGATAAACCCTAATGGCCTCTTAATGAAGAGGTCCTAAGTTCATATTTGACATGCTACCTCCCTGTTCCTCCCTTTTAATGCAGGTTTAGAATCCCCCCTCGCTCTCCATTTACTGATTCCAGTGACGATATCAACTTGGCAGAGGAAATGGAAACAATCCATTCTTGAAATTTAGAAATGCAAACCATTGGGCATTATTTTTGAACTTCTGTAACAGCAGAATAGGGACTGATATCGAAAGGTCAACCACACATTTGTTCAAACAAAAACATAGTTGAAACATGACAGGTAGCAGACCATAATTCAAAGTAGTTTTGTAACTCAGGGTGACGAACAATAATTTCTCATTTTCTAAGCAAGCGACATTCGCCAATGATGACAGACAAACTTCAATTCCAACCATGATGGAGCCACATCAAAGGTGAAGTTTCGATTGGACAAAGCTCTTGTTATTTTTAGGTCAAATTCTACGGCCAAACTATTTTATCCAGAGGCAATAAAACAGATGCAAAATTTGAAAACAAGAGGGAATCAAAGTCGTATGCAGTCAACTACGGCTTCCATTATCATCTTCTCCAAGTCACCCTCCTCAACCCACATTGAACTCTGTTTGTGTATGCGTTCATACTTCTTTTTCTTCTTCTCTTGCTGAATCTTTTCTTTCATCCTCCAATTCTCAAGCTTTTCAGCTCTTTCTTTCATCTGCATTATAATGATCAAATCACATCAGTAATGCAGTGAAAGGCAGCTTGTCCAAGTAAACCTTTGATGCTATCCAAATGGTATTTAAAAAATATATGCACTTAAGGAACAAGTGCACATGCAGACACAAATACACCTATGCACAAGTGCACACCGAAAAACTCAGGCACAGACTGCTGCAAACCACCCCCTACAATGGTAGCAAAATAACAGAACTCCATAAATAAACCAAAAAAGGGAAAAAAAATTCATCGAAGTTCCTTCAAACTCCTATCGTCAGTATCCATTCCAAGTTTCCAATTGTCTTGCCAATACTCTGAACAAGCAACCTTCATATTTTACCAGAAAAAGAGTTCACATACAAGCACGTGTATGAACAAACCACAGACACACACCCAAGTACACCAGCACAACCATCATAAAAGGGAAGCACTGCATAAGGAAACAACAGAAAAATTTCAATCAAATTCTTTCACCCACCGCATAGTTATTATAGTGTTCGTTAAACTGTCGTGCCAACACAATTCATGAAACCTTCATAGTTTACAAAAATGAAAGTTCAGAGATTTGCATTTCTCTCTCTCTCTCTCTCTCTCTCTATCTGTCTAACTATCTTCATCATGCACAAACATAAACACAGCATTGAATAATAACTTCAAAGTATAGTAGCATAAAAAAAAACCAATATCCAAGTAGAAAGTCTAAAAACTTGGCAGGAATGAGTATCTGGTTATTTAGAGACTTTACAGTTTCAGAAACGCACTCTATCACCATATAAACCAGCATATGTGTATACCAAAAAGCATCTCCTCCATTCCTCCACCAAATTGATTAAAGTCCTTAACCTGGCTTACATAGTTCTAACTTGTGAACAGTATTCATGACCTTAGCAATCTCCTGTTTACCATCACTAATCCTGCTTTTGATCCCATAACCAATTAAAAGCACATGGCATAAGACCAATCATAAAAACATATTTCATTTGAAAACCCAAAATTACTAAAACCTGCAAAATCCTAATCAGCAATAACAAATTAAAAAAAAAAAAAAGATTAGATTTTCCTTAGAGGACATCAAATGTTAGATTTTTTTTTGGCAAAGCCAAGGGGAAAAAAAAAAAACAACCTAAAACCAGTGAAACCACATCAAACAGTCTTAATCAAAACAAAATTTCTATTCAATTCTTTCAACCCATCAATACAAAAAAACCCATTATTACTTTTACAAATGCAATCAATAATTAAACATCAAAACCAAAACACCTAAACACACAAAGATTCAATATTTTCAAAAGGACATTATCAGAACTTATGGAAACTCCAATCAATCAATCGAACTAAACAAAAGAACCAACATTTATTTAAACCTTAAAAAACAATCAATAATAAAATGGACATAATTAGAACTTATCGAAAATCCTACCAATCAATCGAACTAAGCAAAAGAACCAACATTTATTTAAACCTTAAAGAACAATCAATAATAAAATATCAAAAAACACAAATGTTCATTCTTTTTTCTTTTTTTTTTAATTAAAAAATAAATAAACATTACCAGAAGCTTTTGAAACTCCTCTTGTTCAACCTTCCTCTCTTCAGCTCTAGCTTTAGCAGCTTCAGCTTTCAATTTCTTCCGCTCTTCATTAGCAACTCTAATAGCTTCTTTTCTAGCCTCTTCTTTCCTTTGTTTCTCTATACGCATAGCTACAACTTCCACTAAATATTCCTTTCTCAATTCCTTCACTTGCTTTGCATATTCTCTTCTTAATCTTGCTAGTTTTGCCTCAGCTTCTTTTGGGTTTTTTGGTTTCTCCCAGCTTCCAACAAAGGAGTTCGTTTCTAAAAACTCGTGGGTATTTTGATGGTTGTTTTTTAGAGCGGCGTTTGTCGAGAATAAACGACGGGTAGTGCGGAGTAGGGAGCGAGACGCGGTGGTCGTCGCGGCCATTTCTCAGGGAGAGAGGGTTGGGGTTTTAGAGTTTTGACAGAGGAAAGACGGAAAGGTGGGGTTGTTATTGTTTTTATAACTGGGCTGGGCTTCAGTTTAGGCTGTTTACAAATTATTGAATGCGTGGGCCTTCGGAAAATAAGTAGTGTAGATTTGGTATTTAAAATTGATTTTTTTTTCTTTTAATTTATACCTTAAGAGCATATGATTTTTTTTTTAAAAAAAAAGATCAAGAGTTTTAATTTGTTTGCTTTGATGATAAAAATAAAAAAGCATGTAGGTTTCTTCTATGCTCTCTGTCAGCAATAGAGAATTTATGCCTACATTTAATGACGTAACGAAAATTTACAAAAAGAAATAAATACGTTAATCCGAAATCCAGGATACATGTCTACTATAATATATTGAATTATATGTAAATACCAAGAAGTAGATTTCAATTTCATTGATTCAAAGAATGCCAAAAATTGAAATAAAATTGAGATGCTCTCTCGTAGAATTTTATTAGCCAAGAAAAGTCTCGTTTTTTGCCTTTAAGCCATACATAAATAGGAAAAAATCCACAAAACCCTAAACCAACTCAAAAGAGAAACAAGTACAAAAATAAAAAAAAATAGAAAAAATCCAAAAAATATTAAAAGTCGATTTTAAGGGCCTAAATGGTTTCTTTTGACCAAAATCACTCCTACATTATAGGCATAGTAGATGAGTTTTACTCGTTGACCCGTTTGGCATTGAATTAGGGTAAAAAAAACTTTAAAATTGAACTAACAGTTTTATTTTTAGCTCCTGTCGTGTTCGTACCGTTTCATAAATTCCAAGACCTATTAGTCTGCATCATCTAAGATCTTAAATTTAAAGATTATGAATATACTGAATTTATTATGTGAAAGTCTAGTTATGAATATACTGCAATGCATTCACTTTCTGACAAATGCACGAAATAATTCAATAGACATGTTCTGTCTGGATACGTCAATACATGAACGAAGTATGGAAAAAAAAAAAAATCAGTTCACGAATCTTTTAAAATTTAAATGTCAAGAGTGATAATTTCATAATAATAATACGAGGATTGTGTGAGATTTGGTGCAGGTGCAGAGGATGGGAGTAAATTATGAATTTAGCTTCTTTTGTTTCAAAAATTATTGATTTAGTCTTAAACAAGCCTTTAATTTTATATTATTTTATTTATAAAAATAAAAAATAAAATCATTTTTTTCATTAATTTTTTCATATTCTTTTACTTTTTCTATTTTTTAAATTAAAAAATGAAAATAAATTGAAAAATAAAAAAAGTTACAAGAAAAATAAAAAATAATTAGTATTCGACCCAAGAGAAACCAATTAATTTCATTTATGGAAACTAGAGAAATTAATTTATAATTTACTCCACAGATATCATTCACTATCAAGGAATTAGAATAGTTGTATTGTTGAATCACTGTCATGGTACAAAATCTGTACCGTACAGCCTTGTTGCTCCAAAAACGAAACTTGTAATGAGTACTGGGAAGGATAATTACACTGCCTTCAGAAGTTTAAAAGAAACCTGTGTACATAACTTATCTCTACTCTGTGAATACACTTCAATTTCCAGCTATCGGCATCAGCTTGGAAAGCCCATGCCCTCTTCTCCAAATTATTGTGTTCCTCTGGCAATAGATTCTACTGCTCAGTTATTTTCCTTTGACGATGATAAAAATCGCAGAAACAATGCATCGATCCTGTTGGAGTTAGTATTTTGTATCCCAAGTCTCAAGTCTCAACCATTTCAAGAAAACTCCGCAGGCAAGCCTTGATCGACCGCTATCTTGAAATTTGAATCCCAGGCAATGGAGCAGAAATCATGTCAATTTGGGGCTCAATGGTCGCAAATCAAGTCAGCAGAGAAACATCCTCCCATGTCTCAGAGACGGAGGGCATCAGAACAACTAATCGGAGCTTCCCTAATTGGCATTGTCTTACAGGATTTCTGAATGTTGTGACCCTTGCTTTATTATTACCTAGAAGTACATGAAGAATGCTAAAAGATTCACCCTTTTCAACTGCGAATTTCCACTCTCTAAATGATATTTCGAACCAGTTCTTCACACCAGATCTTGTTGCTTTGACTTCAACGTACTCTGTACTACTTCCCACTTCTATAACCATGTCATAGGGTAACCCCGTCTCATGATCTTGATTAACCCACTTCACGACTCCACCAAATTTTCCTGTCAAATAGTTGAAAGCAACTTGCTCCCCGTCTTTCCCAGTAAGCATTGCTTGTATTGCATCAGCTGTCCCAGGACGAAGCTGACCTGTCCTGAAAATTTTGGAGGGACCCAATTCAGGGCCATTGAACTTGGGAGTCTGGGTGTCCACATTATCAGACTCTGGCAACTCATCTGCATTGTTTTCAATGGTGAAATCCACATCGTTCTTAACTGGAACCACGTTAACTGTTTCTATGACAATCTGCTCGTCATTTATGCTATGTCGGCTGTTATGAAAATCCGGTGCAGTTTTCCAGTCTGCAGGTGGCCAATATGAACCAACACTGGCTTTCAACTTGAATTTTGAGGGTTTCTGTTCATTTATTGCTCTTGGAGAAACATCTATTTGAAGTGATTCATCATTCTTCGTCAAAGACTGAGGCGAGGAAAGTAACCAAACAGATTCGTCATCAGGAAGCTTTGCCACTTTCTGGCTGTTCAGAATGAAGAATTCTGTTTGCTCCTCTGTGGAACCAGATTCAGCCATGGTTGTGATCATATGAAGGAAATTTGCCAAGTGTAATTCTGGAGTTCCGTCAAAGAATAAACGAGAAAGCTCCAAAAACAAAGCATGTGAATCAGATTCCAACCTTGTGTACAAAGTATTACCCTGAAAAATTATAATTGAAAGGGAATGGGTCATAATTATTGTTTGCGTTTCCAAAATCATGATGCATATAATGTGAAGAGGTCTTGTATATCCTCAAGACCTTGCATATTGAAATTGACAACAAAGTTCCTATGAACTTTGGTAACTTATACAATCCTAATTTCACATAAATCTTGCCATCAGTTTATCAGCACTAGTCATCTGCACATAACTGAGAAATGACACAAGTAGAATAAGCAATACCATTCCATACCTCCAGAAGACAGCTACATTGTTCTTTCCTCATAGAAACAATGTGACATTTTTTTATGGCATAGTGGTAGGATAACTTTTCAACAGCTATAACCTGCAGTTGCTTTAGATTATTGAATCCAGACTGCTTGAGTTGAGAATATTTATTGGGGTGTGTGCTATAGATGTATCGCTGAGCATAAGGAAGAGCCCAGTTAATCAATGAAGCTTTGAAGCTAGAGTCTGCTGGACCATCGTATATTGCCTTACGAGTTACAACCTGCATGAAGAAATAGAACAGGATGAGAACAGGAAATGATGAAGACTTCCCCAAATGGGCCTTTATATAAGGAGATTTTAGACCGAAACAATCCTGCAACCCTGCCTTTGATTTCACAGGGAACAAGAATATAAAAATGCTTTCCATCAAACCATAAAAAACTGTATTTTCAAAATCAGTTCCAGTAGTGAGAAAGGGAAAGGGAAAGGTTGACAGCTTGACGTTTTGAAATTTGGTACATGCATCAAATTCCTTTTCTTTGTGTGTTGAGCCTGTTGACATAAAGATTTATCCATGATTTCTGTGTGTCACATATGGAGCTGGGGGCAGCAATTATACACTATTATTATTAAATGAAGCATAAACGGTACACCAATGAAAGAAGGCCTGTCAGAATGCATGACTGTTATTCGAACCACTTGAGATATTGTTCAATTATAAACAATTTATGCTTTCATAAGTTGGTGTATGCTGTATACCACACCCACTGAAAAATAAGTTGGTGGATAGCATGTAAAGACAAACATTATATGCATACATTGAAGAAATGGCAATACTTTAAATAAAACATTCTGAGCATTTGCCAAATCACATAGAAATTAGTGAAAGTACTATGGAGATAATCCTAAGATAACATGCAAAATCATTGTTGAATCAGAATTTTATAATTAATTAATTTCAAGGACATTCTGCGGTTCTCTTTTGGTGAGTCAACATGTTCAGTTAACTGGCATAACCCCAGGCCTAAGTTGACAAGTTTCAATCAATGATTGTGAAAATAATTCAATCGAAAAGGCAAAGGCAAACAGTGTAGAAGTGCTTACCTCTGAGAGAGCTGGTATACCCAAGTTTTGCAGGAGGAGAGAGACTTGAGTTTTAAGCATCTCTCGCTCACTGCCACTCAGACTGCCAAAGTACAAGAAATCTATATTATCAAAATTCTTAAATATCTTCTGTAAGTTCTTATCATCGGACCAGCATACCAGACCAAAAGAAGGGTCCAAAGAAACCCATTTATCTTGTGCTGTAGGAAGTACAGTATAGTCCAATTTTGTCAGACATTCTTTCAAGTGAATAACATCTTCTGAATTTAAAGATCCAGATTTCAGTCCCTCAGCCCACATCAACAAGACTTTGAAAACCTATGGCACACAAAGGAAACACTTAGATTGCAGCACAGCATTATCAGTTTAAGGTCAAATTATTTCCCAAGTTAGGAACTTACTGTACTAGCAGCTTGTGAAGGCAAAACAGCAATTGATAACTGCAGCAAAATATCAAGATAGCTAAGGTAAGTAGGGATTTCAGATACTCCACACTCATTAACAAAAAAGTCACGAAGGCCTGGATAAACATTGCACAATGTCTTGCTCAACGGGCACTGTGTAACACTTGTTGACCCACCCTGAGGATGGATCTCCTTCATCCTGTCCATAGAGCCAGTTGGATCATGCCAATATACATCTTCAGCAGACAAAAATACACCAGGTACCAAATCCTCATGCCTAGAACCAGATTTACATGGAACAAAAATAAATGGTCCCGAACGGAATGCTTCTGAAACTTTGTTCCTTGAAGAAGATATTTCATCCCAGATAAATGTGTATAATTTTGACATTTGTGCTATGCTGTAGAAGAAAAATTGTTAACTGTCATTTAAATAAGTAAGATCAAAGAAAAAGCTAACAAACAACAGACAGAATGTGGAATTATCCATATGGCATCTATGGAAAATATTGGATTTTTTTTTTTTTTTTTTTAATTGTAGAGATGAGCAAGAAAATGAAGATATGGTTGACTTAATTGGGATATATTCAGAACCGAGCAGAATCCCAAACGAGGTTTTGCACAGGCTGCCCCAGTTAGCAGGTTGAATTTACAAAACCATAAGCTCCATAAAACAATGAAATATTTATAGACACCATTTAAAATTGTGAGTACACATATTAATGATAAATATCATGTCTTACACAACTCATGGGCCAAGTGACCAACTACCAGAACAAAAGTGCAGCAGTACCTGGCTTTGAAAGAGGTCTCAGATTTCCTCCACACTCCTACAATTTCCAGAGCATCATCAATAGTGACTTCAGTCTTCAAGCCAAGCTCACTCGATAACTTTCTGCTGCTCACCTGTTACAAAAGGAATTTAGTGGACATATCAGATTACGAAGATGCAGCCTCAACATATAACAATTCAGAAGTTGTATCAGCTGTATTACACCAATAACTGCAAGTTCTCACATCTGACACCATGGGATGTTTGTTCCAATCTACCATGAACCTTCACCCAATGAAGAGGAGTCCACTGTCAAAACCATCCGACTAGCAAACCCCCCCCCCCCCCCCCAACAAAAACCTCCCCTTCCTTTCAGGGGCAGGAAATAAAACAAAACAAACAAAGAAGACTAACATAAGGGACTACCATTTGCAGAAACACAGATTTCATATGGAATTTGACAATGACACAACTTCACTGCATATAGCAATCTCACAAACATGCGCACCTGACCATCTATTTTGTTTTGATGTCACTTTACAACACACATCAATTGCAAAACCTTTGATAGGTGGTATTCTTTTACTGCTTATAATCAATGTGTATGTCATGACAGATGAAAAGAGGGAGAATCAAAAGAAAACTGCGTTTTTGTAATTCTACTTCCTATAAATATTGCAGGTAATATATTGGGATTAAAGTGGGAGTGAGAACTATTTAAATTATGACTTCATATGCTGTCAAGAACATCGATCTAACCTTTGGAAGAGCATATGGAGCAGCAGCACCCAGGATAGAGCGTACTGCATCACAATCATAAAATAAATCTTTAGGGTAGTGAAGTTCATTGTCCATGCTGGAAACTACCCACTGAAAATCACAGATTTTGCTTATAAAGGAAGACTTGAAGGCTCTCCTATTATTGCTGGACTTTAAATCATAGTAACTGGTAGCTTTGTGACTAAAGTTATCATCCCATAGCATGTCAAGAACCTCCAAGAGATATTTACAGCGTTCTCCATCACCACTTGTGGACAAAATAGACAATAAATGCACCAACTCACTAGATTCCCAATCTTTTGCTGTTAATCCAGGGGGAAACAGTTCTGTATCCCATGCCATATTATTTGGAACAGAATGACATAAATCAGCAACACTCTTTTCAATCTGAATAACTCGCACAAAGTCTGTAACGCCAATTTCCTGCAAAAATTCCCTCCACTTCATCAATCCATTTGAGAGGGATTTATTTGCTGGATGCTTCAGATAGCTAATATCCACCTCATGCCATCTCATATCCACCATATTAATTAACTTATTCATATCAATAGGATTCCCAAATTCTCTACTGAAATGAATTGACGTCTCAACAGGCCTTCTATATCCATGATTTGTCAATATATAAGCTTTATTTTGCAACTCATAGATAAGGTGCTTCCTTTCATCACAACAATTAGAGCAGCCAGATTGTAGGTGGATCATTATAAAGCACAGATAATCTATCATTAAATCCTTGTCCCTGTCTGTGATTCTGTCATCAGAGATAGCTTGCAAAATATGAACCTTAATAATTTCATGTGCAGACAGTTCTTGCACACCAATTCTATGAAGCATCCTAGCAACATTGTCAACTAAAGTCCCATCTACAGCTGATGCAGAAAGAAGGGCTGGGTTTACAATCTGAAGTTTGGCATTCAATTTCGGAAAAGCCTCAAGTCTATGCACACGATCAAACCCAGTGGTTAAGGTATCAGAGTGTAACCAAATTGTACCAACATCCACTGAGCTGTACGTTCCATCTGAAAGGGGAATAAATGGAATATGTCGAAGGTCATCTATGAGATCAGTTTGCCCAGAAAATCGAGATAAAATTGCATAGAGGGTGTTTAGCCATGACGATAACCAACCCAAGCCCATCAACTTCAATCCATTCTCTGTGCGACATAAATGGGACATAAATTTAATTAAAGTTTCAGGCCCATACTCCATGATACCCAGTGCCCTTGCAAGTGAATCAGACAAAACTATATTCTTGTCCAAGAATCCAAGGCCCAGGTACTCTTGAAGCAAGCTATCAGGTAGAAGATTCCGAGCCTGCTCATCCCAACCTCTCAGAACACTGCAAGGAGGAACCATTTTACTCCTGTCTCCTTCAAGAAGCAGGCAGCTTGTTCTTCGTAATTCTAAAGCAATTGCTTTAGGAAGGCCAGAAAAGAAACCGTGCACCTCCCCAACAAGTGGAACGAAGCTCATATAAGCTGCCACAGCTTTGCCTGGGTTCTCCCTAAAACAAGAGAGAGCACAAAAAGATCTCTCTGCACTAACAAACAAACCAGGAAACTTTGTCAACAACCATTCATTCCAGGGATTATTCTTGTCCACTTCCTCTCTCGATGAAGGCAGAATAAAGTCACCTTGAAGAATAAATTTCAGACCATAAGTTCTTAGAGGAAGAAAAGCAAAAACAGGCTGTTGGTCCAAACGTGGATTATACTCCCCATTATCTGATTCCTCGAGTGTAAATGCTATGGCAATTTCAGTTCTTTGCACTTTAGGACGACTAGCATGTGCCTCCAACTTCTGCGATGCTACAAGCCAGGACATTTTATCTTTCCCACATGAAACCTTTACAATACCATCTTCCAAAATTTCTTTCCGCATGATGATGAGTGAATCATTGAGCATGTTTCGGAACATGATACATTGGAGGCGCTGAAGGAAAAGAAGCAGAGAAGGATGAAGATCTGAAAACATTTTCATTGCAGTTTCTTCTGATTTTGACCGGAAAGGAAGCACAATACAAGTATTCCAACTGTTACTAGTCATTTGATCAGGGTGTATAGCCGCCAGATGACTGAAAAAGTTGATATCGCAAGGAGGCACAACTGTTGGCAAAACAAAACCAATCTGACCCTCACCTATGTCAAACTTGATATGAAATCCATTGGAATGAATCTCCGGAGCATCCGTGATCTACATAAAGACCAAATGATCAAAAAGGAAAATTATTAATAACAGATGCCATATAGCCTTTCTATAAATGTCCTTGTGTGATCTTAAATCTTATGGCTAGTGTAAGACTAGATTCCATGCCAACAGAAGTAAAATTCTTATCAGCTAACACTTTAATCACTTCTACTCAATAACAAGACATTAATAAAGAGATTTTCTGGTCACAAAAGCAATTATATTTACCCATTTAGGTCTTCAGAATTAAAAGGTTTCCTATGCATTTATGCCAAACAACTACAGTGATTATTTTCAAACATGTTACTGATCACAATTAGATTACAAGTTCGTTTTTTGTATAAACAGAGAGGCAACTATGATCCAGTAACATTTTATTGTTTTCTATTTGCAAAAACTCAAAATACATAACCAAACCTCAATCCTTTTATGTGAGTTGCCATGTTAGGGTGCTAGATTTGAAATCCAAATAAAACACTTGTTGAGTTCGTTTCAGTCCATATATTACCGCTATTAGGTATAAGGTTCATTAACCAAGAAAGTGACTGGAACATCCAAGCCACAAAGTACTCGGAACATCCTTGCTGCATTCCAACAGCCATCAAACCAACACAAAAGGAAAATTTTGCCATTGTTGTAAGGGACAATCATATGGTCATAGTTAGTAATATAGACAAGTCCACAAGATATTTTGTAATTTCAATATACAGTGATGATGCCTTATTCTAAGAGAAAATTGTTATTATTTTGAAAGCATTTTCACAAAGAAACTAAAATGTCAAATAAAAAGCCCTTTAACAAACTTTTAGATTAAGCAACTTTTGAGTTTTTTGTTTCCTTGCTTTAACACCTAAAAGGAAAGATGCTGAAAATCTATACAGAGATTAGGACTGGTAGATAGATAACTTGCTTCACTCCCAACTCCCCATTGTCCCATAGGGCATTTGGTCCCCAGCACTACTTCTAAATGAATTTTAATTTGAGAAGATTGAAGGTCAGACGGTTGAGAGCAGATAAAGATAGCAGTATTCAAAGAAGCATACCCGAAATACTGATTTGAAGCCAATTCCTTTCTGCCCTATGTATCCACCACCAGATCCTTTCTTGGTTGAATTTCCAACATCACAAAGAGCTCTGATATTTTGAGCAGAAAAGCCTTGCTCATTATTCAGAACAATAATACCTGATTCTTGAAGGATGAATGTCAGAGTAGGTTCCATGTTTTTGGGATAGATATTATCATCTGCATTTTGAACCTGAACAATGCTTAGTACATAGTTAGCATGCAATAGTAAAATGGCATCTTCAGGATTAGAAACAATACTTGGGAACAAACAAGCCATCCCGATAGATTTACTTACAAGCTCAAGAAGAAAATGTGAATCCTGTGAATATAGTTCCTGGGACAAACAATGAAGAGCTCTCCCTAGGCGTGCATGCTGCTTCTTCAACATGCTGCTCTCTGTATTTGAAAGATTTGCATCCAGACCAAATTCTTCTTTCCTGATTGATTCAATTACCATGGCTGCATCCTTATGTTTGTCAAGGTCAGATGATTGTTCCATGCAACCACTGCCAATTTCATCACTGGAAACTACAGCACCATCAATTGTGCATCTAACTTGAGTATAAGTTTCAGAATTCACATCTTCTCTCCGAGTCACATTTTCTGTGCTTATCTCAGACCTCACAGTTTCCAAGCATGATGAGCCAGAAGATACGGACAAGTCAGTGGTACCATCAGAACAAAATGCAAGGTAATCATCAACCCAATCTACTACCCCGATAGATAATCCTATTTCATGAAGCATCAGGCGTTCTTTTTGGTTGCATTTGTACAAAATCAGTGAAGAGGCTTCTTTTATTACAGATTGCATCCCTGAGAGTAACACATCAGCTGCAAAACCATGAAATTCTGCAGGCATAAAACCAAGACAATCAAGGACAAACCTTGAAGCAAAATGCATTGCCTGGTTGATTTTAAAAGAATTTTTTTGCAATTCAACACTCAAATTATTAGAAGCGACTCCAACTGCTTTTCCATGCAAAAAACAGTTCTTGTCGTCCTCTACTTCCATATTTTCAGAATGATTCTTCAAAATGACTTCAAAGGCATGGCTAGAATAACATTTTAGAAGGGACAAAGGAACATGGTTTTCCCCCCGGCTAATGCCAACAAGGATAAAAGTTTCACTGCCGTTTGAAAAGATGATCTCTGAAGTGCAGCTTCCAAGAATGAATCTGCAGTAGCAGATTGATCAATTCTTATCACCTTGCCATCGTTTGTAACCAAACACATCAATTCTTTAGCATTGACCTCACTCAACAACCATCCTACAAGAGGGCCGAGGGAGGGAGCAAATTTAAGGTCCCAATGCGACCACGAGTTTAAATCAGACAGCATTGGTGCTCTAAGCAAAACTTCAATTGCATCTTTAGATGTAATAGAACTAAATGCAACCATCAAGTCATCACCCTTGTTTCTCGTTTCATTCGTTTCTAACTTGTCTTCCGTGAGAGGCAACGAGTCTCCACTACGATGCATTCCTGACAATGTAGCAGAAAACAGGACACATTTTGAAATTACATTATTCTTATATTTTCCCACAATTTGTTGAAAATCTTCAATAGAACCATTTTCCATAATTTTAAAACTAAGCAGTGGAAATTGTCTTGTAAGCAGTGCCGCAATCATCTGTTTGGTAATAGTTTGATTCTCCCACAAACTATATGAAGCTTGAGACACTAACACCATCAACTGATGCTGGAGCATCGAGACCTCCAAAGGAGACTTTTCATATCCATCACCAGACAAGAGATTCTGTAATTTAGCAGGCAATAGAGAGGCATGTTTCTCCAGGAAAACAAAAAATTCCCCATGACCAAGGGACTTAAATTCCTTAACACCAAATTGGTCTACTAGCCACAGCTCACAACTGGACAGCTTCCCCATGGAGATGAATTTGTTTTCCAGAATTGTTTTACCATTGCTCTGATACTCACAATGAAGCTCGTAATACGTAGTAATTTTCTCAATTATTTCTTCAACTGGGACACCTGTGAGATCCATTAACGACATATCTTTGATTATATGGATACAAATTGTTCCGAAATAGTACAAAAAGAAACTTAAAACAAAGCATAGAAGTTGGTAAGATAGGTCAATTGCAGCACCAGAGATCTGCTAATCAGTTACTACTTTTGATTATATGGATTATTCAAAGCAAATATACAAAATAAAATCAGAAACTAAAACATAACTATATGGAATGTACCAATAAGAAAAAAGTTAGCATTCCACTTCAGGTGGGCACTATTGGCACAATTTTTTAATGTAAACGCTTAAATTGCCGTTCATAAACATACTGATTTCTCTCACTAACATTCATAAAATTGAAGGACAATTTTCACATTTCATTTTAATAGGATGTGCCAATTGTCTTAGGGAGAACCAATAGCATCAGCCATCATCCACGAACTTCTAGGGTTTCTACTTTTATTCAAGCTTTTCTCTAAAATCTCAGTAACTATCTAGAAGTATTTGAACTGAAAATCGATGTGATGCACAATAACAGCACCAAAAGGAAAGGAGAACCAAAACACAAAAGAATACTTGCAATGGAACTATAAAATTCAGCAAAGCCTATTTGCAAAGTTAGCATTACTCACTGTGTGTTTGTTGCAAGTGCTCACAGACCACTGGTGCCTGCTTTTCACTTGGTTCAACATCAATGCATTCGTATTCAGAACAGTTGCCAGATGGGGTGTTAGCTGACTCAGGTTGACTTATGACTTGGAAAGTATCATAAATGCTATCCCACATTCCACACTTGATAGATGTGACCTGCAAAATTAATAAAATAGCTTCACTCCAGAGCAAAGATGCCAATATGTAAAGAGCACATTGCAGCAAATGAAAATTGAATTAGCTAACATTTGAAGACAACCAGCAAAAGAAATAAATGCTGAAAGTTGAAAAGAATCAAGTCGATGATCACAAGAAACACAAAGCCCTTGCATCAGTCCAAAATTAAGACAAGAAGGTTGTTTTTGAAAAAAACAACACTCATGTCTCACCAAGGGTCGATAAAGATCAAAGTCTACCACAGCAGAAGAAAAAACAATGTTCCCTGAAAATGAAAAGTGTTCATAATCCAAAATCTTTTTTTTTTTTTTCACAAAATGCCAAAGCAATATGGTACTATAATGCAATTAGGCAGGGAAAAAATGAACTTTTAACTACCTTTTCAATAAGAAACAGTAAATGAGACAACTCGTCAATGCAAAAATTTAATTGACAATAATTAACTTACAGCTACATTGAGCATCCCATTAAATGGGTACGATGAAAATATGCATTTGAATCTTCTTATGCATCGATTAGTTTGCTTGCGAGCAGCTTTCTTGCTTTCTGTTGGTTCTGTTGGTTTATAGTACTGAAGCATTCTCTCAAGAATCTACAAGTACAAAAGGATACCCACTGAGAAGTGCAGCTTAAATTAAAAATACTTTTACAGGTAACATTCTAATTTAAATAATTTCCAAATAGAAATGAAGTATAATCATTTCTGAAGCATCTAATGCATTAGAATGGCAAGGGAGGAATAACAGAACCGCTAGTGAACACTACAAGTGTGCACCACATATAATCCTGGTAATAAAATCCAAATGAAGTAAAACACTAATTATCCTAGTAACAATAAAATCACAAATAAAATTCAAATTTCAAAATAAAATTCTGAAAAAGGTAAAAGTCCCAAATCAATGAAGTTACAAATAAACTAAAAATAGTTCTTGTACTCTATCAGTATTGCATCAAGAAAAAAATTACAAATTTTATCTGTGGACACTACCTCCCTGCTTCTTCAAGCAAAGAACTCGTACTTTATTGATTCCAGAATTTTCCTGCAACAAGCAGTCCACATTCCTTTACAATTTCAAAATCTTGGGGACTATAAGATCTTGTTCCCTTCAGTTTGAATGGAAGTACGTGGTTCTTAACACTGCAACTCTTCCACCAAAAGAACTAATGTGACAATAAAAGTAGAGGACACCGGGCAATATTACATTCATTAGCTCCCTTGGTTAATCCAACTATTTTGCATTGTTTTGCTTCATAAAGATTCTGAGGGTAAAAGATAACCCTAGAAATTAAACTTAAAAGTTCCAGACTTCATTTCTTCATGGGTCAGTTTAGATTAAAACTATATTAGTTACTCTTAATGTTTAGCCAACAGCCAAAAGTTTCATATTCTTTATATAAAACATTAGCAACGACAAGTTACGAGACCTCTAACAACTTATTAAACCAGATTTCGTCACTAAGCCACTTGGACAGCAAAAAATACAGTCTAGTCTCGAGAGTAAAAAAAAAATAGTAATAGCTCAACACACAACTATAGCGGTTCAGCATCAGATTTGCTAGCAGACTGGGATACTAGTTTGACGATGAGTCAAGTAGATTGTAAAGATATCTTCTTCAAAAGGGAAGACGAAAGAAGGTATATAGCCAGTGCCACATTCACATTTTGACCATAACTAATTAAAATTCCTTGAAACCCCAATCCAGCAGTGAAACAAGTTAACCCCACTGATATGTTTAAGATTCCTAATGAACTTCAAGTTCAGCTAAATCAACAGCAGAGATCCAAATGTAATTATCAACAGAATGGACAAAAAATAAATTAAGAAACATCTAACATAAACACAGAGTGACCAATAATGGAAAGTATAAATCTGATATAGAAAACACAGACAACTTTGTTCTAGTTGGAGAATCTTTCAAGTTGAGTTTCATCATACCTCTGCCACAGTGTAATCCTTACACGCCTCCTTCCAGGTGGTGATAAAGGCCCTCAGGGAGTTGCTAGATAGTGAAATATCATCTTCACTTGGGGTACCAAACATTTCAGTCTTGTCACAATTATCAATTGGATGAACGTGTTTCTTACTGCTTCTGAGCAATTTTGAAGGCACAGAACTTACATCTTCAAGTTTTCTTTTCTTCAAAAATGACCTGTTACTCTCTTTGGGCCTTGAGCTGCCACCATCAGGGGAAAATTGGACACCCATTTCACCTTTCAACCCAAGGCGTGACATCTCTTCAATTGCAGAAGGGTAAGGACATCTACTCACCCGATCAGAACTGCTTATTGCCTGTGCTGAATACTTTGAGTGGCTGCCTACGTTATTACTGGTTGTTTCATTGTCATACGTTCCATCATCACTTTTTTCATCTTCAGAGCTTGATGAAACAAATCTGATGTGTTTGCCACAGAAACCATTGTTTTCCTGGGAAAATGATTTAATACGCTCGCGTACAGCAGAAAAACGTTCTTCCAGTTGCTCCTTCTCTGAAGAAAAACGCCCTTCATACCTCCGAGGTCGGACTCGAGGTCCACTTGATCTTGCGTCTTGGCATTTCTTTAATGTTCCATTCCTTGCTAATATCTCTCGGCATTTCCTTTGTGTTGAATTTTCAGATGCTTTGGCTTCTCGAATAAAAGAAATATGTGTCCTGTTTCCATGAAATTAGCACATATGTATATGCATATAAGTTTGTAAGTGAATGTATATGTACAGCTATATATATATATATATATATAAAGAACATAAGAAAGAAACTCCGCCCATACTTATAGCAATGCTGCTAGAAACCATTAGAAGCTGGCCAAATACAAAAAATACAAATATGAAAGCAAAACGAGAAAATATTGAACATAATTCATGAATACTCACCCCAAGCTTTGAATACGCACGCCCAGCATTTCTGGTCCCTTGACCGAATAATTCTTTGCAAGAAAATACAGAAATTCATCAACAATAATAACTTTCTTCTGACAAGTGCCCATAAACTCACTAAGCCAAAGAATTATCTCCTCGCTAGTTATCTTAAAAACTTCTGTACTAGCATCGGGTTTCATCGAAAAGTAATGCAACACCAGCGGATGTCTCATCAACGGCCCCAATCCCAGCTCTTCAAAGTTTTCAACACCCTCGTTCTTGCATATTGCCACTTCCAAATCATAAATTGATGTAATTCTCCGTACCCCAACAAAGCAATGTATAAATGCATTTATCTAAATAACACAAAATCAAACAGCAGAAATAAACAGCCTGAACAACATCAAACTTAAGAGGCGGGGACAGGAGCTGCACACCTTTGTTATGTAATTAGTAATTAATAAGAAACTTGAAAATCGTAATGTTTTCCAAAGAAAAGGGAGAAAAAACACTTTTGCTTTGCAATTACTAATTTACAGTGTATAAGTAACTTAAACACCATGAAATTCAAAAAATAAGGAGAAAACACACTTTTCTATGTAATTACTTATTAATAGTAAGAAATTTGAAAATCGCAGCTTATTTTTTTTAAAAAAAAAAAAAAAAAAAAAACACCGTTGCTTAACAAGATACTAAAAAGAAAGAAGCTGGAACATCATAAAAATTTTAAATAAAAAAAAATCACAGTTTTACTTTTTCATTGCTAGTTACCAATTACTAATTATTAAGAAACTTAAACAGCTTCATATATTAATGAAAATAACGTGAAACACAGTTCTGGTACATAAGTACTAGCCACTAGTTACTAACTAATTGTAAGTACTGATTACTGATTACCTTGCCTTCAGTGACCATAAGCCGAAAAAGAGCAGGAACCTCCTGCATTCTAAACCCTAAAGAGTCCCATGACTCAGCTTGCAAATTCACTAACACAGACTGCGAGACTTTCCATGAAGAAACATTCTCTTCTGCTTCGAAAAGATCTTGCCGCGCTTTCTCTACTGCTCTATCAGCTCTCTCTAATTGTAGCTCTTTATTGTCTTGTTTCACCTTCTTTTTGGGGTTTTGTGGAAATTTAGGCAGGTTTTGTTGTAGTGTTGGTGGCTCTTGTTGCTGCTTTTGTTGTTCTTGTGGAGGTGGTGGTGCTCCTGGGGGAGGCGGCTCTTGGTGCTGTTGTTCACGAAACTGTAGTTGTTGTTGAAAAGGGAATTCTTGTTGCTGTGGAGGGAGAAAAAAGTTAGGGTTTTGCATGGGGAAGCTTTGTTGGAGTAAAGCATTAGTGAAGTTATGGAGGAAAAAATTTGGGTCTTGGAGAGGGACAAAATTGGGATTGAAAGGAAGAAGCTCTGGTGGTAGTTCTTGAGGTGGTGGGTGTCGTTGCGGTGGTTGACCGCGGCCGCCGGGGCGGTAGCGAGGATGGTGGCCGCGCATTGGAGGGAAAATCGAGAAAAGAAGAAGAGTTGCACTGAAGGCAAGTATATATATGGTGGGGTTTCCAGTTCGGGGTTTTGTGGTCTGTATGTCGGTGCAAGACGTTAGCAGTGGAACTTTAAATCAACGGTTGATATCAAAAGTAAGCCATTTTTTTATATTTTTCAAAACTAACAGGCCCGTAGAACTTTTTATTTCCTCTAGCCTAAATAGTAGCCCGGCCCACTAGTCTCTTTTTTCTCGCTGGCCTGAAATCAACAAACCTAGCCCAACCCATGTTTTGGTCTCAGGCCTTCCTAAACCTAGCTCTGCCTAGTCCACAGCCCAGTCCAAGCCCGTAGCCCGTAACCTAACTAAAACCCAAGCCCAAGTCTCATTTCTTCTTCTTCTCCTTCCTTTTGCAAACAACAGTATGCATATCATGAAATAACTGAACATCCATTCATACCCAAGTTTCCATCAAAGTCTTCATCCTCCTTTCCATGTCCGATGGACAATAACCAAGGTCGAGGTGACCAGTTTTGCTCAAGGCTTTAGATTCTCACATGGTGTCAGTGACAAATTCACTGTCTTCATTTTTTATGCATATTGAGGAACAAAAGCCGAAAAATGATTTAAGTTGCAGAATACAGTAGAGGTGAATAGATCACCTGGTGAGCTCGGTGTACTGATAAGAGGTTGAAACCGAGTTCGAAACAGGGATGGACAATTAAGCTTCCTTCTCTAATGATTCATTTGTTTCAATGTTCAAAAGCAGAGAACTACATGAGCTAACTTCAAGTTTCAGTCTCTTGTTCTAGTCTGTGTTTTTCTTTTGGTTCCTGTAGCCTCTTCTTCGTCCTATTCTCTTCTGTGCTTATCAGATACCAAACCAGAGACCTAAAAAAGTTCTAAAGCTTCAAGATTTTTCCAAAACTAGAGACCTCCTTCTTTTTCTCTCCTTTCCCAACAGGCTCCTCAGACCCCTTATTTATCCCACTCTCAGTTCTTCCTCAGCCTTTCGATCATTCCAAATTCATTCTGACTCTTCCCTTAAAAATAAATAAATAAATAACCCTAATCCATATTGTGTCAATAACAAAGCAAGCATGAAGATTATAAGAATAAGAACACATGAATGACTTCCAATCACTGATTAATTGCACATCTTTCAAACAAGGAGAAAAATTGGTTTGCCAATATGATTAAAGTTGCGTGTCCCACACAATTCAAGTTGTATTCATCGAACTGATAACGAGGGTGGAAATTACATCTCAGTTAATGAGCATTTTACAAGACATCAAAACAATGACTGAAGCAGGCAGGCATGACAAACCCAAATACGACCTCAGGCTGTGTCACGAGCATTCTAACAAATAGAACTGGCACTATAATCTCTAATTACGTGAATTGCTTCAGAAACTCTGTAGCAACCAGCCTCCCTCGCGTGTTTACAGACATTTTTAATTCACTTATCTCCTTGTCAATATCCTGCAATTGAAGAACAGGAGATTCAGAAAGCTTCCAATTGAAAAACACTATAGAAGAACAAAACAGGATTAAATGATTGTAGCAAACATAAACAGGTAAAAAATATATGAATATGAATGCTCAGAACCCCACATAACCAAACTAAATTAAGAAAGGAAGCAACATAAGCAAATGGAGAGTGACTGCCCCCAAACGTATGAGAAGAAACTTGGGCATAGGCAGCAAGATGAGCAAAAGCCATTAAAAAAACAAACTTTATGGATGACAGTGTTATATCTCAAAGCAGTTGTCCACAAAAAAGTTTTGAGTTTCGATTTGACAAATCCAGAACAGCCACCCAAGGGATGCCATCACCCGGGCCAGCAAAAAAAATTCAAAACTTAAGCTTCCTTAGATCCCCTTGGAGTGCTTGTGCTTTCTAGTAGGCTTCAATAATTTCCTAACATCAAACTGCATCAACAGACTGATCGATAAATACTAGAAACATAAAGAACTCATCTAAGTATACTATAACCAGGAACTCATATGATCGATTGGACAACAGTTAAAGTGTGGAACCAATGGACGAGCAAGATTAAAAGATGTGACTGTTATTTTCAATTTTTTAAATGTACTTGTAGAATTGTCAGAAACCAAGGCTAGAAGCAGCATATCCTTTTTCAGAACTTAAAGAACTTCCAATAGATTGAATCTTCCAAATGATATAAAGATCTAAATGAAGGATGAAAGGTAAATCACGTAGCCGCACAAGGTGTGAGGTTTAAGCTAACTTTCCCTCCATAAAAACTAGATAATTACATCCGTCATCCAGGTGCTGTTAATCCTTACAACACAAAAACCATCACAAGGTAGCTTTGGGATGACCACATGAACGTGACCAGCCACCACTTTCACCCATGATTCTTCGCTTTCCCCCACATGGGGATCCATGAAATCAGTTCAAAGTTGAGAGGGCAAACCATACAGTCTTTATCATAAACAAGTTTCTGCAACTATAGAATTCTTTCATAATTAAAAAGGTCAAAGTTCTCCAAACGACTGGTCCATCTGATACTAAACAATGATAGATGCGCAATACTGGGACTAATGGGTTGAAGAGGAAAGGCATGGTCCATTAGGGAGCCTTAAACTCCCAATTTAGCATATTTTAACTAGTGGATGAAAGAAGGCATGGTTTAATACCCTACGTTGCTGCGTTCTAAATCTGAAATACTTAGAATCAATTTGGAACATCAATAAAGGCCTTGTTAACAATGCAAACATAAAGTACAATGTTGAAATAATCAATCTTTCTTTCCTGCTCAATTCTTCTCCCTCTAGGGGAGTTAAAAAATGCAGGACATGGATGAGTAGTCTAAATATAACACCTAAGCCTTTTGGTTGAGTTTTGCAATGTGTATAATCAAATAGCAGGTGATACTTAAGTGAATAACATCAGAACCATAATCTAGAAGGAAATCTAGTAGAAAAGACAAAGAAAGTGGTAAGGAATGGTTAATTCTTACTTCCATGAATTGCACAATAAAATCGATGAGTTTGCGTTTCTGCATCTCCTCACAGTGGTAGTTTGTGATTAGAAAGCTAATGTCATAACCCTGATAAGTAAGGCACCACGATATTAAATAATCATTACAATCCTATCAATAAGATATAGCAGAAGCATGCAAGAAATTTGTAAATTAATTCTCAGATATGAGGTGAAACTTTACAAGCCAGGCGCAAGATCAGATTACTATTTACTGAATGGCAAAACTCCTAGTTTGCATCAATTATTCATTTATGCCCTTACATATTTAGTTTGGTCAATCAACCCTTGTGTTCTTTAAATTCGTTCATTTAACCCTTGTGGTTTCTAAATCTGTCGAATTAAACCCCATAGCTAACTTATATCAAGTCTCGCTCTACTATGCATGCAGATATGACATTATCAAATATTTTTTAATTATGAGATGCCTTTTAAATTTGTGTAGGGTCTATATCACCAAAATATATATATATATACCTTAAAAAATAAATTGTTTTAGAAAAATATATCTAAGACAATTTATATGGTGAAATAGACCACACATGAATGCAAAAAGTTATCTCATGATGAAAAGTATTCAATTACCACATAATTAACATACATAGTTAACATGGTGACTTGATAAAACTTAGCTATTGGGTCAATTGAACATACACAAAGAACAAAAGAGTTAATTGAACGAATTTAAAGAACACAAGTGTCAATTGACCAAATTCAAAACATGAGGATAAAAATAGATAATTGTCACAAATACAGAGATAAATTTAGGGGTTTTGCCTTACTGAATTAAATACCAAAAAAAAAAAAAAACCCAAAAAAACCCAAAAAAACAGAACAACTTTGAAAGTTCAATTCAGCCCAGTAACCAGGGTTCATTGGAATGATTATCAAGTGATTATACCAGGATATAAATCGCATTTGAAAATAAAAGCAGTTAATAGACCCGCATGTGTATCTGAAGTTCACATAAATGCTTAAGATAAAGAATCTTTCACCAACACGAGACACACATAGACTACATGATCCATTGCAATAAAGGTTATCCAAAATTTCTATACATAGAGAGAACTGACGTGACATGAACGCATTGGTATAATAATGCAATTTAATATTATGTTATCATATGCCATATCTGTAATTCTCTACTAGCATTATTGAAAAAGAGGACCCAACTTGCTGAGCAGCAAATGGTTGTGCATTATGGAGAAAGACTTGGACCAGTATGCCGATCTTAATGTTCTTCAAAGAACAGGAAAAATTAAGCTAATCTGAATCTAGACAAGGTTGATGTTCATCTACAAAAAAGTACAAGTTTTCCTGCCAATCAAGGTATGCCAGACCTGATGACTATAGAAAGTCCTTGCAACTAGGAAAGGAAAATTCACAGAAATAATCAACACTTCAAAATGAAGTGAGAAAGTGAATATTTTTTAAGCTTATTTAGATGAAACAACACTTACCTGTACTGGCTTTCGTCTCAACACTTGAAATGCTTCTGCCCTCATTGATAAAAATCTAAGAAATTTCTTAGTTAGTATGTTTTCAAGCTCATCTGCCTGCTTCACCTGTACAATAGGAAATGAATATGCATATAAGGGGGAAAAAGTGAGAATAGGAATTCTATGCAATTTATGCTGCATGTCAAGTTAATAAATAAACACAAGACAAGAAAGCTATATGAAAAAAGAAAAGCAACACAAAAGGGGGAAAAAGAAGAAGAGCATACCATGTTTTGGTCTCAAAAAGCTAGCATGAATGAAATAAGTATGGCCAAGTTTAGCAGCAATATCAACTTATCTTTGAAGTTTGGCCACTATTCTTATCCTGTATAACTATGCACTTAATGGCTATTCTAGGATGGGTACTTCAGTGATTCTGCTTTAGCAGCTTAGACTATTAGAATCCATAGCATATTATTAAGCCCATGTACCTCATGCTTCTGCAATAATCTTCAATGGAACCCTAAACCTTGCTGCATATGCAAAGTATACACTACATTTGACAAACACAAGGAAACAAATAGGCAGAAAAGAGGTTTCTAAAACATAATCTTTTCAAGGTGAATTGGGAAATTCTCTCCAGAAGCAAAATATTTTATTTGCCTTCAATCAAACCACAACATATTTAAGATCAATCAACTGCTACTAAAACTTATACGACACACAAATCCCAACAAATGATACTTAAGACTCACCGTACCAACTAGCTTATTAGGAAAAATAAATAAATACAAAGTGGCCCACAAGTTTATTGTTGTATGTTACAATAAAAGCAAGGTTCTATTGTTCAACAACGATACCTACTGTTCTATAAGAAAGCTCCATGCACATGCAGCTCTATCAGGCACATTAAAAGCATATAAAAATTGAGATGAAAACTCTACCTTGAGGCTAATACGCAACGAATTGATAGATGTTTCTATTAAACACTTTTCAGCCTCATTTCTACATACCAAAATCTGCAATAGGATCATCGCATGCAATATCGAGTTAGATACCATCAACACAGCAACAAAACATTTTAGCGTCGGAAAAAAATGATTCTTACAGGATTTAGCAAAAGTTCCGGACTCGTCCTGCAAGCATAAACAATGCAGGACATAATTATGAAAATTATACTTAATGGTATTCTGATTTTAAAAAGTTTCAAAAAAAAAAAAACAAACAAAAGGAAAGCGTACTTCATTTCGACTTCTGGTTTGTTATGCCGTTCAACTTCTTGACAAGGGAAATTCTATCAAGCAGTTTCGAAAAATCAATTAATAAGTTAAAAATTTAAAAAAAAAAAAAAAAAAAAGATCATCAAATTTACCTGCAGGCACAAGGCTGCCTCTAGAGTATTCCGTATACATGTTAAATACAGCCGTATTGAAGTTGCCTAAAAAAAGAAATAGAAATAGAATTAAATTTATGAGTAAGATCACAGAAAAAGGAAGAGATTAGATTACCATTTAAGAAGAGCAGTGGATTTGAAATTGATTGCGTCGAAACTGCAACGTTTTGAACAAGTTCGAGTTTTGGAATGGCGAGGGTTTGTTGTTTTTGCGCTGAGTGTTTAGAAGTGGAGTGAAAGGTAGGTTTGATTTCGATGGGTTTTTATTGCTTCTGGTCATCTTGTCTAGTGTGTGAATCAAGGCAGATTTTGAAAAATAAAAAGGAAATAAGAAAAAAGAAATGCAGGAGTCGAACTACACGTCGTTTGAGGCTCCTTATTATACGACATTCATTTTTTTTTTACTTTTCTTTTCAATTTGGTGATGGAGTTGACTATATATATATACACACACACTATATTGAAAAACAAGAAATTTTATAATGTTTAGCAAGTAATTAGTATAAATTATTTTATAGAGAGAAAGATATAAAAAAAGAGAAATAGAAGAGAGAAAAAAATTGAGCCAACGTGAAATCTTTTTATTATTTTTTACGAATAGGGATATGATTTTTTATTTTTATCTCTTTCCTCAGAAGTGGGCTATACAATAATTATTCATAGTATAATAATTACCGCTTGAGTATTAAAAACTTTATTGGTTTTGGTGGAAAAAAAATTTAATTCCTTAATTTTGGAGGTTTCCTATTGTTTTTCTTTTCTTATATGTCTTTAATTTTTCTTCTATTTGTGTTAGGATTGACTTTGGATGTTGGTACTTGATTCAGGATTTTAGTTTTATAAATACTCCGAAATATGTTCATAAAAAAACTCCTTAAATTAAAGACTCGATTATCCATATATAATCACTAAAATATTGGCGTTGTTAAATAATGAATGTCCATCATCATGTTCATTCATTTTTCATATCTCCACTACTCATGATTCTTAATATGATTCAATTCATCATTCAATATGAGAAATTAAAAGGGTGATGCAATTAGTTATTCATAGTTCCTACCAATTCTCTCTTCAATTTTGAAGCCTATAAATAGGCTTAATTATTCATTAGTTGGTGTACAAGTTTCCTAGAGAGAATAAGAGAAACTTTGAAGCTCTTATCACTTATATTCACATTATAGTGATTTTATTTGCTTGTCATCATTTTCTTCAATTCTCTTATTATTTTTATTTATTTTATAACGGACGTAAACTTTTTTAAAAAAATTAATTAAACATTAAAAAAAATGTTATTTTTTAGGTATTAAATTACGAGAAATTTTATAATATTTAAGGAGTAACTAGTGTAAGTAACTTTATAGAGAGAGATAGACATAAAGAGGACAGAAAAATAAGAAAGAGAAAAAAAAAAAAAGAGCTAACATAAAAATCTTATTATCATTTTTAGTGATTCTAAATATAATTATCTCTCTCTTTTTTTTTTTTATGTATCTATCTTTCTCTTGAAAAATAGGCTCATAGAGTAATATGATTGAAACTTTATACAAGGGTTAGCTAATTATTTTTTAAATAAAAGGACAATTTAATTTATTTTGTAAGATTAGAGGGACTAATTTATAATTTACTCTGTATATATATCTGGTGGCGGTTTTTCTATATGCATTTCTGTCGATTTCTCTAAGGAAAATTATAGGTATGGTGAATCAAATAAGATTTCATCAGCCAATTCTTTGGCCAACTTTTCAGCACGATCATCCTGTCCGCCAGCGAAACTATACACTCGAAATGCCAACTGAAAAACTCTCCAGAGAATTTTAATGCTTTCTTTAGCTTTCTGATCTGCTTTAGCCCCAGTACTTTCTTCATTTTCAATTCCTGCTTTTGATTCTCTCCTCTCCTACAAGGGAAACCACCATTGATGCCACAAAAAAACTCTCCATAACATAATCATGTTACTGAACTTACCTTAAGTGCTAGCTCTATGCAGCTGGAAGAAAGATCTACCATTAGTTCTTTAATCTTGGTGACCACGTGGAAGTCAAATTCAATGCTGTGGCTCTTAAATTTTTTGGATTCTTCGTCCTTGTTGCGTTCAAAAGCATCCAGCTCTAGTTTGATCTTGATCAGAGAGGAAAGGTGAGAAATTTTTGTGAAGATACGTTGTATCGTTTAAATATGGACATAGTTTACCTTACTCAAATATTTCTCAACCTTGTCCAAAAGCTGTCCCAAGGGTGGCACTGTCTCCCAATTCTTCAAGGTAGTGACTATCTTGTCGAATTTCGAGTACAGGGCAGCTGCTGTTCTTAATGTTTCCAACTTCTTTGAAGGGAAACCTTCAAACTTTGCTAGCACCTGCACATTTATATATGGTGTTGATGACTTGATTGTCGAGACTCAGAAGATAAGATGATATGAATGTTAGAACTGCAATCACTGATGGAGTGAATTACAGAAGCTATGCTTTATTGACCTGTGATTCATCAGTTAGGACTTGAAGAATGGATTCCACATTGGTTTGAAACTTGAGCAGCTTCATCATGTCCTTAGTTTGAAAAGAATTGATATCTGCCTTCAACTCCATGATCGATTTTGAATATTTCTTTATATCATCTTCAATTTGTTGGAAGTATGTTGATCTAGACTACCAAAAAAGGTAAAAAAAGAAAAGAAAAACTATCCTTAGCTAACATTTTGGTGTTTTATTACATTGATACCTATCAAGCTATACTCTGTTCAGTGCTAGATATGATTAGAAGCAAACCTTTTTGTTATTTCTGCTAGTGAAGCTCCCAATCCTTCTTTGCCACCCTTAGAACCTCCGAGCTGCACCTTTCTTACATTAGTTGTCTTAACAGTTAGACTAGATCCTTCCATCTTGCTCCGGAGATCGCGAAACAGGTTCGGCATCTGGGTGGACCTCTTCAATTTGGTAGTGGGTCGTTTTTGAAACAGAGACTTACCAGCACCGAGTTGGGGCGGTGGAGGGGGGCCAGGGCTCTTGAGTGGCATTGCATTTGGTACTGATCCTTTTGAAGGCATTAAAGGTGGCGTAGGAGGCGGAGGCGCCTTTTTAAGCGGCACGGAGTTTGGTGTTGTTCCTTTCGAAGGCATCATTGGCGGTGGAGGTGGGGCAGGGACATTTCCGAGCGGCATGCCATTTGGTGTCGATCCTTTCAAAGGCATTCCTGATTGTGGTGGTGGTGGAGGAGGAGACGGAGCACCCTTTCCAAGTGGCATTCCTGGTGATGGAGGTGGAGGAGGAGCATTTCCTAGCGGCATTCTATTTGGTGCCGATCCTTTCGAAGGCATAGTTGGTAGTGGAGGTAGGGCAGGAACATTTTTGAGCGGCATGCCATTTGGGACCAATCCTTTCGAAGGCAATACCGGTGGTGGTGGTGGTGGTGGTGGTGGAGGTGGAGGAGGAAGACCCTTGCTGAGTGGCATTGCATTTGGTACTGATCCTTTTGAAGGCATTACTGGTGGCACTGTCGATTGCGCCCTTTCTTTGGAGATATAGGCTGGTGGTGGCGCAGCCCCTGGAATTCCTGTTCGAGCAGGTTTGCTGGAATAGGAATAGGACTGTTTCAATGTGCTAGCCAGCGAGCTATAATCATTCTTCAGCTCTTCATCTTCCAGGATGTCAAACAGTTCTCTTGCTGCCTTAGTCATGTAATCAAATGTTGCGAACGCTACATCAACTTCAATAGAGTAAAACAATAGCCAATTCCCAATATCAGGAAAACAGGAATAAAATGGACTGATAAGACCTTAGGGAAAGAAAATCACATACCAAGTTGTTCCCCATTGGTGTTCTCCATTTTACAAGTTCTATCGTATCTGAATCTGACCATCCATGAATCTCTAATATATGTCAATGCCTTGCAGAAATGTGCTACTCTCTGTAAAACACAGTACTGTCAGTAACTGATAATACTGTTGTATCTGCATATCAACCAGCAATTTAGAGTATGAGTTAAATAGCGGATAGTTGAAAAACGATCACGCTCATCATCACGGATTGCAGCTTACTGTAATACTAAAATAATCGTAATGGGATGCTCCGATACTCTTACGTAACGACCGTTATTTAAAACTATATGACCTTTGTCTGCTAGCTTTGAGACAAACCTTGTCTACAGGCGTCCCTTTGATTATTGAAATCGGTATGTTCGGCAAGGCTTCTGGGTACAGCTTGTGAAGATCCTCCATTCTAATCGCCAACTGCAAGAAAATATAGCTAGAGTCAGAACCTCCAGGCCATTACGTGACAAGAAACAAAACAATCCTGCCACAGAACGCTGCTATAAAACAAGTCAAAATGTGCTTAATTATAGGGACATCTGAAATCTCTATGATCCAAATGGATTTTGTACAAACAAACTCCTGTTTATCTCATATCATACAAGCAACTAACGCTCAGGCTAGAAAATTGCTGTTCTAGTGACTGATATCAAAGAAATGGCACCAAAAATTTTCCAGGCTCAGAATCATCATCTTTGTCCCTCAAAACTGCTCATCCTGCAGCAGTCATAACTTAAGAGAAGAAGGCCGGCTAGCTCTCCTTCCTAACTATAAGTTTGAGCCAGCCGTCATGATGAACACGCACAGGCACCTCTGAAAGGAGGGGATTTGGTCTTCCAGTAAGACACGCAATGACCCATCATTGATCACAGGGTCAGCCACCAGCTAAGCTATAGTTCCATTAGCTACTCCACTTTTGTATCCGATCCTTGTAAGTTCTAACATATAAGCATCAATCTGTCTGAAACAAAAGAGCCCTCCTCAATTAATTTACAGTATTCCAAAATTTTCGTTCTTAGTTCTTACCAAGAAAGTCAACTTCTGCAGTGAATAAGAGAAGAAGTTGGAACCCTCTATCAATCAAAGTTGTGTCAGTCTTCCTTGTGATGTACGTGCCTATTGCTGGTTAATTAAGCATGAACAATATGCAGACCAAAAAAAAAAACGTTGTAAAAGCGGAGGAGTAGGGGGTTCAAAGAGGGAAAAGAAGGATATCTTGCGTTTAGTTGTTGACGTTCATGTCGGTCTTGCAAATAAGGCAAAACGTATCAATTAAGGAAAGCAATACTAATCAGGCTCCATTAGGGAGTAAATTATAAATTAGTCCCTCTTATTCCGAGAAATAAATTAATTAGTTTTATTTGTTTCAAAAATTAATTATTTAATCCTCATGTTTTTTAATATGCTTGTAACTTAGTCTTTTTTTTTTTTTTAATTTATCTTGATTTTCTGTTGTAAGAAATAGAAAGAGAAAAAATATTAAAAAAAATAATGAAAATATTGATGAGAATAGAAAAACTTTTATGGAATAAAAATAATATCAAATTAAACATAATCAATACTGATTGAAAAATTAAATAATAGTTTGTGTAACGAAAGAGACTAATTAGTTCATTTCTCAAAACCAAAGAGACTAATTTATAATCTACTCCTCCAATTGGTGGACAAAATAGGTGAAAACAAAAAGTAAATTATAAATTAATTCCTCTCGCTTCAAGAAACAAATTAATTAGTCTTTTTAATTTTAAAAACTAATTTTTTTAAAAATATATATATAAAATAAATAAGTAAGTAAAAATATAAAAAGATTGATAAGGAAAAAACGTTTTATAAAATAAAAAATATTAAATTAATTTGGTTAATACTGATTAAAAAATTAGTTTTTGAAACTAAAAAAGACTAATTAATTCATTTTTTGAAGCAATTAGTCCATCTAATTTTTCAAAAGGAATGAAATATTGCATCTAGTTTCAACAACTAATTATATAACCCTTATATATTTAAATCAATTTGTAACTTTATCCTTTTTATTATTTTTTTAATTTTTTAATAGATAAAAATATGAAAATAATGATGATGAGAAAAAAATATATTTTTTAGAACAAAAAAATATTAAATTAACCAATATCGACACCAATTAAAAGACTAATTAGTTTTTGAAACAAAATGTACTATTTTGATTATTTAATGAAACTATAAGGACTAATTTATAATTTACTCTATCAATCACATCACATGAAGAAAATAAAATTTTCAAGTCAAGGACGCGTTATTGTTTGCATCCCTAAAATTCTTTAAAAAAAAAAAAAAGGTAGAAAGAATTCTTAAAATGGAGGCTGTAGCCATTAAACTTCTAGATGTTTCTATGACTATTTCGTTTTTGACATGTCCCTCCAATCAGAATACAATTAATATAAAAATTTAGATGCATAATTCGATAATAATCCATCGATCCTATGAGATCTTCGTTATTAAAATTGGAAAATAATCCGAAAGAATTAAGTCATAAAGAAATATAAAAATACAGGTTTTTATTATTGGGTTATTGATTATTTTCTAAAAACCAAAAAGTTAAAATAATAACTTAGCAAGAAACAAACATAACACGTGAATTTTTTTAGTTATTTATAACATAGTCCTTCTATTTTAACACAAATAATTATATAGTTTTGTAGTTTACTTTAATAACTTAATTTGTTTTTGTCAGTTTCATATTCTTCGCTAATTACTTTGCTTTTTTCAGCTTGAGAAAGAAAAAGGAAAATTGAATTAAATTAGATGAGAATATTATTTTGTAAACTACAAACACTAATTAATTATTGAATTTAGGGTAGTTTAAAACTAAACAAAAGGTTATTTAATTATTTAGCTTAATGTTTCAAAAAATCATAAATTACACATGTTTTAATGATTTTGGCTCGTTTTTTTAAAATTATATAGAAAGGTCACCAACTAACCATTCGATAATAATACTAACACCGATCTAATTTTTCGATTAATACCGACATAGTAGGTGTTGAAGCATGACATGTGAACTTTAGCAAGCCATATAGAATTCACGTAAACATAGCACATGTATTTTAGCTTGTCACGCAAAATCCACGTAATTGATTTTCTATGTCACTGCTTACGAGGATCTTGTGTGGCTTGTTAAAATTCACTTGTCATGGTTACGTAGGTTGTCATGTCGGCATTGATCAAAATTTTGGTCAAAAAATCGGATCGGTGCTAGTAATATTATAGAATGCTTAATTGATGATTTTTCTATACAAGTTTTTTTTTTAAAAAAAAAGCTAAAATCATTAAAAAATGTATAATTTGTGATTTTCTTGAACATTATGCCTAATTATTTTGTAAACCACAAACACTAGTTTATAATTAACTCATGTTTCTTTGAATGCACTATCTATAAAGTTAATTACAACTTAGTCTAGTTAGTTTACAAAACAAATTTATTAGTCATTATAGCATGAAATTAATCAAATAGTTCATTAATCCAAAAATTCACTCTTTTCTTGTCAATCTTTCTTCATTATTTACTTTTTTCCCTTAAAATATAAAAACAAAATAAATTGAAAAAACATGGAATTAACGAAAAAGTTAAGATATTAATGGATTTGAAAATAAAAAATTAAATATATAGTTTTAAAACAATGAAAACTAATCAATTAGTTTTGATAAATTACAGTAACTATTTTGGGAAATTACTTGATAATTAAATTATTTGTTTTCTTGCAACGAACGAAAGTAGTACTTAATTGGGAAATTACTTATAAGGATTTAAATTCAAAACGAAGTATCGAATAAAATCCATCGGCAACCCGATCTAACCAAACACGACGTAGTATTTACAGTCTCTCAGTCTCAGATATCCAACAGCAAACGCCAAGCAATTCCTAAGAGAAGAGCATTGCCTCTGCTCAATCAATCAGCAATAATCGCATCTCTTTCTTTTCCACATTTCTCTTAAATAGTAAAAATCTCAAAAATCAAAGCATCTGATCTCCATTTCTCCTTTCAATCCAATCAATGAGGAGGTAAATACAAAAAATGCTTACTCGATCTTTTTTTTTTGCCCTTTGATTTCTAAAAATTATTGTTTGATTTGATTTTTGGTTTGAATTTGCAAGAAGATTAGGGCACCACAGGCAACACGGGAAGCAAGGAGTAGGAGGGAAAGGAGTATTAGCAAAATTATCGATTGCTGTTGTTGTTCTTTTGATCTGCACTCTTACTTTACTCTTTTCCGCTACTATTACTGGAAGTAATGGATCCAACGCTCCACCTGAGGTCTGTTACGCTTATTTTCCATTTTGTATGCTAATAAAATATAGGCGAAAGAAATTTGGTTGTATGGAAAATTTGAAATCTATCTGCATTTGTTTATTTCTGTTATTATGGATAGTTAAATCTGAGCTTAATTTATTTTGTTTTTAATGCAATTGTGAGGGTGGGGGGAAAAAAGATGATTCGTCATTGCGGTTTGTTTTGATAAATTGATAGAATGCTGTTTTTTTTTTCCGTCTATTAAGAAATTTTATTTTGGCAATATCTTAGTGTTTAAAACTGCAAATATTAGGTCAATATAGTGTATAAATTGTTATTTAAATTATATTCATTTCTTATTATTGTTATTGTTATTATTTTCTTTGCAATACTGGTTTGTTGATGCATTGGGTTAGTGATTCATTTAATTATTTTTTGGTATCTGATTTTATTTTTGGATATGTTTAAGCAGATAAATGTAGAGGAGTTATGGAAAAGTGCGAATTCGGGTGGCTGGAGGCCGTCATCTGCTCCACGATCCGATTGGCCACGTACTTGTTCTTCAATTTTTTTCAGAATACAATCTTTTGATAATAATGTAAGTTTGAGCTGAACAAATGTTTGTTTCTTTATATTGTGGCAGCTCCTCCAAAAGAGACCAATGGGTATCTCCGTGTTCGTTGTAATGGTGGTTTGAATCAGCAAAGAAGCGCGGTTTGTAATCCGTTGTGCATATCTTCCTAGCAGTTCTTTTTTGTTGAAAATGTATATTGGGTGTAAGCTTCACAAAATCTACTTTTTTTCAGTGTATTGGGAAGTGGAAGGTTTTTTTTTTTTTTTTTTTAAATCCTTACAAAAAAGGAGTGTTTTTGAAAACTTTAGATGTGTAAAATATAGCCAAGTTAGGTATTATGAAGTGATGCCTGTTTTAATGGATTTTTTTAAATGAATTAATATATACTTCCTTGGCTGTTATAGATTTGTAATGCTGTTCTTGCTGCAAGAATCATGAATGCTACACTTGTTTTGCCTGAGCTGGATGCAAACTCCTTCTGGCATGATGACAGGTATCTGGTTTTAGTGCATGCATTCTTGAATTTAGTTGTAGTGTATACCCATTTGTTTCTTATATTTGGTCCTTTTGAAACTTTTTGTCTTGAATCTGTTAAATGCGATCATTAAAGAGAGAATCTTGAAGGGACCTGACCTGGTAGGTGACAGTGAATTCAGAAAGCAACTATACCAAATAGTTTGTGTGATTTTTTTCATGCATCAGTTAATTTTGATTGCATTTTTCCTACTTCAACTTCTCCTTTTTAATTTATATACTCCTTTGTTCTAGGATTGCCATTTCTTCCTAGTTTTGGTAGTATTGTCGTTTGTTAGTGGGGAGGGAGCTAGAGAGAGAGTAATGGCCTCTTTGATGTTTAACCTTTATGATGCTAGGGCCTGAGTTTCTTCTGCAGTGCCATCAATCATTCTTATACCTTTTGACAGGATTTACATAGTGATTTTTGTGTTGATTCATTTGATCAACTATTTGAGACACTATTGTGTTGAGTGCATAATTTTGGTTATTTTTATAGAACTGTGACATATTATCTTTACCATGTACAGTGGATTCCATGGCATCTATGATGTTGAACATTTTATCCAGTCACTGAGATTTGATGTCCGAATTGTAGAAAGCATACCAGAAATTCGTAAAAATGGGAAAACTAAGAAGATAAAAGCTTTTCAGGTAATTGCATTAGAATGCCATTCTATTTGATCTGCAAAATTATGTGCTAGGAAATTTTTAAGTTATTCGAAAGTCCTCAAAATATCAATTTTTTTTATCCTTAAATTTTCTCCCTTGCCTCAGCTGCGGCCCCCTAGAGATGCTCCTATTAGTTGGTATACAACTGATGCCCTGGAGAAAATGAAGGAACATGGAGCCATTTATCTAACTCCATTCTCACATCGTTTAGCTGAAGAAATTGACAACCCTGAGTATCAGCGGTTGAGGTGCAGGGTTAACTATCATGCTCTAAGATTTAAACCACTGATTATCAAATTAAGCGAGTCAATAGTTGATAAACTACGTTCTCAAGGTCACTTCATGGCAATACACCTTCGTTTTGAGATGGACATGCTGGCATTTGCTGGGTAAGCACTCAGCTATTCATATTACAATATTCTTAGACTTAATCACTGCCAGCATGTATTCTTAGACGTGTTTGACCTGCATGCATAAAATTGACTATCCTGTAGTTTAAAGAGTATTTTCTTTTATCATTTATAGGGGAGATTTACAGGGGCATTATTGTTATTTTCTCCTACCAACACAAGTACATCTAGACATGCTTGTGCTGTACTTTAGTGAATGAAGGAGTGTACAGTGGAGATGATTTTTTTTTGCAAACCACATTACTGAACTTAGATGGACAGATAAAAAATTTGAGGTGTGCAGATACCTGACCATATTCTTGGAATTTTGTACCTGCTAATATAAAGGGACCTTCCATAGATTTCCTCTCAATTTGTGATTATTTTCCACTGAAGTGTATTTTCTGGTGTTCTTGCACTTACAGATTTGTTTAGGCGATGGATTTATGTGGAGATTCTAATGTTTCTCCATGAACCATTCTTATAATCCCAACATGATCTTGATCAGCCACAGCCTCTACCCTTATGGTATTTATAGAGTTTTGTTCCTTCGGTGAACCCTTCTACTAATTTAGATTAAGTGTAGTCCTCTGTCATCTCCATGAAAATTTTACCTTCATACATCTTAAAGATTTTCTTTTTCACATCTTCAACTGCCTACTATGGGATGGGATTTACAGAATTGATTGGAAGACATTCCAAATATAAAAAACATAGTGATATCTTTCTGAATTCTGATTGCTCTAGAAATGAATAATGTGCAGGTGCTTTGACATATTTAGCCCTGCAGAGCAAAAAATACTGAAGAAGTATCGGGCAGAAAATTTTGCCAAGAAAAAACTCATTTATAAAGAAAGAAGGGCCATAGGAAAATGTCCACTTACTCCAGAAGAGGTGATTTTTTTTGTTCAAATGTCTGTCTCTTTGTTATCAACTCTACCAATTATGAACTTATTATCACATATGGAGAATTTATAATGTGATAACGCCTTTGAGTCACTGCAGGTTGGTCTTGTTTTACGTGCAATGAGGTTTGACAATTCCACCAGGATATACCTAGCAGCTGGTGAACTGTTTGGTGGAGAGCGGTTTATGAAACCATTTAGGGCCCTGTTCCCTCGCCTTGGGAATCACAGTTCTGTGGATTCCAGTGAGGAGCTAGCCGCAAATGCTCAGGGATTGATAGGCTCTGCTGTGGATTACATGGTTTGTCTTCTTGCTGATATATTTATGCCAACTTATGATGGACCGAGCAACTTTGCCAACAATCTCCTGGGTCACCGCCTGTATTATGGCTTTCGAACAAATATTAGACCTGACAGGAAAGGTCTTGCCCCAGTTTTTATTGCTCGAGAGGAGGGACGGACAGCTGGTTTTGAGGAAGCAGTTAGACGTGTCATGCTCAAAACAAACTTTGGTGGCCCTCACAAACGTATCTCACCCGAATCATTTTATACAAATTCTTGGCCTGAATGTTTCTGTCAGATGGAAACACAGAATCCTGCTGATAAATGTCCATCAGAGAATGTCATGCAAATTTTGCATAGCCAGTTAGAGAGTGAAAATATTGACTTGGAAAAACACAACCGATCCGATTCAATAGAATCTTTGGCAGAAAGATAAGAATTGTCTTCTATGTTTTTAGTAGTTAGTTACTCTTTCCCCAGTAACAAACCCTGTACAACAAATTGGAGCTGGGGGTCCACGCAACTATATCGGGTCTTTCAGGTAATTTTAAATCTCTGATTAGTATCTTCTAATGCGTTTAAGTGTTTAAATTAACTGTTGTGCTTTATCTCATAAACTTTTATCTACTTAGGTCACTTCTTGCATGAGAAGAAAAATGATGCTAACTCGTTTTATTTTGAATTTGTTATACATAGACGTTTACTTTTTCATCCTTTCTCTCTCTCTACACACACACATCTATACATCTATCATCTATAAATATGTGTGTGTGTGTGTGTGTCTCTCTCTCTCTCTCTCTCCCTCTCCCTCTACACACACACACACACATCTATACATCTATCATCTATAAGTGTGTGTGTGTGTGTGTGTGTCTCACTCTCTCTACACACACACACACACACACACACACGTTTATAGATGATAGATGTATAGATGTGTGTGTGTGCGTGTGTGTGCACATACTTATAGAAGATAGATGTATAGCTTGTACTTGGTACACACACACACACACATATGTGTGTGTGTGTGTTTGTGTGTATATGTATATGTATATGTATATGTATATGTCTTCCTTTTCATCCTATATTTGCTGATCTGACGATATCTGATGATAGCTTGTACTTGGCACTCTACTGAAAGATCATCTTACGAAACCATGTAAAATCTGTTGGGTGCTGCAGGTTCATGCTATTTGGGTTTGGGTTACATCGATTGGTTACATAGGAAGAAGGCACCTTATTTCCAAATATCTTAGTCTAGCACATGGATCTGATTGATTTTTGCAGCTTTGTATTTTTGTGATTTACACTTGCTACTACACTGGAAGATATCTGATTTCTTGTACGATATTTCTCTTGCGGCGAGTAATTATAGTGTATATCTAACCATACTTCTGAAAGACAATTCTTTTGTTGAGTCTTAGCATAAGCAGAATATCTTACTCCAGGCATCGATGATACCCCCACCATTCACACTTTCACTTGTAGAAAAAGGATTGTTTTATCACAGCAGTCTAGCGATTTTGGTTTCTCTCTAGCATTAATGAGGTTCAGTTGTTCATGTCATACACTTGATTGCATGGATGCTGTGCAGTACAGAGGACAAAGTAGAATTATCTGGAGAAACATTACATCCAACTCTGTGCTTACAAAAAGAGTTTCAGTGAAGATCGGTAGGGTCTAAATATGGAAGCTCATTTAAACGAAAAGGAAATGAACGATACCTTCAAAGAGAGACCCAGTGAAAACCCTTTCAGTCACAATGAACGAACGTTCCGATAAGTGCAATGGGATGTGTCTATTTATCTATCTCTTGACTTAAAATGGGAGCAGATTTGAAAAAAGATCTTAGGGTGTTTACCAAAGATCTTAAGAGTTTAAGGTAGAGCCTGAAGGGTCTTTTAATGCCTTATTTCTTCTTCTCATTCGAGTTATTTAAAAAAGACTTGGCATGGTAAGGAAGAATAGGAAACAAGCACACTTGGAGAGCCTTCTTTCTCTAGTTTTTCGGCCTTGCAGTGGTAGAATCTTCTAGCCAACATATCCTAAGCAATAACTCATGCAAATATAAGGAAAATAAAACTTGTTTCCTCGGCTTTGACAGTTTTCACCGTCCTAAAATTTAGACCAAAAATAAACAGGAGAGATGACGCCCATATTGGGCTTGGTCCTCACTTGTTGTGTCAAAGGGGCTTCGGCCCCTCATCTGTCATCCCCTTGCCTGCTACTGTTTCTGTAGTTCAGTAAGACCCGTGGGCCTTGGCCATTCCCCTAAAATCAAATGGTTTGTTTCAATTTGTTTTTTTTTTTAACACAAAATAAAAATAATCATACTCCCCATAACATTACATGGGGTTCATCTGTTCATTACTAAGTACATTTGTTCACGTAATGATTTGCCTTACATGAAGTGGTTATAATTTTAAATCGCAGACAATTAAAAAGACTAAACAGTCGAAAAACTATCACAATTTATTATAATACTAAAATAATAATAACAGAATACTTCAAAACTATTACATAATTATCATTATTTAAAACTGAGTGTGGTTCGCACGAGAAACTGATTAATAAGGCAATAAATGCATAAAACATGGATTTATATACATCATTATATACAATCCATTCACACTTTATAACATACATAACAATTTCTCATCATATAAGCCATTGCAAGGATGCTGAGCAGCAGAGGGGAAGAGCACAATTACTTGGAGAAACATTGTAACATGCAAACTCACCTAAAGGGAAAAATTGGATGCAAGGTTCCAAGTTAGATCTAGCGAGTTCAAGGCCACGCTTTTTAATTAGGACAGTAAAAACAATAAACAGCGAGATAAAAGCCTAAAAACCAACAGCATTATCATGATCCTGTCAACGACATTTCTGTATTTATGCCAAATCTAAAGAATACAAGACCTACAAATAGCCAAATAAAGAAACATGCTTCTCTACCACCACGTTGACAAATCTAGAATACAAAATGAACAAAGAAAAAAAACCCTGCTTCACGATGACAATCAGTGCAAAGTGACAAGGGACCATCTCCCTCTCAGTTAAGCTGTTCCCGTCAACCAACATTTACATCCAGTCATTTACAAACACTAAATTCTCAGATGCGGTAACGAGGAAAGGCAACAAAATAACAGGAAGTGTGAGTAAAAAGAATTAGTGTGATGGTTGACCACGCAACTTGTTTGCAACATAGAGCAAATGACTAATGTTTGTTGGGGGATAGTTCTGGAGTAGCTTGAGAATAGAAGTGAAATCCCCTGCTAGTATACGCCTCCGAATGAGAATCAGCATTGCACAACATACCCTGAGCAATGTCTCCTGCAAATGTAAAAAAAAAAAAAAAAAAAGTTGATTTCATTAGCTTTGACAATGTTCATCAACCAATTTTTTACCAAAAAGTAACACAAGCCATGATGCCCGTTGTGTTCCACTACATAATACGTCAATAGAAACATTCGAGCAAGTTATCTCACTAAGGTACAGTCAAATTATGTGATGGCCATCCACATCTAGCCTATGTAATACCACAGCTTCTAATTAACCATCTCTGTTGGAACTTCACCATCTAAAATGATCAAAATACACTATAGTTTGTCAGTGCTCTGCAACCAATGATGGATTTCCACCTCTCACTCATGTCATATAATACCATCTCATCATATGTAGTCTAGAATCATTATAGTCCAATGTTGAAGTCTTAGGCTTGTAGCCAAAAGGTGGAACCATAATGGAATCAAGGTTCTAAAAGTATTCTATCCTACAGCATTTACAGTCTATTTCATGATTTTCTACCAGAAGAATTTTTCAGCTCAATTTGTATGTATCCCAAGAGACCCGTTACTTTTCCAGCCATAGAGATACAAATTTTCCTCAAAGTCATTATGATATAAGGTGGAGCCCTATGGGACACTAAGGGTCTAAAGAGTTTGCTCCATCAACCCTATAATTTGGTCCTTGGGAGGGTAGCATCCTTGTTCTACTTATCAAAAACACCTTCAAGGACAAGAATAGAGATTAAACGAATTTTACCTGGGGGCCCTCGGGGTCACTTAGAAGTGTGTCCCAAATATGAAGACTATCTGCGAAATTGAACTCCTGAGTCAAGAGGAGAGTAATCCACCGAAATGCGTAAAACTGGGGGTTGACCTGTTGTTTTTAGAGAACAAGAAGCAAGCATTTCAAAAAAATTATTTGACCGAAAGATAAAGCATACGTCAAATGCCTCATAACTATCTATTGTACAAATAAATGTTGCTTAATGTTTAAAATTTATGAAACATGCGTGAGTTATAAGCACAAACCAACTAATATAATTTCAAAAATCTGCCTGAAATTCGTGTCACTTATTTTCATTTTTGTATATCAAAGAAACTATTGTTTCATATTTATAATAGAGTACAAAATCATCCACATGTGACAAAACATGTCTTCGTGCATAGCAAGTGAATATAAATACATAACTGTATGATAGTGTCTTACTTTAGTTGTGACCTCAAGATGACGCCAAAGTTCTTCATCATGCTCCTTCAGAAGCTGCGACAATCTTGTAATAGTTGAACGAATTCCCACAACACTGTTGTCAAGTTGCTGACAGAAATGATCCCGGAATCCACTCAATAACTCGACAAAGCAGAAAAATGTGTCTGCTTCTGCACAGGCCTGCATGACTCAAATGAAGGAAATGATAAACAAAATGAAACTCAAAAGGATAATTAAAAAATGACACTAATGGTTACACAAAATTACAGGATCAGTGATGACAGTGGATATTATGTTGACTCTTAATGCTATGCATCTGTCTTGTTCTAACAATTCATTGGTGCCACAAGATTAAGCATTGGCATCTTAACACATATCAAATCTTCTTTTATTTAGTTAACTTCATTGTGGTCTCGGGAAATAACAGTAGTATTGATGCATTAATTATGCGTCTTGAAATAACACTGGCCTTGATGTATTAAATTATGGAGACTTTCTCTACCTTCACCATTTCCACTGAAGTCCCAACATAATTGAATGATAAAATGTCTTTCTGACAAAGTGGAAAGCAACAGGACACACTTACCGCCATTTCCTCATCAGGGTCATTTTTTAATACGTAGAACAGCGGTGCCAAAATTTCATTCATCCCTTGTACATATCGTATACCCGGATTTAACTTTGCAAATACAATCAGTATGTTTCTCAAGGCCTCCTGAAGAGGAAAGGGGCAAATAAGTCAGCAAAACAGGTTTTAAGTTGATATCAAATAGAAAGAAAAACAAAAATAATAAGAGCACACCTGATTAGATTTTGCAAATGATGTGTCGCCAGAAAAGAAGTGCAGGTCTGGATGAGTGCGTTTCACATCTCGATCAATCTGCTCTATGATCTCTGAGTCCTACAAAATGCCAAGGTTAGAGATGCATAGTTTAGACAGACAGTGCAAACATCCTGCGAATATTAGCATGTTGTTTTGCAGCGGCACAGGGTCTTGATATTTCAAATCAAGTAGACGAAAATATGATGGACATGGGCAATAAGCTATTATCCTTACACATATCAGGTCATATGCACAGACTTCATACTTGCCAAAACCAAATTATAGTAACCGATGGCATTATTTATATGTGACCACTAGCTGTCATGATGCAGAATGGTACTAAATCATATTCCCAGGACATCTCGAAGAAGAATGAGCAAGGCATTATCAAATTTACTTTGGTATTTGTTTAACATTTTTCTGTTCAAAGTTCCAAACCAAGACCTATCTATTACAAACCAGTTACTTCCACCAGACACAAAATTCCCATTTTCTCAAGACTTACTGCATTTTGCCTTTTTAATTCTCTGAAAAAGAAGCTAGTATGCCACATCTAAATACATTTTGACTGACTGCAAAGATTCCCTCCCCCTCTCAACCCACCCACAACCCCCCCCCCCCCCCCAAAAAAATAAATAAATAAATAAAAATAAAAGACTGCATAGATTTAGTGATTTTAAACATAGAGAAAGAGAAGTAACAATGGATGGTAGGCTTGCACGATAGTGCAGAAAATATCCAATGTTTAAAGTATCCGTGCTATGAAGCAGTTGATTTCATACCTGAAAGAATTGATTCCAAACACTGCTTTTCCCAAGGCTCAAAGGATGCTCCCCATGAGGTATCTCTGATCTTGAGAGCACACGACGGCTTTCAGATTTTCCATCATCATTGTCAATAACAGTGGTTTTCTCCAACCTCCTTGTTATTTCTGACTAACTAGCCACAAAAACATTCAGAATCCCAGAACCTTTGACAAGAATTTTTAAAAAAAAAACTGAAGGCAGCAGCACATCCTTATTGCAAAAAACACTTCACTCGTCCGTTAGCTCGCTCTAGTATCCTACTTATAAAACCCCAAGTTGATCTAGGTCAACTAATTATGTTTCTTGAAACCATACATTCAGGATGGAATTTAAATTATTTTTACAACCTCTTCACAATTTTAACTTCCTATGCTTTCAAACTTGTAAGGACTAACCCGATCCCCACCCACCCAACAAAAAAGAAAAATTCCATTATTTAAGAATATTAACACCAACAGAAAACATCAATAAAAACCCAGCAACAAATTGGATAACAAACATGCTATATTATATTTTATAACCTTTACGATACTTTTAATTCCCCATTAAATGACTAACCAATAAAGGCATTAAAATCCCTGCCATATGACTTACAGGATTCATCAAAAGCTCCTCTTTAAAATGCTTGTACTGAGATCTCTTCTTAGCCAATTCAGATGACCAAAGCGAACGATCAGGCGGTAAATACCCCAACAAGAGCTGCCAAACACAATCAATAAGCTTAAATTCAGACCATTCCATTTACTCGCAAGACACTCACTCCAATCAACAAAGGAAAGAGAGAATAATATACTTCAATGCCCCCATTATCCAAATCAGACCATTCCATTTACCCAAATCAGCATCAATTTTCAGTTCTCTTGAAACCCAAAATCTCTACATTTTCTAATTTTTAAACCCAACTCACCATAAGCTTGAAATACCAAAATTTCAAGATTAACCCATTACTCAAGACAGTATACATTCATCTCAGAACACAGTTCTTTCACTAAAAAAAAAAAATCAAAATCATAAACTTCACAAGAAAAAAATAAAAACAAAAATCAAAATTACAAATTTATCACCTTCCAAACCGTGGAACGAATACCAGCACCATCGGGTATTCCTTGAGAAGCAATTCTCCTTAATTCCCCCATATTTATCACCTTCCTTGATAACTGCATCCACAAAACAACGCTGCTTCAAACAGAAATTCAAAAATTGAAATAAAAATTAAAATTAAAAAAAGGAAGAAAATTTGAACTAACCTCAGTTAAAAGCAGAGCCTGCTTTGAAATATCCTCTACAGAGCTCTCATTATTATCAACATTTCGCATATCATTACTAGTAATAATTATTTTATTATTAATAATATTATCATTATTGTTATTATTATTACCATTATTGTTATTATTATTACCATTATTATTATTATTATTGCTGTTGTCGATAACGATGCTGGTTTTCGAATGCTTATCTTTAATCTCAGGTTTTTGCGGATGATAATTATGATGGAGATGATGATGACGCGGCGGTTGCTGTTGTTGCTCGTCTCTGATAGCCGCAGGAACTAGCGGTGGATCGATTGGGGATTCGATTAGTGGAGAGGCGGTGGTGGGGGATGAGTGCTGGTCGAAGCGATTGGTGTCGGAGGAGGAGATGGTGGGGGTGGAGGTGGAGGTGGAGGAGGAGGAGGAAGGAGTGGTGGACCAGAGCGAGCTGTTAAGCCAATCTGGTACCTTTTTCTTCACCATTTTAATTCAAAAGGAAGAGATTTTGGACTGATTTTTTTTTTTTTTTTTTTAATTTTTGGTGATTGATTGATTGTATGGCGAGTGAGGGAGTTTCGTCTTTCTTGTTTGTTTTGGATTCGAAGGAGGTGAAGGGGCGTGCTGGAGTGACAGCAGGTGGTAAGGAAGGGCTGTGAAGGAGCAATTGGAGAAGTCCAGCTTGATTTTATATATATATATATATATGGTCCTTTCTATTTACCTAAAACGAAGGAAATCAATAGGGGTCAATTTTAATTGAGATAACCACATGTATTGTTAGGTGTCTCAACTTTTTCGTTTTCTACAATTATATGTCTCGATTTTAATTTTTATTAATTGAGTTGTTCATTTTTTTTTATTACACGCAACTAGGGGTTTCAATAACATCAATTAGAAATCTGTTGATTAAAAAAAAAAAAAAGGGTCAATTGTGAAATATTTATTCTATTTTATAAAGTTTAAAAGTTAAAAAAAAAAAAAACATTGTAAATAAAAAATTTAAATCATAAAAATGTTACTTTTGAATTGATTAATGACGAGACATACCTAGAGTGATATATGTCTTTAATATAAAGTTTCAGTTTTCATATAATCATTTATGATGCGAGCTATTGAATTTTTAGTACACGTTTATTAAGAAACTTGATTATGTCATTTTTAAAGGATGAGCAACTTAATTGATATAAATTAAAATTGAGGTATTCAATTGTGAAAATCTAAAAAATTTGAATACTTAATATATCATTATCTCATTTTAATTAGATACTAGTGTATCTTATGTTGAAATAGTGAATAATAATAATATAAAAAAAATTAGTTTTTACAAAAATTGATTAGTGTATATATATATACACACACTCTCTCTTTCTTCTCTCTCTCTCTATATAGAGAGAGAGAGATTTTGATAAATGTAGCTATTCCATATTTAGGGAATTTAAAAAAAAAATTATTAAACACATTTAGCTTATTTTTTATTTTATTGGGCATGAAAGTTAAATCATGCTTTATAGAAGCTATTTAATATTTAAGAAACCAAAAAACATAAAAATGATATTGGTTCGGAGATTTTAATGTAAGGACTTGGTTATATTTTTGAAAAATTATCAATCACATAAAAATATTTTGTTTTGAAAAAGATATTACGTCCGGTTTAATTGTAAAAATTTATCTCCTACAAATTTCTATTTTTACCAAATTATTTTCGAGTCAACTTCAAAGTTTATTATCTAAGTCAAATTATTATTATTATTTTTTTGTAGCATCATATTGTACTAATCGTTGGAGCCTATCGTTGAGATTTTCATCAATTTAATATTGAATTCAGTTTAAGTCTTGACATAACTAATATGTCGTAAAACGACCTAGTTACTAAACATGATTGATTTGAATTAATTAATAACAACAATCTTTATTAGACAAGAAACTTGTTAGTCTAATATTTTCTTATTTTTGTTCATTTTTTTTATATCTTTTTTCTATCATTTTTCTTTTCATTTGTAATTTTTTTTTATTTTTCAAATTTGATAAAAAAATAGTCATTAATCCTTAAAAATTAAGAGAATAACCATTATTTTGAATCCTTTTAATCGTGATCCCTCATAGGAAGCCCAATTCAAATGTGAAACAAAATTCCAAAAGTCCGTTTCTTTAAAACCCAACGAGAACCCTAATTTTTCTCTTCTATTTATAATCAAAAGCTCTCCTTCTATACGTCCTAGGATCGAATTTACTTAAATCCTAACTTTTTTTGTGACTATATAATCTCAAGCTCCTGCCAGTTTTGGCTCTGTCATGAACAGAGCCAAAACACAATGCAAACGTGATTTGTGTATTGTGTCTCTCTGTGTAGGTGTTGCGCAAGCAGAGATGGGTCTTGGCTGGTACAAATGCTAGTCAAGACTGATTTTTTTCAAAAAAAAACCTAGAGTAACTTGACCTATATGTTCTAACTTTCAAGTCTTAATTTTTTCTTTTTTATTTTAATGAGGAACATTTGATAAATAATAAAAAAAAAATAACGGTTGAAAAATTGATGAGAAGATTTAAACATTATCCAAAAACATAATAGATATAATTAGAAATAAGTAACGATAAGAATTGAGCTATTTACGTAACATACATGATGAAAATCAGAAAATGGTTGACGGAATTAGGAGAACCCCTAGTTGCTTGACCCTGGTAAAAATGCTATCACAATACCAGTTTTGCAGTTAAAATGGAGAGACTTTGAAAGTAAATCATAGCATTGCAATAAAAATAAAAATAAATCATTAAATACAGCAAAAAAGAAGTCCTTAAACATGATAGTTCTAGAGTATGTTCACCGTCTGTCTACTCATGCAAACCAACCTACACTCCAAGCCACTTAGTAGAATACCATGACCCCATGATTCAAAATACGTTCGGATTTTAGCTTTTGTTTTCACAACTTTTTCAGGGTCCATGTGTTTTGCAGAATTGCAATTTCCCAGACGCATAAGTGGAGGGGTACCTTGTCACCTTGATCTTGATCTATACATGCATTCAAGCTATGATGGATGGTACTTCAGCTTCTGTGTTGTCTCTTTTTAAGCAATAAATCAGGTAAAACACAAAAGTAGGTATGCCCTTTTGCACTTTGATTCCTCTCCCAGTAGGGATGGCAATGGGGCTGCCCCGCCTCAAACATTTTGCCCCGTACTCACCTCGTGCCTTGCGCAGGATAATATTTCTCATATGATCCTCGCCCTAAATGAGGACAAGGACTCCTGTGGGACATCGATGTCCCATTTAATTTTTTGCTTCTATCCCGTCTCACTTCATTCTACTATTATATTTCAAATTATAGCAAAAATATGATAATTCATATAGAAAATAAACTCTAAGAACCAATTGTCATAAATTTTATAAAAAGTATAATTATAATTTCAAAAATAGAGCCGGACAAACGAGACAAACGAGACAGGGCGGGCAAATACCATCCCCGCTCCATCCCCATTCAAAAGTAATACGAGACGAGGTGTCTCACCTTGTTCCCCAATCAACTCGAGAAATCCTTACAATGATCGGGATAGGGTGGGGCAGGGTTCCGTTAGGATGGGTCAAATTGCCATCCCTATCTCTGCCGTTATCATGCTGTAATGGGTAACACTCATAGGCTGTTCATTAGGTGTTATACTTTCAAAAGAGTTTCCTTTTCTTTTCTTTGCATTGTTATTTGATCAATATGTTAAAAACATTACGTAATCAATACTACACTTAGAACAAAAGAAGAGTATGATGACACTAATCAGAAACGCTTGAGGACAACAAAGCTAATCAGTTCAAAAAAATGTGACGAGACAATTTGTTGTTTTTAACTGCTAATATGGTCAGATTATAGACTGATAATGTTAATTGGAAGATACATTTTCTTTCAAATTGCCTATCTAGATGTCAGCTGTTCTCGGACTAATGCCTTTCTGTTCATTTATACACCGGAAAAGGAAAGGGAAAAGTGGGGAGAAAAACAACTACAGCCTCAAAAATATAACACCAGAAAAATCAGTGCCTGGCACTCATGCCTCGGGATAAAATGTCCGACGCTGTTGGCCGCTCGTGTTGCATGGCACTAAGCTTAGCCAAATCATCCCCTTACAGGCATTCCTTCAAGCTGAATGTGCTAAAAGCGACATTCGCAATTACGGTCCAGCAGAACCTTGACATCCAGAAGCATTGCATGGCGATGATCAGATGTTAAATTTCATGCAGCTGGACACTTTGGAGAACTTCCCGCAAGTCTGGTTCCAGAAATGAAGTCCTGTTCCAACTGGAATCCTCACTCCCCATAGTTGGGCCTCCTCGCATTAGTTGCTTCATCCAATGGCAGAACCAAACAAACCACCGACCAAAGATGTCCCAACTCCCAAGGCAATCCTCCAGTAATAGAGCAACCCAGATTCTCCATTGAGATACCATCTAGAATCAGTTTAACCATATCAGGTTGGGAACTGTTCCACCAACGAAGCTCAGATTTCTGGCAGCTGGTGTCTTAGATCTCAGGGGATGTGCAAGCATGCTGCACTGCCTGCTCCTGAATCATGTTGAAATGCAACCCAAGCCATCCTTAACTACCTATATGGCTATCTTACGAAAAGACTGGTGTGCTGTTTACAGATGAGCTTGTAGTTATTTACTGCCATAGATATGACACTATGCCATAGAGGTATGATGTTGATGAGTTCATATGGTCTATGGTCCTATATCAAGCAAGACAGTATTACAGTAATATTCAATACATGTATAAAAAAGACTGGAATGCTGAGATATAGAAAACCGAAAAGATATGAATACATCAGTAAATGTTACTATAGAAGGCCTGGATCCATACCATTTTACCAGTGATCACCACATGAACAAGATCCATCCATGAAATGATGAACTCGCTTCATATCCCTCAGTATGATCTCCCTTTGAATCATCTTACTAGCATATTTCATCAAAGAATGGCAATCCCCACAAACTTGAAGATTTTTCACAATCCTAATAGTCATGCCAGGAGAAGTACAGATGAGCGCAAAGGAAAGAGCTAACTTCTCACTATGAATTCCCAACACATCTTCCTTCTCCTCTAGTTCTATATTATGGAGTACCCGCTCACTTCCAGGCATGTATCCTTGTTTCACTGTACCTGCCACTATTTCTTCTAATTTCAGGTTTATTGCTTTTGCATCCTTGTGATCATGATCACCAGATACAAAACGATGCACTTGACCCTCCACCTCAATGTAACTCCACCCACAATCTTTGTGAACACCTCTATTCTGCATCAGAACTCTCACTCTCTCCACATCTTTCCATCGGCCTACTGCAGCATAAGCATTTGACAAGAAGACGTAGTTCTCAGTATGTGTGGGTTCAAGCTCCAGGAGCTTCTTTGAGGCTAATTTTGCCATTTTGGTTTCCTTGTGAACCCTACAAGCACAAAAGAGTGCTCCCCATACCATAAAATCAGGATCCATTGGCATGCGATCAATGAATCTGAGGGCTTCTTTAAGCCGACCAGCCCTGCCTAGCATATCAACAATCAATGTATAGTGTTTCATAGAGGGTTCAATGCAGTAATCAAACCTCATGCTGTGGAAGAAGTTAAGTGCCATATCTACTTGACCAGAATGCATGCAAGCAGTTAATATGGCAAGAAATACAACCTCATCTGGTTTTATACCTGCAAATATGACAATCTCAAGTTTATTCAAGAATTGCAAAAAAATAATTGAACAGGATTAGAGTAGAACTAAAAAAAAAAAAAGTCAAACCTGCAACCATCATTTGTTTAAAGCATGTAATTGCTTGCTCAGAAAGTCCATGGATTGCCCAACCCCATATCATAACAGTCCAAGTACGAATACTCTTCTGTTTTGTCTCTCCAAACACCTCACTTGCAGACTCAATATTCCCACATTTGGCATACATATCCACCAAGGCAGTCCCAAGTCCTTCAGTCAACTGGAAACCTTTATCCTTGACATATTTATGTATGCGTAATCCAGCATCAAGGGCACCAATCTTTGCACAAGCAGAAAGAGCGGAAACTGTGGTGAAAACGTTTGGCCTCTCTCCCTCTAACATTTTAGAAAACATTAACAGCGCCTTCTCATAGTCTCCATTCCGCGAAAACCCATTAACCATTGTGGTCCAAGAAATCACATTCTTCTCTGGCATTTGATCAAAAAGCTTCATAGCTCGATCCAATTCCCCATTTTTCACAAACCCATCAATCAAAGTACTCCAAGACACATTCTCCTTCTTCGGCATAGCCTTAAAAAGCTTCATGGCCTTCTTCATATTCCCAGCCTTGCAACAGCCATTAATCAACACATTCCACAACAACGCACTACTCCCGCTATAAAATCTCTCAGGACTTTCATCAAACACCTTGAAAGCCGACCCCAATTTCTCAACTTTTACATACATGTCAACCAAGGAAACTCTTACAAATAAGTCAAATTCAATCCCACACCTCAAAACCATACAATGAATAACCATGCCAAGCTCTTTTAAAAACAAACCCGTGCTAGATTTTAGCACAAACGGATATGTAAGCTGGTCAGGCTTAATGCCTGACCTTAACATCAGCCTAAAATGAAAAATGGCATTGAAAAAATGAGAATTTTTGGCGAGCCCACGAATCAATGCATTGAATGTAAACAAATTCTTGAGTTTATGGTGGTTAAAGACTGCCAGCGAGTAGTCAATGGACTTGCGCAAAGAAGACGAAGAGATTAGTTGGGTAGTAATTAGGCTGCTTGAAGAGAGGTTGTGGATGATGATTTGGGTGTGGATTTGGGAGAGTTGGAGAGTGGTTTTGGAGGCGTGAATTAGCGAGATGATGTGGGTTTCTGTTGGTGGAGTTGGTGGAATAAAGAGAGCAGAAAGTGAGCTGGTCGGTCTTGTGGAGATGGTTTTGGTGGTTTCTGGCGGGTTTTGAGAAGGTGGTGGTGCAATGGAGGAGGAGGAGGAGGAGGAAGTGGTGGTGGGTTTTCTTGTTTTTGAAGCGGTGGGGGAGGCGGAGGTGGAGGTAGAGGTTGCTGTTTTGGCGGGAGAGGAAGTCGGTTTGAATAGAGCATGGAGTGACTTCATTGTTAGAGAAAGTAAAAAGCGAGTGGAGTCAAACATGCATTATAAAATTTCTCGCAAGTAAATATTGGAATGTTAATTTATGTTGAATAGGGAAAGGCTTCTGATTTTAAGTTCGATCTTCGGACTTGAAACTTACCGAAAATGAACTTGATTTGATCCTTTTTTTTTTTTTAAATATTTGAATTTGAATCCCACTATAGGCAAGATTGATAGTAAATAATAATTTTATGTTTTCTCTTAAAATTAGTTTAAAATTTTAAGCTTCGATTCTAACATAGATGCAATAAAAGTTTTCTCATATATATTGTGGATTGAATAAGCTAGTTAAATTAACTTTAAAAAAAAAAGAAATGAAATTAGCTTGGAATTAGACCCAGTTCTTTCACCTGAGTTCTCCCTTTTCCGAAATTAACCATCTTGAGAAATCATAGAGATTCTCCCTTTTTCGACATAAAAAGGTACAAGCATAGTATCAAAGCCCTTACCAGCAAAATTTCGCTTATTTCTGTATATCCACGAAATAAACAAACCGAAAATTCGTGTATGACACAACAAAGAGCTTAATCCACAACAGCATAATTTGTTTTCTAGGGAAATAAAAGGAAAAGTAGAATTAGTTGATTTATGAAGACAAAAACCATTTTAAAGGACTCCGAAGAATGGATTATTTATTGCAGAGGTCAGCTCAGACCCAGCTGAGTTCAGCACTGCCATGTCCACCTTATCCCTAGCAAGAAAAAGGAACTCATCGCCTTCAATTTTCTCAAACCCACACAGCTCAAGAAACCCAATGCCTCCTTGGAGCGAACCGACTCTATCCTGTTTCATGCAATGTATAGTGACAGCAAATAAAGAAACAAGAAAACAATTGGCCAAAAACCTAAAAGAGTTCATACTCAGTGTGAAGGCTAAATTAGGTGCAGAAAGTTGACTGATCACATCAAATGATCCAATAACGCCACATACTTGTGAAAATAGGTGCTAACAGTAATCACTCCGGTGGTGAGCAGCAAATTACAATTGGAGTGGGGCATTAAATAATATACATATTTCCTCAAATATAATTTAGCATAAGAAGTTGCATACCTGGAAGGTTTGATTATTGAGTCTTATTTTTCTGAACTTCTCCTCGCTAGGGTTTTTGGCAACATTCCCTATGTAAGTTAGGAGAGTCTGGAATGCTCTCTTCACTTTAGCATCATCATCCTAGCCTCACAAAAGCAAATGAAGTGAGGCTACTATTAAATCTAGTTTATGGTGCATTACAACTTTAACAGTGCTATACAAATTTAAAAGAAGCTAATGAGGAACAGTAAGAGTAAATGATAATATCTGAATGCATGAATGGTTAATATTTGAATGCATCAGCTTTTCTCAAATCTGTACTGGTGAAAGTTGAAGCTGAGGCTACAAGGGCCTGAATCTTCACCATGTGACATAGCAAGTCTTCAGTGATCTTTCTCTTGCTTTTAAGTTCTTAATTGATTTCACAAGATTCATTTAAAGATCAACAAGTTCAACACTTGGATCATCTCTTAAGTTACTCTGCTTTCTATCTTTGTACGTACTTGACCTTAATTTTTTACACAGATTGATAGACCTTTGGTCGGTCAAATTCTTAAATTTGGTAGATATTGTATTTTATTATTCATTATCCTCTTTCCTCTCTCTCCCATTATCCTCTTCCTTTCTCAGTCCTTCTTTTAGTCATATTTTATTTCTTAATCTAATTAACTCAACTGTCCAGGGTCAAATCCCCATGAACATATAAGAATAACAGAAACGGAAGGAAGGATAAATAAATTTGAATTGAAAGATAAAGCAAACCACTCAACATGTATACATAATATACTACTTAAACAAAAGAAACAATTAAGCTATTTTAATTCTTGTTTCTGGACTGTGATAATGAAGATCTGGAGTAGAATCGTGTTCACCTTATGACTCTGCTTAAGAGATCGCAAGCATTCTCTCATTTGCTCTTGCTTTGTGGCAGGCCTAACAGGCAGCATGCTCTGCAAAAACATTTGCGGAATATGTTAAAAACACATTCTGAATGACTTACATCAAGCCCATGTTTATTCCTCGTACCTTTTTCTCCTCCACAACAGGTGCAGAAGGTTTTACAGTTGCAGGATCTTCTGGTGGCAATCCAAGCTTCCTTCTTCGTTCTGCCTGTGAAGCACCCAACTCCAGTCAGAAATAAACTAATAACAAATGGAATTGTTCCAAATGTAAACTTGAAAAACCAATGGCACACAGTACACTGGAAAGGGAAAAAGAAATTAGAAAATACAACTCTATACCATCAACCAAATGAGATCTAGCAGTATCTTGCCATTTCCTCTTCGTAATGCTTAGTGATGTGCTCTTTTCTTTTAAAATATGTTTAAAGTTAATATATTAAAACCATATACGAATCAATTTAAAAAACTAGGTCAAACTCGCAAAAATAGTTTAATTACTTCAATTGGGGAGAAGAAAAATGAATAGAACAGTAGCAACCTTGTCTTCTTCCAATTTCTGACGAATTTTTTCCCTAGCCCTCTTCTCTTCCTCTTTCTCTGCCTTCCGTAGGGCCATCAATCTGAGAAGGATTTTTTTTTTTTCAATTGCAGTAATGGGAAAGGGCAGTTTTTGTTACACAAATAAAAAAATTTTTATTGACGCGCACCAAAATGGTGCAAGTTTGCAACCATGTACAAAAGCAAGAAACTCATTTACTAGAAGTGAATCTACCAAAATCATGCCAAAAAGGGACAAATAACATCATATCAAACACAAAGTGCAAGTACAGTGAAATACAACAGAAGAGCAAGGGTAGATGAAGACAAACCGCTTTCTTTCATTTTCTTCTTCAATTCGCTTTGCTTCTAGGAGTTCCTTGCCAATTCGAATCCTCTCCTGGAAAATTAGTTTCCAAAAGCACATTATGAAAATATAGCACATAGAACAATCAAGGCAAGGGTTTAGATACCAAGATAATGCATCACAAGGAAAGGCTTCAGATATAATTTGGTGATAGAGTTCAAGAAAAGATTACATCAAGTGGATTTTAACGTGTGTGTGGCTATAGACATAACTATTTACTTGGCCTTAGGCAAAGCCTTGAAGAGAAACTAAAATCTCTGCAAATAAACAAACTATACTTATCTCCATAGAAAATGCCATTCACATTGCCAGCATTTTATAACACATTACAACTCTACCAATACTACTAAGGAGCACATAACATATCTTCATACACATATTTGCAAGCATCAGAATAATGTGTCAAAGATTCCATGTTTATGAGGTGAAAGTTAAACGAAGGGTTACAATGCAAGTTTGGGGAACATAGGCAGAACATGAGATTTAGGAACGGATAGATAATATCCTACATACAAATGAGGACAAGAGAGATCTTGTCTCTGCCAGTGTAGACAGATGAGGACAAGATTTAAAAAGGAACGGATAGATAATATCCTACATACAAATACATCATCTAGAGACTGCAAGTTGATATAAGAGAAAATTCGCAAGGAAAACCAAGAAGTAAGGACAATGAAGAAGCACCTTTTCCTTTTCTCTTTCCGTTATCTTCTCTTCCTCCTCTTTCTTCTTGCGTGCGCGCTCCCTTGAAATAATTTTAAAGAAAAGATAATCATGAGATAAAAAAAAATTGATGTGAGCAAACATGCCAATGAAGGCATCATAACTACATACTGTCACTCGAAGCAGAAGCAAACAGCAACAACCACTGCTCCCATGGCGTTGTCCAAACAACAAGTATCCTTTGAGCAATCAAGACTGAACCAATTAGGCTAGCACCAGTTAGTAACCCATAATCCTCTAAGAAGGGTCACATTTACTATATCTAAGAGACATCAAATGAACCAATCAGTTCCCAAGGTTTCAGATTTCCTTCACACCTGGAATTTCTAGGAGCTTTCCCAACCCTCTTAGAAACTACTTCTAAAAGCCATTTTTTACAGAAATTGAGCAGATTTAACCAATAAAACAAAAGGTTAACAGAAAGATAAAATTGTATTGTAAGGCTAGGGTCAAACAAGAAGCATGTAATTTAATCTAGACAAGTTTTAAACCAATAACCTACCCTGAACCCAACTAATTCTCTAACTGAGTCAAGGTCCAGTATCCCACCGCAGAGGTACAGACAAAACACAGTATCAAAATCATCTAGAAATGCTTTAACCACTGACCATGCACTGATCACAAAATGATACAGTGGAGCTTAGATATGCATTTTAATGCACCATACCTTAGTTCTTGTGCTTTTTGCTTCATTTCTTCTGGTGTCAACGAAGGTTTAGGAGCCTCAACTTTGGAGTTGACAGGTACCTGAGCAGACAAGAAGGTCAATAAATCAGAAAGAACAAACAATTTCGTCAGTGGAAGCAATAAAGAAACTTATTTTCAGATCAGTGAGGAAAAAACATGAATGGGAAGATGCACTTAGGCTAATGAAAAAGAATCACACACCATGGGCATTTCATCTATGTCTGGATCATTCTCATGCTCAACTACCCAATTTACAGCAGCCTCAAGACCGGCATTACCTGAAAAAAAAAAAAAAAAAGAAGCAAACACTCAGAAAACTGCAAATGCTTTATGATTTGCTTATAATCGAGATCAAGACACAGTAAGTACAATATTAGAGGCCAAAAATAACATGCTAAAAAATCCAGCCTCATGGATGCCCAATGACACAGACTTCTTATATCTGATGAACAAACATAAAAAAAGATGACAATAAATAACATCACCAGAATAATGAAGTGCCCTGGTTGCCCTTGCTGTTGGGAAACCCATTGTTTCCAATTCCTCGAGGATTTTTTTGTCAACCTCTGGAGCAACCATTTCTAGAGAACAAATAACAAGTGTATTAAGGAACCATAATTACAAAAGAAGGGATTATTTTACAAAGATCAATCTCAAGAAGTAAACAAATATCAGGAATAAAACAATTTTGACAAGAGCCAATATCAATTATCCACTACCACTAAGGACAAGATAACTTATTCATGATCCTCCACTACAAAACCTAAGGCGGACATTTCTTAAGCTACCAGAAAAGGGAAAATGAACAAAAACCAAAGAAAAGGACCACCTCTTTTTATTTTATTTTTTGCTATTTTTCCTAAATAACAAAACGAAAAATAATTAGAGTGGGTGCAACCTAAAAACAACATGTACCCGAAAAAGAGAGCCAAGGAAATAAAATAGAACTGAATACTAAAATCTAGAAATAGCAATTCTACGTAGAACTTTGAAAGAAAAGCATTGAAAATAAGGGAGAACAAACAGCAATTTAACAAACGACTAATTTAACAGCAATGGTGTGCTACAACAATAGTCATGTAAGGCAAGATGATTCTCAAGGCAAAAGTTGTTGCAAAAGTCATAAAATAACAGCAAAGACCTCCACAAACAACAAACCACACAATAATCATAGAGTGACCCAGCAACTCTTAACTACTAATTTCTAATAAAAAAAATTAGAGTCAAATCAAGCACAACTATTCATAAAGTTCATCACCGTCAGTAATCATACCTTCAGGCTGGCTACTGGTGCTTGCATCAGCAGCAGCAGGCTCATCAACATCCATTCCTGTCGCCTTCGGAACCTCTAAGCTTATCGGTTGTGCTGCCTCAGCAGTCTTATCCGCAAAATCGGTATGGCCAGTTCTCTTAGTATGCAAATCACTTTCCTTCACCACAAAATAAAACCAAAACCCAAACAATCACCAACAAATATTCAAAACAATAATTCTTTTTTTTTTTTTTTTGAGATTTGAACTATAAAAGATACCCTAAAAACCCTGAATCCAAGTTCACTAGAAAAGAAACAGCATTCCTAGAGTCAAAAATCCACATTCACAAAACGACAGGTTCGGAAAGACAAAACGACGACACAGAAATTGAGGATTTCATTACTGTTTTGGATCGGCAAGGTTTGCCGCAAGTAGTGCAGACGAGATTGAGCACGGCTTCAGTGGATTCAGAGAAATTGGAATGGGAGGTCAGATCGGCATGATCTTGTGCCTCTTGTACGGACCTCAATAGGGCCCCACAGTCCCCGCACTTCAATGACACTCCCGCCATTGATTTCGATTTGGATTGATCGGCGAAAATCAATCAGAAAGAGATAGACGGTAGCCCTCTGTAATGTAAAATTGGGTTTCTTTCTGGCAGAGTCCTCTCGTGTTTTTTTATTTTGTGTCGCCTTTTTCTTTTTTCATTTTTCCATTTTTTAACTTTAACTTTGCTTGCTGGTAAGGGAAGGAAGATGAAACTGTTGAACAGTATAAAGAAAAAAAAAAAGATGCGTTTTCTTTTTGTCACAGTAAGGAAAGGTTTTATTTTGGGTTTGGGCTGCAGGTTGTGAATCTTGCGATAAGAGAGTCCGATTAAATATTATTTTCAATTTGCCATACTAACTGCCGCTGTCTTGTTTCGGAGAAAATAAGTTTAAAAAATCAATGAAATTTAATTTTTTATTTTTTTTATGTTTATTTTGTGTTGAGAAAAAAATAAATGGAATTTAATTTTTAATTAACGAAATTTGATAAATTATTTTTGAAAAAATATTTTCTTAATTAAAAAAAACATTTTCTTTCTCTCACGAGTTGTTTCGCTCTCGCTTTAGTCACCTTTGTTTCGATATATTTTAATAATTTTTTTCTCTAACTCCTTTTTATTTAAAATACATTAAATTCATTTTTAATTATTTAATTATTTTTTCTCTATTTCTACTAACATTTAATTTTTTGATTTATAAATATATTAAATATTCTTAAAAATTATTTTTATACCTTAAAATTATTTTTATAATAAATATTTCAATAATTTATTTATTAAAAAAAAATTTTTGGCCAAACAAATGGAGTCTAAGTGTTTCCATCTAAAGTATTGAAGTTATCTATCCTAAAATACAATTTTAATGTCAAATCATAATAATTTTTTTATACGAGCTATTTAATGAAAAATATATATATATATATATTATGATTACGAGCATATTAGTATTTGTTTCTATGTTTTAAATTAACTTTACATGATTTTCCCCTCAGTCTATCAATTGTTAGTGATAGTTAAATACTTTTTTTGGATAATTTCATGTAGGCAATTAAAAACAATTTCCTATTATTGATAATAGCATGTGCTTTTATTCTTTCAAAACTCTTGAACTCTTTAACAAATTTTGAGACTTGAAAATTGCTTTTTGAAAATCTGTACGGAAGCTAGATGAATACCAAATATTTAGTACTATAATTTAAATTGTGAAATATAATGTTACAAATAAACCGTTCCTTATTCCTCGTTTATAGGATTTTAAATTTGTTTTCCTTGAATTTTTTTGAGATTTCACAAATACAAATTATAACTTTATTTAGCTTATACTAGTTTTTATTCGCTTTATGCTACGATTAGATAGAATATAAAAAATTATTTTTAAAAAATAATTTTAGTTTGATGATACATATTATATTATGGGGTTTTTAAAATATATCAAATCAAAGTAAAATCAAAACTATTTTTTTAATTTTTCATTTTACTATTTATTCATTGTGTTTTTTCATAATTTTAGTTTGATGATACATATTATATTATGGGGTTTTTAAAATATATCAAATCAAAGTAGAATCAAAACTATTTTTTTAATTTTTCATTTTACTAATTATTCATTCTGTTTTTTCATAATTTTTTTTTTTTGCTAAAAGAACATGATTTATTCTTCTATATCCGGATTCTTAACTAAAAACTTATGAGAAAATTCAAAAATCCATAGATTCTTAGCTAAAATTCTTATGTTTTTTTTCAAAACCAATCTAAGATAAATTATCTAAAAAAATACTTTTAATATATATATATATATATATATATATGAGAGAGAGAGAGAGAGAGAGAGAGAGAGAGAGAGAGAGAGAGGATGAAATTATAATACAAATAAAGTTGTAGATTGAAATAAAATTTGTTGAAAAAACGAGGGACTAAAAAATAGTATGAGTAAAACTTTAAGCATAAAATGTTTGAAAAAATTCTCAAAATTACTTAAAAAAAAAAGATGAATAGCATTGTGAACAAAATAAATATCTAAAAATTACTTAAAATAACGAAAATATTATTATTTTTAAATTATAAAAATATTATCAAGTAAATAGTTTTATGTGAGCGTGTGAATGATGTAAAAATAGTAAAATCTTCATTTCTTTTAGGGTTATTTATTTATAATAATTTGAAGATTCTTTGCCAAGAGTATACCCTCACTCAAATTGATACGACACTTGAATAAAAAGAATAGATGGGTCATCGTCACTTTCTCCATTTTCCTTCTCTCTTCCAAATTACATTCCGGCCATAATATTTGTCTTCGAAAACGATATTATAGTTTCAGTCATTGACTTATACGAGATAAGAGAGTAATCAATGATCCAATTATTGCTGAAACTCGAATCATTGAATGCAGTAAGAACATATTCTAATCCGTCAGCATTAACTTCAACAGTACCAGCCTCAGCAATTTTTTCATCGGAGTCCGTCTTCCTTTCATTTTGGCCATGCTGACTAGAATGATGATATTTTTTCCTTCCATTCAGGACAAGCAATCGTAATATGCAGTGAAAAGAGAGAAACAAAAAAAAAAACAAAACAAATTCAAATGTCGTGATCTTCTTCCTCGAGCACCACGGTTGAACCCAAGGGCGTAGCTGAAGAAGAGTCGGTGGGGTAAGTTGACCCTTCTGAAATTCTATAAAAATGTTAAATATATATTCTACTTTATATAAAATAAAATAAAATAAAATTGCTCTATGAACCCCCATAGTTAATGCAAACCAATATGGGAGAGATAGCCATGGCCCATCTCAAGATGCCAAGGAATTGAAAAAGAGAGAAACAGCTCAATTTTTTTTCATACTAACTCTAAGGTTTAAGTTTAAAAAATCAAAAAATACAATATATATTTTTAACTATTAAACCAACTCATCAAACCACTTAGGACAAAATCAAGTTAATATTTATATTTAATAAAAAAAATTAAGTAATTCTATCATTGTTATTTTGATAGCTCAATTAAGAATTCTTTTTTGAAAATTGAACTGATAAATTTAGTTTTAAAAAATAGTTTTACAAATTCTTAGTTATCATTTGTAGATAATTATTTATTTGATTTCAAAAGATTAATGTTGGAATAATTTATAACAAATTATTGACTACATCACTAACAAAATTTTACAAATGATTAAAATTAGTCACAAATTATTGATTTAGTTGCAAATGAATAGTGTTGAAAAAATAACGTATTTATTAATGAATTAATTAGTTTTAAATTTGTCAAAAAATAATTGCATTCTTGTAATAATCATTTTCAATCATTTAAGCATGGTTTAGGTGGTGTTTCGGATAATAGTACAAAAAAATAGAGATAAATTATTAAAATATTTATTATAAAAATAATTTTAAGGTGTAAAAATAGTTTTTAAAAATATTTAATATATTTATAAATCGAAAAATCAAATGTCAGTAGAAATAGAGAAAAAATAATTAAATAATTTATAAGAAATAATTAATTTGATATATTTGAAATAAAAATGAGATAAAGAAAAAAATTGTTAAAATATATCGAGAGAGAGAGATGAGTAACGCGAGAGCGATACGACTAATGAGATAAATGAAAAATGTTTTTCTCTTTTTTAATTTGGAAAACACTTTTTAAAAAATATTCTATCATTTTTCGTAAATTAAAAATAATTTTTTTTTTTTTAATTTCTAAAATAGAACAAACATAGAAAATTGAGAAAAATGAAGAAAACAAGTTTTTAAAACTTATATTCCCTGAACAAACACAGCCTAGATGAATTTAAGCATCTTATGTAAGGAACCACAAGTGAAACCAGAGATGATGGCAAACGATTGTGTATAGGTGATAGCGAATGATTTGGCCATGAAAGAAGTGAGAACTTTGGAGTCATCTAACAAATATAGTCAGCAAAAGTCCCTAATAGAAAACAAATTATCCAGCATCTTTGGGTGTCATGTTTGAAGAAACGAAGGCTAGCAAGAAAAGTATTCTTGAATGTAGAAAGAAATTCAGAAATTGATGCAATAGAATGTTTTGTTTTAAAGGGAAAAATGTGAAGAAGTGTGACCCCATCGGAACAACATTGGGTTTTTAATACTGAAAAATGCCAAGTATATATTCATGCAATTTGAAACATGTAATTAAATATCATAGAATGTGTTATCATAGGCATGCAAAACACTTTAATTGGTTATATCTTTTGGAAACATAGACAATTGTTTTGTTTCAATAAATAAAGTTAAAATAACTCACTAACGTTATGATATAAGTATTTTCTAAAATACATAATCCAACACCACAAACATCAATACCTATACGTAAAAATAAAATTATTATTAAATAATAAATAAGAGATTTATTCGAAATCAGAAAAAAATTTAATCACTTAAGTAATTGAATTTGGATTTAAAACTTTACGTATATAAAAAAAACTCTTTTAGATTGTTGTGTTTATCTTATATATTCGATATAAAATAATAAAAAATTAATTTGAATTTTTAGATATGAAATATTTCAATGATAGAAAAATAATAATAAATAAAAAATATATACAAATTATATGAATGAAGAGTTATTGGATAGAGATAATACAAAATCTCAAAACTTTCCACGAAATTCAAACGAGTGTATACGAACTTTTCATCATCACTTATTTTATTATAATTCATATCCTTTAACATTATTTTCTCCTTTTTTTATGATTTTTAGATTCGATTCAAGTGATTTAGTAACTCTTCAATTAAAAAAAAAGTATAAATATAATTACTAAGAAATAATTTTTAACTTAAATTAAAAGCATGTTATGAAATTAAGTGAAAATTTTGATTTAAGCAAGAGTTAAATTTTTTATATTTTGACTTTTGGATTGGTGGATTCTAATTTATACTGCCTCCCTACATCAAAATAGTTACTTTTTATCCAAACTTAACTTATTATTATTTATGAAAAATAGTTTTTAAAACATAACTCAAAATTAAGAAGACATAATTCAAAAGACGAAACAGTCCCTTAATCCTAACGAAAAATGACGCCTTGTTTCTCAATAACTGCCAGTCCTCCTGTCATCAACCGGTCATTCTTTAAAACACGTCAAAAATAAAATGTAAAAACAAGAAACAAGGAGAGCTCCCACTCTTTTTCTCTCTCCTCCCAAATTTTTCCGAGAAAAGTCACTAATTTTCCCGAGAAAATCAGAACCACTTCAAGAAACCAATCACACCGGCACTCATGATCTCCAAACCCTAATTACACCTCCGAGTACGACGATGCCAAGCCATGACCTCTTATCATTAACTTCCAAAATCACATTCTCAATCTCAATCGTAAATGGAACCAGAACGCACTCTCTCTCCAGAACCATCGACGTCAAAAACAAAACCAATCAAATCGGAGGAAGTAAAAATCATCGAATGGGAAGATTACGAGCACGAAGGCGCAAGATTATGGAGCCTCTCTTCTGCTCTTAACGAATCTAAACAGAAGAAGCAAATTTTAGAACAGAAACTCCACTCTCTCATTCAAGTAAGCCTTTGCTTTTTATTATTTTCTCCGTAAAATTAATTAATTACATAGTGTTTTTGAAACTTTTTTCCTTGGATCATTTTAGTGTTCTTGCAAGAAATTAAAGAATGAATAGATAAATTTTAATAAAATGATTGATTATTTGTTTGCTTTAGTGTTTTTTGAATGAAATTAGAGAAATGAATATATAAATCTTATTGATTAGCCCGCGGATTAGCGGGTCGTGATGTGGTCGGCAGGTGGAAGAGGAGGCATTAAATAGAGTAAATGAATTGGAGGAGATGAAGGAAAGAGTGTGGGCTCGGAAATCGGTGATAGAAAAAATGAGAGTGCAATCTAAGGTCGTGGAAGAGAATGCAAAAAAAGAAGAGGAGAGACTTAGTTCAGAAGTTCGATCGTTATTGGTTGCGGGTACTGCGCTTTCTGCAGCTAGTAAGCAATTGCAGGTAATAGAAATTTAAATTCGATACTGTTAAAAGAGTTTGTTTGTGTTTTTGGTAAATAGAGTTAAAAGTTTGTGATTGATTACATTTACTGCCAGTGTTTATGTTGTTTTGAGTTTGTTGCATGTTTTGAATGATGTATGTAGCATGAATAGGATGATGGGCGGATTTTATGAAATTCTAGTGTATGGGAAATTGAGGAATGGACATTTATCTTGGTGTTTGAATGCAGAAATGAAACCTTTTCTTAGAAATGAAACATGTGATTGGTCCCTGATTAATGCTATAAGGTGATATCGCTAAGATCTTGATTTAAAATGTTAGTGGTGCTTGGGAGAATATTGAAGGGTTACAGCTTAGTTCTCAATTGGAGGACTGTCAAGTGTTTACTGTTGTATTATGATCATCAGGTTTGCCATGTATGGCACTTGCACACTGGCTTCAGTCCAGGTAATATTCTAAGTTTTTAGGGTGTTACTGTTGTTTGTAGGCAACTGCTTTATTGTGTTTCTTGTTTTGATTTTATTGTGGGTTTAATATTAGATCCCATACGAGTGTGATGGTTTGTAATTGCTTAATATCTCAGGCATTTGTACTTAGTCTTAGCAAATCTGATGCGCCCAAAATGCAATTTAGAGGTTGGCTGCTTCTGCATGTTTGTGTCCTTTTCATAATGTCTCATTTGTTCCCCCATTTGAGGGTCAATCTGCAGCAGGTTTTTCATGTTTATTTTTGTGTTCTATATGGTGGGTCTTAAGAGTATGGCTGTAGTAGTAACATGATCTCTCAGAGGTTCAACCTCAATGGGGTGCAGTATGTGGAGAGTTTCATTTATTTGCAGTGCTTTGTTTATTATCAAATATACATATATGCAATCTTATGAGTAATAAACTCACATGAAAGATAACCATGATTGTGTGGTGCCCAAAAAGTTCTCTTCCAGGCACTACTGCATTGCACATTCAAAGTTCCAAAAATGTCATGCGTGGAAGCTTATTTTTGTGTGTTTTATTCTTTCCTTCTGCTATTACTTTGAAGGATACGGTTTGGTCATACAAGATGTAAGCTCTTTGTGTTATTATCAGTTTTGTTTTTTTTTTTTTTTTAAATATTTGGTGTGAGTGTGTTGTCTTAACATTTCCTAATTTATCTATGAGCTCACATCTGTCTTTTTAGTGCAATCAGTTCTGTTGAATAATTTGTCTATCTCTCGGTTTAATGTTTGGTCAGGCTTTTATACATACTGGCAATATTGAATGTTCGATAATATTTGTGTTACAGGAATCAAGAAGGTCACTTGCCGGAGAAAGGGGTTATCTTTGCTTCGCAAAGTTGCAGAAGAAGCTAAGACTGAGGCAACAGTATATGGTAGCACAAGTTTCGTTGCTTTATCCCATCAAGATATCAGCTGGACCTTCAGAGGAGCAAGAACTTGAATCTTTTCCAAGTAGTAGTAGATCAGGTAATAGGACCCTGATTTAACACTAAAAAATCATGGAAGGCTACAATAAAGTAGGCTGATGATCAATCTCATATCTCTCTTTTGAAGGGTCCTGTGGATATCTTTTTGCAAACCATTATGTACCCAACCATTAATTGTTTGGATATCATGAGCATATCTTATTGGATCTGCTATTGGTTGTCTTTTTTAAGGCTTTTGAAGCTACGGTTTCATCTGTTAAATTATTTGGAATGTTTTTAAGGCCTGCCAACTGAATTAATGCTTGTGAACAGTTTTGTACAAAAGTACTTTTAACTGTAAACAGTTCATGCCAAAACCTCTATTTGGATCATCTGGGTCTGGATGAGTCTGAAAAATAACTCAGAACCCAACAACTAGTCTTGGTTTGGCTTCTTTAAGAATTCAACATATATGAATACAAACGCTTAGGACTTCCTTGCATCATTTTAGTGCCCAGGTGATATTTATCTCCTGGTTTTCTTTATTTGACAATTCACTATATGTATCACTAGTTCTGAAGCCATGCTACGTATTTGGTATGTGCTTTCATATGATTCTTGGTTCGTAATTTCTAATTTAAAGATTGTAACTTCTCATAAACTGGAGTTGCCTCAGGAAGTGAATGCAGGTCTAAGAGGTTCTTTTCAGTTACTTATTAATTTTCTTCTCTCTGTCAGGGAATTATGCTGGATCTAAACCTGTTAATCAAGCATCCTTGACAATTTTGGGTCTGCATTTGTCAATGCTTCCTTTTACAAAGATGAGTCTTTTCACTGACAAGAAGGAGGTTCAGAGGTCTGCTAGTGCCCTCGGATACGTTGCTCATGTGTGTTATTGCTCTTTGCTCAACATGTTATGATCTATTACATTTGTTGCTAGGATTATTTTGTTGCACCTATCATGTGACATCAATTTTCTAGGTTTCTATAATGGATGCATTACCGACTTCATCCACAACTATTTGAAAAGTATGCTAAATAAGATTATATAGCTGTAGTGATATTATAGTATGCGTATGCATTTTCAGGAATTTTTCCAATTGCTGAATTGGTACTGTCTTGGTCAACAATTAAAATGTGCTTTGTTTCTATCGGTTCTTTTGCAGGCTGTTTCACTTATTGCCTCCTACTTAAAAGTGCCTTTGCGTTACCCATTACGTTTGGGTGGTTCCCATTCCTATATTATTGACTCTGCACCTTCAATAGACCCTACATCATCTGATCTGTTGTCAAGTACATCGCCTAATGCAAATATGAAGCCTGTTGAGTTTCCCCTCTTTTTAGAAGGTCAAGATACAACACGAGCAGCTTATGCTGTATTCCTGTTAAACAAGGTAACTTATCATTTCTACCCTTCCTCCTTCTCCATGTTTGGAGGTCACCTCTTATATTTAATGTACTCAATCTGTCCCAAAATATTTCAATTCCAGTTTTTGTCTGTCCTGCTAAAAAAGCCAAGACTGAATTTGTTTCATGTTTATAAAACCATCCTTCATTATGATGATTTCTTGCTCATTTCCGTACCTCTAGCTTGTTGGCTTTAACATACACTCTGGATTTCATCCTTTGTTGATCATTTTTCTTCATTGGTGCTGGCACGGTGGCACCCCCTGGAGAAGTAGGGGGATGTTACAAACTTATTGGTTTGAGTCAAGCTGATTATTATTTTCAATTTTGTTTCACTCCATTGATCTTAATTCAAGGAATTCCCTTGGCAAGTTCATGGAACTCCATGAACATCATTCCCTTTTCCTTTCCTTTCCCCCTTTTGAGTCGAGCTGATTATTATTTTGCAATTTTGTTTCATTCCATTGATCTTAATTCAAGGAATTCCGTTGGCAAGTTCATGGAACTCCATGAACATCATTCCCTTTTCCTTTCCAGCCCTTTTGAGTCGAGCTGATTATTATTTTCAATTTTGTTTCATTCCATTGATCTTAATTCAAGGAATTCCCTTGGCAAGTTCTTGGAACTCCATGAACATCATTCCCTTTTCCTTTCCGGCCCTTTTGCTTTCCCATTTCCCTTCTAAATTTTTTGGTTTCATGGGGGCAAGAAATTAGGGGGCTGGGGTAAGGAGAATTCTTGTTAGACTGCTCAGCTAGGGTCTTAAACTATTATATATTCTCATCTTCTATTGGTTATTTTTGTTTAGCACGTTAGGCTACAATGGTTAGGAGTTCCCTAGCGATGTTAAAATTTTCCATTTGGTTGTAGGATTTGGAGCAGCTTTTGAATTACGTTGGTGTTAGAAGTTTAGGACCGCGGCATGTATTGGCTAATTTAAAGGAGCTTACAAGGACAATTCAGTCTGCAGAATTTTTAGACACATGATCTGGTGTCCCAATCTTGACTTTAAAGTTAGCTACTTCATTTGTAAATGGATACTTGTATTCTTACTTAGGTGCAAGTTTTTGATGCAGCACCTTGCCATAGATCCGTATCAGTGACCACATTTGATTGATATTAGCATGCTCGGTATGGATTCTTTTTCTAGGAGTCATACACAGTATTGTTACATGTTGCTGGGTTATAGCTTTAGAAAAAAAGAGAACAAAATATTTTTTTTTACCAACTTAGAAGTGTATTTCCCTTTTCTTTCTTTTTCTTTCTTTTTTTCTTTTTTTTTTTTTACTTCTGCCTTTTTGCTATAAGAATTAAGTAAAGATAGAATTTTTGTTCCTAATGCTGGTGTCTGTACCATCGAAGCTTTCATTCATCATTTTGGCGAGTTATATGGAATATTTTTACATATGCTATTATGAAATTGCTTTCTTGTCCCTGTGATCTTTCTGGTGGGGGCACAGCAAACCTTTTCAGGTTGGTGCAGTAACCATAGAACAGGTAATTGCTTGTCACAACTGGATATGCTTTTGCCTGGCTGGAAGCTAGTTCTACGGATTGCAATTGGCTTGTCCAATGGATATTGAAGGAGTAAAAAAAAAAATATTCGCAAATCTAGTTTTAGGTTATGGGTATTTACTATATATCCTATTAATACTTACTAATTTATTTTGAGATTTTTTTAACATATAGTGATTTAATTGTTTAAATTTTAAAAATTAAGGTATAAAATATTTTTTGAAAACTTTGAGGACCAAAAAACTTATAAACAAAGGCGAAAATGCAACTAAGGGTCAAATAAGTCTTATGAAAATCATATGGATTAAAATAAAATATTTTGAAAAAGTTATGGGTAATGTGATTTAATAGCAGGTATGGATAAGTTTTTTTTTCTTTTTTCTTTTTACGGCTAAATGGGTCAAATCTTTTTTATACTTTAACTTTTTTGGAATTAAGTTTCTAAACTTTAAATAGTTTTTAGAATCGTTGAACTTTTTTTAAAAAAATTTAGTCCATTCAATAATTTTTAGTTGTCACATTCTCTTCTAAAAAATTTAATTTTTGATATTTTGAATTAAAATTTTACACACCGTTAAAAAAAATCCAACCTATTTTTTAGAAATATTATAATTTTTTCAAAACAAAAAAAAAAGAATATTTGTTTATTTTTTAAAAATAAAAAATAAAAAAAATAACCTAAAATGATCTCAAATGTTTTTAGAAGCTCCATGCAAATCTTATTTAATGATTTTCATGTCAAAACTATTTATATGATTGTTATTTTTGGGATAAATGACAAAAAACTAAAAAATTAATTAAATCTCAAAAAATTCAAAATTCAAAAATCTCAAAAACCAAATTTGAAGTTCAAATATTTAATTTCAAAGGAGTTAAAGTTTTTTAAAAAATAAATAAACGACCCATTTAGCTTCTTTTTTTTTAAAAAAAAAATAGATAGAGTAAAAAATTAAATTAATAGATCAAATACCCAACTATTTCTACCGAAAACATCACCCAACTCCAACAGTGGATTAGACATATCACGAGGGATGAAAATACAAAAAATAAGTTGAAAAAAATATTTCTAATCTAGTTATATAAATATAATATAAAGTTCCTTGTCATACTTTCATAATTTCATACGCTCAAATAAAAAAATTTGATGATTATGTTATGAATTTAGTTCATGTCATTTTTCAAACGAGGAGACATGCAAAGCTAATCAACATTAAACAACAAAAAGGAAACTATGATTTTTATAGAGATGAAAAATCTGTAAGCAATTGATTGCTCGAGTATATATTTGTCCAAAAAAATTTAGAGTTTCTTTCTACTAGAATCCAAACCCCTTTGGAGGGAATAAGACAAAGCTCCTCAACATCATCATACAATAGAGCTCTTCACTGGTATCGTTGACATGCATCTAATAAATAGCTACCAAGAGCTCATGCGAGTTTAGGACTGACATAGCCAGTGACCAGTTAGAATAAAAACCTGCACAGTTGCCCTATAATCTTTACTGCTTTTCCTTTTCTATTGGCTATTTCAATTGGATTACTCATCAGCGTCCTTCTGTTTCTTTTACAGCACCATCCTTGGGAGGATCTCAGGAATATCAATTGGCTAAAACTAAAAGAATATATAGTGAATCCATTGGTATAAGAAGCCAGTTTACTTCAGTCCTCATCATAGCCACCTCCATCCATGTCGACATCTTCTATGTCATCGTCATCTGCTTGTTCTTCATCAGCATGCCCACGATGTAGATCCATGATTTCATCGATGTCCGTATCATCTAGGTCAAGTCCATCTAGCAGTTGGTTCTCCACCTTCATGGAGTTGAGATTTGAGTCTCCGAAAAATGAGGAGTAGGGCTTCGAGACCTACAAGAGTAGCTTCGTTAGTTGGAACTAGAAGCAAAAGTTATCGACAGTGGAAATATTTCAAATTTAATAAATTGTTACCGTCAAAACGAAAAGGGAAATAAAAGAAAAGAAATAAGAAAGAACAGGGATGAACAAGAGATGAATACACTGAGGAGAAAGGAAGAAGAATAGAAGCAAATGGGAAAATGAGATATCCACCTTGAATAGAACATTCCTCTTCTCGGCATTTTGCACTAGGTTGTTCCAATGCTCGTCAGTCTTCAAAGTTGATGCTGACCCTACGACCTAAAAGACAAATCAATGCTTGCTTCTATGAGAAAAGCTGAAGGATGAAATTTATCAATACACCCCTTGAAAGAACTTGACCAATATATATCAGACAAACACCTACCAGGACTGAAGACTTTGCTCGAGTGATACCAACATTCATTCGCCGGGCATCAGATACAAACCCAATCCCTCTATCGTCATTTGACCTAACACATGAGAATATTGCAACATCCTTTTCTCGGCCCTGACAAGTGAAGGTGTTTCACATTGATAAGTTAGGACATCGATAATTTTTTTGAAATTCACTATTTGTTTCTTTCAAGTGAGATTTAGGTTAACCAAAACGAACAATTGGTCCTACCACTGAACCAACATGGTTAAGAACAGTTCAGGGCCGAGTACCATTATCTTAATTTTTAATGTACTCTTCTAGTAAAAGAATGCATAACATTGACTACCAATACATCTTTGCGAAGGCTTGTCTCTCTTTTAGTAGAGAGAACATAAATAGTGCCCCCCAGATGAAAGTTTTGCTGCAGAACAATTTCATGCATAACGCAGTTTCATCTAGCAAATAAATCACACTAGAAAACAATAACAACACTAGATTAGATAACCATTCAGAGAGCAAAATAAGGAGCTTCATCAGTGGACGAATTACCTGGAAACCGTCAACAGTTTGAATATCTACAAATTTTTGGGACTCCTGCCCAAAAACATCCCGAAATCGATCCTGAAAAAGCTTGACTTGGTGTCTATAGGGGGATATAATTGCAAGCTGTGAGCTTGATCGAAGCTCTGGATACATAGTCACCAATTTATGATACAGGAGTAGCACAAATTCAACCTCATCAATATTCACCCAGGACCCACTTCCAGAAGGCTGAGATTCTTTTCCTTCATGTATATCAAAGAAGGAAAAGGGACCAAAGCAGCGATACTGATGCCAGTCACGCATTGTCTTTCTCTCAAGATCTTCTGCATCCTGCAGTTCCTCAGCATAAAACTCACTTGAAGGAAACCTCCTTATCTGTTTGGAAAATGGAGTTAGAAAGCCAATACGCATTTTCTTAATAAAAAAACTTTAATAAGAGGGAAGAGAGTACAGATTACAACAAGAACAATAAGACACCTCACGTAGGATGTTGATAGACACTGTCCTATATTGTGTCAACGGTCAACAGGTTGGTTTGGCTGGTTTGGACTACAGAGACCAGATTCTTCTCTAACAACAGATTTTTAAATAGGGATCAATTGGACAGAGCAAAAACGTTATGCCAAAATCATATACCAACTTAATGTGCAATGAATTGAAGTTGAATGAAACAAAATGCATGGTAAAATTACACACTGTGTTAAATCAATTGATGTTGAATAGCACAAGTTTAACAAATTCTCAATAACAAACTTCATAGCACATGCCAAGAACTGAAGAGGCCAAATCTAAAAGAAATGCCAGTGCGCTAGGCTTAAAGCTTACATCAATTACTCTGATAACATTAAAAACAGATTCACCCAAACATGTTCAGGTTCTCAAAATTGGGTAAAAAGATGCCGGTTAACATTCTTTTTGGTGGTGGTTTGAAAATCAACTATGATTTTCACAATCTGATATGCTATAATTATGATCATAAAAATAAATCTACCATTCTTCACAACATTTATTGATGTTCTCAACTGACCTCTGGATGCATACGATACTGCATCTTCAGCATATTCACTGGATAACCAGCTCTTTGAAACCTTTCAAACAAACTTGTGCCATAGCTTCAATTTTAAAAGTGAGAAAAAGAAAGAGATATAAGATAATCAATGTAACGTGATGATAGGAACCAAAAAAACAGGGAGAGAATATATCATTACCCACATTTCCCAGCAGTGGGAGATATTACAGTGGCCGGGAGTTGAACTGGATCGCCAACCTGAAACAAAAGAACAGAAAGATTGACAGTCATCCATAAAGCTCTTCTAATGATTACCGGGTTCTAAAGCAAAAACTGGATATTATCAGAACGGACAAATTGTCAAATAATCACCTATTATTGGTATGATTTTAGAAAACTGCGATGTTTTATAGAACGATAAATCATGCACGAAGAAATTTAGAGAAACTAAAATTACAAATTTGATGTCAGAAAAATACCAAAAATACTTGTTTGCATCCATTGACCAACGGCACAAGAGTTGCTGGTTCCACCTGTTCAAGGAAAATATCACATACCCAATTGAGTAACAACTTCAATTCAATATGCCAACATTTAAGGAAAAAATAGCAAGATGAATATAAACTGGGAAAAGCATGTAGTCTTTTGAACGACTGAACCAGAGAATTGCATGCATGCCATATAAAACAGCCCACATGTGAAATGCAATTGAAGATTCCGCATAACAAGTTGACTGAACATGATCAATACAGTCAACGAGTCAAATCAAGTTTTTGTGCTTCGTTTTTTTCTTTTTTCAATGGATCCAATTTCATGAAATGAGGCATCATGCTTAAGATATCAATTGCCAAGTGGAATAGAAATCTACCTAAAACATTACCCATCCTAGCATTTTATTATATGCTAGATGCATCATATGATTTTTGTGCTCACTCAATTACTTCAACAGCCTTTAATTGTAATGTTTGTAAGGTTCACAAGAAAAGCCAAGTAATACCTAATTCATATCTTTTTATCGTTGTTCAAAAATTGCAACACCACAAGGAAAATTTTTACATAGAAGTAAAATTTTCTGTCTAACACAATATGAGTCTTGAACTAGCTGATCACCTCCTACTTGAAGTTCTTTTACATTTCCATTAAATCTGAAAGCTTCTGTGCTTTTAATTTCCCTGAACTCAAGCTATAGCAGTCCTAAAGTAATCAACTGCTGCAATAACAACAATGAAAGAAATGATAGACGCTTACAGCCTGGGCAGCTTCATCTATGATAACGACATCAAAACCATGATTTAGTTTACTAAAAAGTGCTGAACCACTGAAGCTGAGGGTGGAAAAGACCTGCCAAATACAGAAAAATCACTAGCTTATTTACGAGATGCTACACTTTCAAGACAAAGTTAGATTTACATACAATTACAGATTCCTCCAGAATAGCAGCACGAATGCTGTCTGTATCCCCTCCTGCAGCTCCATGTTTCTGTTTATCACCGGCTGATTCACCTTGTTTTTGTTTCACCTGAAGGAGAAATCAGTCATATCAACCTTGGAAATAACTGCATATAAATATGAAACTCGCATACATTACAAGTTTCTAGCATGTGTTATGCTGATATCAAGAAAACAAAGTTTTGGTGAACTGGACCTTTTCTTGCTAATAGTTCTTAAACTTCATGGATTATTATTATTATTATTATTATTTGTTATGTAGTTCATATGACACAAACAATCAAATGCAGTTTGTTTTTCTTTGTAAATAGATGCTGCACCCTTGGTGTGTACATTAATAGATCCTTTTACACTTTCACCCACCAAATAGTGAAAGAAAAAGCAAACCAAATATAATGAATATAGTTCATCAGCAGGAACTAAGGTACCACAGCGATTTAATCATAGTCAGAATCCCAATACTTGGGAAAAATATAATTTCCATTTATGGTCCATCTATAATTTCATGGACATTAACATTAATGATTAGCTTTAGTTTCCTGTAGTGATATGTCTGTCAAGTCAAACTATTATTTTAAATCTCTTGTAACTAGATTAAATCATCCTGCTTTAGTGGTTCAGAGAGAATGGGGCAGCTATAAGCATCTTCAAATTAGGTTCTATAGAAACTCTAATAGCTTCTTCATTCAAATGTACACAAAATTCTTAGTTAGGCAATCTATTTAAAGACATATGGATATTGTTGCAAAATTGTGGGTCAAAGAATACTAACAAAACAAAGAACAGCCACAAAGTTCTTCCTTCAGCAATCCAATAAAAAAGGAGACCACGGTAATTGAAACACTGCTCCATAATAGTAAAAATAAGAATTGTCACAATAACCAGTGTTATTATCCATACAAGGTTATCCATGCAGACTGGCTGGACAGAATGATGAGCTTTAAGACCGATCCGCACAATTTTAGGATTATACGTATGAACATTTTCATCTTGAACACCTGCCAAAAACAAGAAAAGTTTATTTTGGAATGATAATCAGGGAGCAGAATATATTTTGTATACACACATGCATAGAGAGAGAGAGAGAGAGAGAGAGAGAGAGAGAGAGAGCAGATCCGAGCACAATCCTGTCCAACAACCTTCTTTTCTCAGATTAGGGTATAAGCATGGTCTAAGGGTCAGACATATCAAATTTTAAACAATTCAACTTCAACTCCCACTGCCAGACATCACTTATCGGAGCCATCTGCATCCTTTAGATACCAAACTCTGCCAAAAAGTACCCACATTTTGGAAGTGGGTAAGAGGGATACACTTATCAAAGATATATAAACAGCACTTGCATGGACAAACTAAAAGAGGAGCCACTATTTATTCAAAAGGCCTATTCCAAATCCAAATATCACACCATGCTAATTCATGATGATCAATGGTACACATAAACCTAATAGATCATTCACCATCACAACCCAACTCTCTCCTCAAACTTTTGGCTCACCCTTTCAAGACCCAAAGACTAGTAACATCCAATTCCAAAGGTGCTGGGTGTTAGTTTCCATGCTGCATTTGACATAGATCCCATATATTTACCCTTTCCTGTCACGTCAATATCAGCTTCCCAGGTGTAGATGACAAGTTCAAGCAATAGAATCATCAACCCATGCCTCAACTATACATAACCCTTGAGAATTATAGCATTCCTCTCCATCTAAATATGGTAGATGGATGCTAAAACACCTTATTGCCATAAAGAATCTTTCCCTCTTTCAAAAACTAACAAGGAAATTATCAATAGACCAGCCATACTACTTAAATCCCCCATTGGGAAGACGGAAACCATCAATGAGTTTGCCACCCGACTTGAAATCACCCATGAACCCCTTCAATAGCAAATAATCCATGCTGCATAATTCCCCAGTAGTGAGTAAAGTTAGAAACGATGGCTCTGAAACCCTCACTTTGATAGCACAGAAAGAAATATAGGAGACTAGTCATTGAGCACGTCCAGTTGAAAAACAATTTGAACAAATTGAAGAGAATTGATCTAAGCTTCTTAGGCAGTCAGATATTCAAAAATGTTTGTAAGGACAAATAAATTCTTGTATAGCAGATCAGACATAGGATTCGTCTTTTGGATTTAAAGGTGAAACGAACTTGGAACAGCAGTTTATTTTGGGTAGGGTGTACCATGCATCACCAGTTAGAAGAAGAATAACTTGCCTACCAAGTTGCAGGACGCTTTTACAGAACAGCTATAGGCTAGTTTTGACTTTTTTCCTCATAGCATAGAGTTTTTGGCATTTTGGATATAAAGTGTGAAGAAAGTGATAATAAGATGGTTGTACGAGGAAAGAAGTAAATATAAAATAAAATGGATACAGGATATGATATTATCAGAAGATAAGCTGAAGGTGATTCATAAAATTGACCTCTATTAAAGGGGTTTTTACATTTTTTTTTTACATTTAAGATTGAACCAAATGGGCAACAGTGAATAGAATTAGCCTGAGTTGGACAAATAGAAAAGTTGGTCTTTCATTATCAAAAAAATGAAAAAAGAGTTGGTTTCTTAAGCACGAAAAGAGAACGTGGCCTTGGATACAGGGTGGAATAGAAGAAAAGTTTTAGATGCAACCCCAACTTGTTTCAGAACAAAGTTTTCCTCTGGTCAAGTTGACGAAAACACTCAAATTCCATCATTTGTTCAATAGTGCAAGATAATAAACTTGGAAAATATTATTGTCCCTGCATTATTAATATTATTTATCTTCTAAGATAACAGTATGACTTAACATGAGGAGAGCACATGACATGCAGGACTTTAGGGACAAAGCTGCCACATTACCTAAGATCTCAGAACCAGTGTATCCAAGAATGAACTACTAAAGCACTTAACTTCCTTTACAATCATATGAACTATAGCCAAGCCTGCATTGCTTAGTTGTTCTCGGAAATTGATGGAGCTAATGAAAGATTGATAAAAACCAAAATGGACAGCATGGAAAATCAAAACATCACCGAGCATCATATCACGCCAAAAGCAAGCAAGCATAATGAAGTCCAGACATGTGCAAGTGTGGAACACATACCCGTCTTCAGAAGGCGTAACACAATCTCATCGAGAGCAGAGTTTGATGGGGCACATACTAACACACGTACACGATATTTGCGACTGGAAGCAACAACTTCTGGTTTCTGCAGAACTTAAGTTAGAATATAGGCCGTGTGATCATGCAAGAACGTAATTGTACTATGTGAAAATCAAACTTACAAACTCGTTTCCACTGGTAGGGAAAAAACCATCATCGCCATCTTTAGGCATGTTCTTATCTCTGGGATTGTTACCATTCCACCATGGAGATGCTCGTGCCCAATGACTGTACCTGCAGATTATACAACTTTCACAATTCAGTAAAAACAATCCAATAAATTGAAAAGAAAAAGGGACTGCAAGACTACTAAACTCCGGATAAGAATATTTAATACACAACAAGACAGTTAAATATGTAAGCAGGTACACGTGTAAAACTGAAAAAACAACCAGCACATACTTTTCTTGAATCGGTAGTTCTGACCCGTGTTTAATTCCATGCAACCCAGCCCTACATAAAAGAATAACAAAATAAACTTATATTTCCATAAGCAAAAGAAATCTTTTACGAGATAAGAAGACATGGGGGTGCCATACCCATCATACAGAGAAAAAGGTCAATGCATAAAATAAGACATACAACATAACTAAATCATATTGCATCATCTACACTGGCAACACTTCTAAGTGTATTTGGATTTATCTATTAACGATGAGGATAAGAACGACTCTTCTCCTGCAAACACACTCCAGTTCCACTCCTTCAACTTTTCCTTCCCAAAAATAATTTTAAAATAAAAGAAAAATGAAAACAAAAAATGAAGGGGATTTAATTTATTTTGTTTGATGAAAAAAATTAAATAGAAGGCAAAAAGAATCCAAAGGTTTAACTCATAGCTAATACACCCACTACACCACTCCAAGGAAAATACAGAGTACAAAGATCATTTGGGAAATGCATCAAACACTGCTAGGCAGCATACAAGGACCACTGGAAATGGAGAAAAAGGACATTGTAAAAGTCCAAAAACTCAGCAAAATTTGAGCCCAGCAAGGTGTTTGATGTGATTTTTGGAAACTTAGAAGAATAGTGCCCGGACTTGTCAACACAGAAAATTTGATATTTTTAAAGCAGAAGAACTACAAATTTTACACCAAACTTTGAATCTCCATTGTATTTCCCGTAAAATTTTAAACAGTGGAATGCGAAAAGTCTAAAGTGAGATTTAAACGAAGCACTCAATCTGTCAGGACCAAAGATGTGTCACTTTTCTTTATAGAGTTCAACACAGTCAGAGTTCAAAACGCCTAAAGAAAGACAGACTATACCATGGCAAGCTGTGAAGGATAACTAACATTGATAGAGTTATTAGTTTGAATATGCTATAGAGAGTCAATAATCTTTTTAAAGACTAAGCAAATGCTTTTCAACAGCAAAATGGTTCTGTTCCTTCTCCAGTGAGCCATAGCTCATCTGAAAATTGCAAAGGCCCGTACTTTCCATCTTACAACTCAATTTAATCTATTTTCCTCCAGCAATACCTAAAAATAATTGTAAAGACCTCCATGAAGCAACTTCAAACCACAAGACCCATTTGAATTGAGTTCTGAACAATAACAAATCAAAGCCAAAACTCACCACCCATTTTTAACATTCGGCCATCGATCTATCTTTTCCGACAACATCAATACTCAAAACTATCACCAATTAAGTCGTGATTTTAAAGCTACATGATGGTGTCTAGATCGGGGCAATCCATAGCCGTCTGAGGCTGTTCACTCAACTTCTCTCAACTCCTCTCTAATGGAACTTTCTCTCTCCGACAGGCTAAAGAATCAGAGACTTGATTAATATGTGTGGTTTCATTTTTATTGTTTTTCTTTTTGCATTTTCATGAAACAAAATAAATTAAAACTTTTCCATTTTTTAGTGAACATTTGATTGTCAGATGACTAGCTTCTGTTAACAATTGAATGGAACCCTAGTTGGATTCAACAATGGATTAAATCAAATCAAACAATTTGTGTAGGGATCAGTGACACAATTTTATTATTATTATTATTTTATTGTGTTTAGGGACGACTAATGGCATTTTGACCTGTAGTAAAGGGGGTTGGGTACCTTTTATCCCCAAAATTTCGCACATTTGAGCACCCTTCATCTCCAAAATACCCAACTAACTTGGGGAGCATCCCTCTCACAACACCCTCTGTTAGCAAAAAAAAGTCACAACCATCATTCTTCAATCTCCAAAATGCCCCAACTAACTTGAGGAGCATCCCTCTCACAACACCCTCTATTAGCAAAAAAAAAAAAAATCACAACCATTATTCTTCAATCTCCATTAACTCTTATTCAAACCTAAATAAACCTTGAGGAATCATGGGCTAAAGGCAAATGTCAGATAGATTACATTATGAATTGCTCAAGACAACAACAAATGCTTAAAACCTAAAAACGATAAAACTACATAATTTATAAAGAATGAGCAGCAAATGATTAAAGATCCATAAAATTTTTTTAAAAAAAGAGAAGAAAACAAGACGAGGTAGAAAAATACTCACTTGGTGTGCATTCTTGTTGGAGTTGCATGCAAAATTGTACTAAGAAGAGAGAGGATAGTTTGTGTCTTCCCAGTTCCAGGAGGACCCTAGAAAAATGTAAATGGCTATTTCTTATTGGTTATATGAATACATAATTGAAAATTTCCAGCAATGAGATAAGATTCGCCATACATGCAGGTACTAACTAATTCGTAATCATTTAAAAATGACTTTTTATGAAACAAATAGTACTTTTTTCTACTCTGAGATAACATGGTACTTTTTGCAAAATTATACTTTGACCATTTGTAATTATCACAATCATAGTGCAATTAGTTAAATTACAAAATGATAAGATTAACTTATACGACGCAATAAGTAAATACATTTTAAGAGTCCATAGCTTTATGAATTGAATAACATTCTTTTCCTTTTTCAAGGTAATAACACTTTTTGCATCACAGTTGTGTATTGAATCGCATTTGCATTATATCATTCTCAAGCAGCACAATTACAGAGTGATAAGATAATTTTTTTACAGCAAAATAAGAAAATACACTTAATAGTCTGTAACTTGAAGGCACTATGATTGTAATGCCTTTGAGTAATCATAGAAAAGGCCCCATGTCAAATTTTACTAGCATCAATACTTCAGAGTCCATGCGACTTCAACATGATATTATATTTTAGTAATAACTGCTGACATAAAAGTTCAATATAAGTTGGTAAATTTGAATGGCTACAACTATTTTAAGCAAACATAAGATGGGGAAAGGAAAGGGATCAAAATACACATGTGAAAGAGACAAATCAAACCTGTATCAAGACGAACGCTTTGCGAGAAAGGCCAGCCTGCAGAAAACAAAATGCGACTTCAGATGAATAGTAAACCAAATCCTCAAATATGAACAATGTTTACATGCGGCATATATAAAAGTCGAAACTTGATACAAATGGTAAATCGGCAGCGACTCAAAAAAAAAATTATATTAAATACACTCCTTTTGGAGGGGAAAAGGCCGAGTACCTTACATACTCATTTTAACAATTTGAAAATAAGTGGTGGGATCCACCATATTTCTACATATTCGCAGAATATTTATTGGCTTATATTAAAGAGCGCTGGGTTATTGTTTTGTTTCCGTTGTTATTTGATGGTTACTGCCAACATCAATGTGTCTTGCCATAGAAATCTGGAATGCAAAGCTGTTCCTGAGAAGAATTGGGTAGTCTGCATCATGTTTTCTTTCAGTTGACTTGGATGTGGAAATTGAAAAGAGTTTTTGGAGGGAATGACACAAAAATTCTAGGAATGATATATCTTCATATACATTTTTATAGTTCTGGAGCACAGACAGCAATGAATTCACTTTGTATCCATGAGCCACTACATCAGCTGAAATAAAAGTCGTTCGGTAGTTTGTTGCTTTGTTTGTGTGCTTCCAATGTACATGAGATGGTGTCTCACGCATTAGAAAGAGAAAAATGGAAAGAAGTATTTGCTGACAGTTATTCTATAATTTATAGGCAATGTGTAAACGAATTTACTCGTAATCAGTGGAGCAAGGAAATTGCTAAAAATGATCAGCATTAACAATATCAGTGTAAACTCACATCTATTGCTTCCATTTGTGACTTATTAAGATTTCCTCCCAAATGTTCTGACAGAGATTTAGAAACTTTCCATGCCTGGCCTTCAGAACCAGAATTTTTATCAGTAGCTGTAAGTATTAAATCCTTGAAAGGAAGAGAGCCAATTGACCGTAGAGCAAAATATTCACGAGAGATTGTTGATAGGCTGCATATCTGCAGAATGTAAAGTGTGCATTAGAGGACGTATTGCAATTATGATAACAAATAATTTAAAGGCTGTTGTTTCTGTTTCGTATACCACACTTCATCTACTGATTACTATGTTTTAGGTAGAATATCCTCCTTTCCTTGACACAACAGATAGGAAAAGAAAAGGAAAAAGAAAGATATTAGCAATTGAGCTATATGTGAATCCAGCAGCATAACAAAATATGATACTAAAGCAAGATTCTGCACGAGCAAGAATGCTGAATGGAGCAAGAATGCTGAATGGAGGTCAATACGTGCAATTCCTGAAACATGCATTGAAACTTTCAATGCCCAGTAAGAGAATTAAACAAGTACACAAGCAGTTGATCTAGTGCCCACAAATTGTATGGCAGTTGCATATGGATAAAGCAAGGTAGCTGCAAAGAATTTTCAAACGAAAGTAAAAGCATATGAATCAAATGGATATGTGAAGCTCTGAATTTAAACAGCAACAACAACAACAAAGCCTCAATGCCAAACTAGTTGGGGTCAGCTATATGGATTCTTTTGCACCATTCTGCATGATCAGAAGCTATGTATTTATATTAAAAAAATCATCCAAGAAAAGTACCTATGTTATTGTTCATCACTAGCAGAACACATGCACACCATATTTAGGATCCAATCCCCCCCCCCCCCCAAAAAAAAAATCCTCTCGGGTTTATAGGACAGCCAACTCAAAAATCCCATCCAGGAAAAATTTACATGTGTATTACTAGACAAGTGTTCGTTTTTTTCTCGTTTTACCCGGTCCCTCCATTTTGATGGGTTATGTTCAGTTTCAAAGAAGCATTACTTTCTTTTAGGTACCTATTTTTGTTAAATGTATGATTGCAGAAAATAGTTACCTTTAGACTAAACAAGCGTTTCTCATGCAGCAATCCAGTAGAGGTAATCAAAGCCTGCATCTTTGACAGCCTTGCACGAGTTTCAATAACATCTGTATTTAAATTCATGACCTCCCCAGCTAAAAACATTCTAAGTTTAAGAAGGTTATGTTGGCGTTGCTCAACCAAGGCAAATGCGTAGACCTGGGGGAGTTTTCCACCACCCTGTTTAAACTGCAATAAGCAACAACCTCAACATATTCAGGCAGCAAAACTAACTGAGTATAGCGTAGCATAGCATAAAAAGATATCAATGATGATAAAAGTTGTCAGACACTAGCAATTGGTAGCTCATTAAATTACCTGATCTTCTGAAAGAAGCAAAAGATCATTTTGTACCATTTTCTGGTCCTCGTCATCTCCTCCGTAAGTAACTGAAGGTAAAAGAAATCCCTCTGCCTCATTGCATTCCACTACAAGTCTCATTACCCATTCTGTCACTGCAGTACCACAATACATCACATAAACCATCATTTTAACTTTCATTTTGACACAATTGCAACAAAAATAGCTACTAACAAAGATCAAATGATTGAAAAAAGCCAAATTTTCAAATAAAAGGAAGAAAAAAGAAACCTTCTTCATCATCCTTCTTTTGAATAATCTGAGCTTTAACTTCTTCAAATAAAAGGGGCTCGAAAGTCGCAAGATAATCATCGACATCTTTATATGTATTCTTTACTTGTTTCAAACCCGAATCCCCTCCCTTGCCACTCAGTTTTTTCTGCTTCTGCTTTCAAAAAAACAAAAAGAGTAAATTAAATATAAAAAAATTTCTGTTTCCATAAGCATAGATATATTCATGGAGTTATTACAAATTGAAATGAGAGAGAATTACAGCAGCTTCAGTGAGGAGACCAAAATAGTCCCAACCAAGAATAATTTTGCAAAAACGAATAAAGGAAGCTTCTTCTTCTTCCTGAAGCCTATCTTTGTCCACTACCATCTTTTATCCTGACAGAGAATCAATATCACAAAACCCATACTCAATTTATTCATTCAAAACTCTATTTGTCCGGGAATGAAAAATTCAATAAAAAGATACTTCAAATCAATAATGAAGCAAAAAAAGGATTACTTTTTACAAAAAGAAACGAAAACGAATGGGCTGCCGGCGGCAAAACTCGCCGGCCACGAGGGTCCTGCTTGGCGTGTTACGGCGAGAGAGAGACTGAGTAACTGAGAGGGAGAGGGAAAGGGAGAGGGTTTAACAAAGGCAAAACCCTTCACTTTACCTCTATGTTTCTATTAAATACCACTTTACCACTACATGTTTAAAATTTAGCAACCAAACCTTTTGTCTTCTGTTTTCCACTTTTACCCCTAAAATTGTGTTCAGTGAAAGTAGTTTTAACCTCCTATCAATCAATCTTAAAAACTAATTTGTGCACCCTAATTATTCTTCTAATAATCCAAATCTAGTATTAACCTCTTAGTAAACACAATCTTGGAGAGAATTGGACATAATCAGTTTAATTAAACTAATTTAAAATATAAAGATAAAATTAGATAAAATAATAAAATGTCTTGGACATATTAAAATTATGTGTAATTCGAATTTTTTTTATTGAGATGTTAAGTTTTTTTTCTAATCAATTTAAGAATTTTACTCGTTTATTGTTGTTATTTCAAACCTTAATATATCATGTAAGTATGTTTTTATCTTTTGAAACACTTTTAAAAATCATAATTGATTGTAGCCAAGGATTGTATATTAAGCTAGGGAAATTGGCTTAGCTTGAAGAATTTATTGGTTTATATATTTATTGATCGAGGATAAGAGAAAATGATGCCTCGACCATTGTCTATCAAAGCTTATGAATTTGACTCTTAAGATGTTTAAGCATGTAAAATTATAATCCTAAAAGTTTAAATTATTAGGTGAGGTTTCATAAATAGTTTTATATTATTCTCTAAAACATCTTTTCAAGTAAAAATTCTTTGAACTTAAAATTTGTACAAATCCACTATCATCTTGTGCTTAGTTTTTTAATTAAAATTGAAAACAAGAGTGATGAAATTTGAACTTTTAATTGTTTGGTCATCAAAGCTCTAATATTAAATAGTTAAGATTGAGTTTGGAAAATTTTATGATACACAAGGAGTAATTAGTAGCATGTACGATAGTTACTCCTTGAACTCACTTTAAAGAGAGAGATAGATACATAAAAAGAGAGAGAAATTACATCTATAATCCTAAAAAGTGATAAGAAGATTTTAATGTATGCTCAAATTTTTTTATTTTCTCTCTCTCTTTGTGTGTCTATCTCTCTCTTCAAAGTGGGCCCAATGAGTAAGTACTGCATACATGTCACTAGTTACTTCTTGTGTATTATAAAATTTCTCGATTGAATTCTATTTAAAAAAATTTAAGTCTTATATAATTAACGTGGTCTATATTTTTTAATATTTTCTTTCACTTATGACCTATCTTTTAGGGTCAACAGTCCACCTTTAGGAGTCTATGAAATGTTATAAGATTTATGATTTTTGTTGGGCTGTAAAACCTTTTTAAATTTCTATCTCATGTCAAGTTAAACGATTAAAATTGAGTTTCATGTAAAATATTTACATATTGTGGTAAGTGATTATTTCTCATCTTTGTATATTTTTTATTTTTTATTTAACTATTTAAGGTGGGTAATGACGCGGATAACGAGGGCTATGATCGAGGAGAGTGCAGTGAATATATTGTAAGGTTGTAAACACCTTGTGCGTTTAGACTTGTATTTGTGGAGATTTCAATGTTAGTGAAAAGGTTTTGATGCTTGGTTCCCGAATTGCTACATTCAATTACAATAGCTGCAAGAATACTTAAAGACTCTTTTACAAAAGGATCTGGACAAATGAGCTTTTGGCCACTGTGCTCTATCATTAGGATTTGTTCTTAAAGCCTATTTTATAATTTCAGGCATTCACTAGTTTTTAATAATAGAATTTGAATTTGTTTTGTTTTGTTTTGTTTATTAAATTTTCAATTTTAGTAATTGTGAAAATCAATAATATCGATCAGACGTTACATAAGGGTTATTTTATATGATAATAATTTTAAATACAAAAAAAATATTGATAAATTTGGGGTATTTAGACTCTTAAAAAGTGTCTTAAAAATACACCTTCTTTTATTGAAAATTTTATAATTAAAATAAAATATTTTAAAACTTCAATGTATAGAAATTTATTGAATTCCTCTAAATATACTATATTTATATAAAAATTATATTTTAAAAATTCTCTGAAAAAAGATTTAGTATCCATTAATGTAAAAAAAAAAAAAAAAGGTTAAGGATAGCTTAAAGTAGAAATTCAAGTGTTTTGCTTTTTTTTTTTTAAAAAAAAAGTTGCAGAACAGGGCTCTCATCGTCCCATTGACTTCCGATTCTTCATCATTGTATATAATAAAACATAAGCTTTAGTTTAGGACAAAAACTAGAGGAACAAAGACGAATTAGGCGCAGATTCGAGAGTCTTAATGCATGGTGACATCAATTCATGTTTTGATCTTTTTCGTGGGCAAACTTCGAAGTCACTTTATCATCTGTCTTACATTTCAATCAAACTCACATTGATGATCCATCAATTCACAGGCTTCAAAAAGTAACTTTTACCACCTGTGTTAAATTTCATCCATTGGGTGGTACAATTCCTATTCTGAAACTATCTGATTTTGTACTTATAGCATATCTTTAGGAGTCACAGTCTACAGATTTCCCACTTCTTTAGAGCCTCAACTCGAAATGCCATCAGACCTTGGAGGATTACTGCTTTTGTACACTTTCAAGACAAATCTAATAAAGGGTCCATTTCTTTTCGTCCTCTCTCTGACTTCATCTTGCTCCTTGCAACAGTACGTAGCTTTCTGCTATGGGTATGATGGCAAGTGGGAGTGGTTCTCGATCCAGTACGGATGGCTCTAACTTTATCGTTATCTCAGTGAAGGACCAGGTTTTTCTTTCGTTCTTCTTTGTTGTTCTAGTTTAAATATTTCTTGGAATGAAATCCTCTAGGTCTTTCTTCTTTTGCTGTGTGCTTTAGTTCCTGGAGATCCAATGATCCGTAGAATATGATTTTTAAAGTGTCACCCTTTTAATAATTGCAGACTCATTAAATATGCATAAATGGAAGGGTAAAGCTCTACATCAGTAAACCCACTAATTGAAATTTTGCTTAAAACATCATTACAGATGAAGCTAGAGTACAATAGTTAACAATGGTGCTGTTTCCTAAGAAGAAAAACGTAAGAACAGTAACAGCTATTAACTTTTCGTCTACGCCTGGATCGTTAAATGTTCTTACAGTTAACATCTTCTGTAAATAGCATATGAGATGTTCGGCTGAATCAACGTAGGAGTTCTTGTATTTGTTGCTGGCTATGGATATAAGGCAGCAAATCTCAGTTTTGTATTGGAGCTTTAGCTTGCGGGCTTAGCGATTCTCCTACAAGGACCAGTTACAGTTAAAATATCATTTGGTTCCAACGGTACATTTAAGAGAGAGTGTCTTGGTTGGCATCTCTATCATGAACTGCAGTTAGCCATTGCAGTATATATAGTAGTTGCAAAATTTAATGATTTTTTTTATTTACTATTTTAATTTTGAATTGATTTTGCTTTTAAATTAATATTGGTTTCATATAATGCATAATTAAATTTGATATGTAATAATATTAATAAAAATGATATTCAGGAAAGGATGAAAAAATTGCAGTGAAAAGTAAAAAAAGAATGATTTTTTTGAAACTGAAGAAGTATATATATATGGTTTGTGATCTGTTTCTTCTTTATTTTACTGTAGAACGATCGCGAGATGTTTTTCAGGGTCAAGAACAGTGCTAAACTTACTAAGCTAATGGACATTTATTGTGAGAAAAGGGGACTGAAGCCAAAGACTGTCCAGTTTATATACAATCACAGGCGCATTACCAGAAGACACACACCAGCTGGGGTAACTTCCTTTGTCCTTCTCAGAAGTAATAAAAATGTGACATTGATAGATTGAGAAATGTTCAACATTCTGTTTGAATCTTGTTTTTCAAGAAATCGCTCCCTGCTCAGTCTAGCATTCTTCTGAAACCTGCTTGTTCCAATTTCAGTAGGAAAAAAATAACCAGAATAATTAAGAATAGCAAACATTGTTAGTCAAGGACTAAAGGTACACACGTTTGTTTGTTGTTTATTAATGTCTGCTTCGATTCATGGTTTTCTTAGCAACATTAGCAATATAGTTTTTTGCACCATTCAGATTGCTTCGACGCAGAGTTTTTTACCTGCCCTTTTAATTTGGCGATTCTGTTAAAATTTTTTGATTTGAATGTGTAGCTTCAAATGAAGGATGGTGATGAGATCGACGCCATGCTTCACTTTAATGGAGGTGGTTATAAGGCTTCCAAACACGAAGAGATTTAGGATGGTCATTTTAGCATATCTGAAAGATATAGGCTCAATCTTGATCCCACCATAATTTTGAAGACATGGTTAAACTTAAATCGTGACACAACATCCTTTGATGCTTAAAAGGATGTTTGGATTGTTCATGGAAATTAACTTGCCTTTTCTTAGTCTTTTTGCATCGTTAATGTTTTGTGTTTTTTTTTTCTTTTGTAATGATCATTTGTGGTTGCTAATTTATTACACGATAAGAGTTTTGTGCACAGTTTCAATCCAGCTAAAAGTTGAATGTGTCGTGTGGTCTGCTGCCTGCACAAAAAACATTTTACAAAACTATTGTTATTATTGATTTTATTAGAATATTAGTTTTTGACAAGGATGCTTACAAAAGACCTAGATAGCTTGAAAAAACATGGAATACCATGCGAGAAGGATGATATTAATTTAACAAACACCTTGCTTGGTTGCCAAAATAAACTGAAGGTAGTTTGCTGCAGAATTCATCAATGCTGTCCAGAATTGCTTCCAACTTCCAGGGCCTACTGTTCTTGTTTTGGACCAGTCAAACAGCCACCGGTGGATTTGATTATAGTTTTAAATCGTGGATAATTGAAAAAACAATCGTAGTCATCATCGTGAATTGCGGTTTACTACGATATGAAAATAACAGCAACGAAATACTTCGAAACCATTACATAACGGTCATTATATAATATAACGATTGTTATTTAAAACTATCATCTGATTCTACTTAGATTTCCTTATTCAATATGGTGTTTCAGCCATGGATGGTTCTAGTGCCTGTTTAATTGCCGGCCGGCACTTGAGTCTCATTAGATTCTTGATACTTACTGGTATTGAGAATACACATTTGAATATCCCACACTTGAGTCACCATAGCACCCCATTATACCAGCTATATCTGGTTTGTCAATTGGTGTTTGCGGGAGGCGGAGGCCGTGGAAATTATTCTCAATGGCTTATACTTGTCCACCTAAAAGGCCTTCAGGGACCTCAGGCCTTCTGATATTACATCTTAGCCAAGTGGTAAGACGAAGAATGGTTATCCCAGAGCAATTTCATTCCTATGCAACCAAATGGACTAGAAGAAGTGATGTAATGGAAGCTTACAAGAAGGAAATAAACATAATTGATTTAAAATTTCACACATAAATTTCAGATATTGGTCTACTACAATATGTTGAATTGTACACAAATACCGGAAAATAGATTTCAAATTCCGTTGATTTAAGAATGTAGAAAGTTAGGATAAGATTGAAATACTCTCTCACAAAATTTTATTAATCAAAGAAAGTTGGATTTTTTTCTCTTCAAAATTATACATGAATAGAAAATTCAACCAAAACCCTAAACTAACTTAAAAGGAAAACAAATATAAAAATTCAAAAATTAAGAAAAAATTTTAAAAAATAGAAAAAGTCAATTTTATGAGCATATATATATATATATATCACGTCTACGTCATGGCATAACACGAGTTTAACTCGTTGTATCGTTTGACATCGAACTAGATTTAAGAAATCTTAAAATTAAACCTACAGTTTTTCTCGATTTTTGTCGCGTTTATATTGCTTTATAATTAATTATAAGGCCTGCTGGTTCGCATGATAGAAAGCAGTGCTCAATACAATTCAGCTGCTCCTCCGCACACACGACAACATATAAAATCGTGGTCAATGTTCATAGCTGGGCACTGCTTTTTGTGATGGAGATAGAGGGAAATGTTGATTTCATACTCAGAAGAACCTTCTATTGCAAATTGAATGCAACTATATATATATAAAGGAACTGGGCTAGATTAGATTAGGCATTGAACTAGATTATTTAGGCCAGATCAATAATAAAAGAGGAAATTAGAATAGAAAAAATTCAAGGCCAACCTTAAATGTACCCCTATAAGTATAAAGAACGATAGAAAAATAATTGAATATTCTTATAAGTATCATAGCGTTGCATTTCATCTTGAATTTGCACAACAAGAGTATTGATTTTTATTTTAAAATGTATATAATTAGTTTCCTCAAATATTTTATATTTTTTGTAATAGCACGAAAATAATATTGTTGTTATTAATATTATTTTGTAATTTGCACAACAAGAGTGGCTGAGGTCAAACAGCAGCCGCGTCAACTTTGAAAAAGTTCTATTTCATAGAAGTTTCTTTCTCCTTCTCCTTCCTCCTTCGTCGAAAAAGGCAAAACTACAAACATAATAATCCTAACGTTCTGTAAATCATTACTTTTTTTTCTCAACAATCATACACAATTCGAGAAACTGAAAGAAAGAAAAATGAAGCAAAACGGAAGGGATGATTATTCTGTCCGTGCCAAAAACTACATCAGAGCGCTAAAAGCTAGGTTTCATGACCAGCCTGAGAAATTCCATAGCTTTTACAAGGTCATGATGGACATGACGGCTCAAAGAGTCCAACCTGACGGGCTCAAAGGCATACCTACCGCCGCCCCAGCAAAACTGAAGGCAATTCTTGAAGGTCACAACGATCTCATTCATGGGCTCAACTTTTTCTTGCCGCCTTTGCATCGAGTCAGCCTAGATGATGGTGGTGGTGAGATGGAAACTGAGGCTGGGGTCAAGGACGCAGAGAGAACAATATCGCTAGTTGAATTTGAATATGCTAAAGATTTGATAAAGAAAGTGAGGATGCGAGGCGAGGAGGTTTATGAAGCTTTCGTGAAGACTCTGCTGTCGACAGACCAGAAGAGAAGCCTCGATGATGTCTGCAGCGATGTTGTCGAGTTGCTGATTGATGATCCTGATTTGCTAGAGAGGTTTCGAAAATTTATGCCAGTTTATGAACCAATCCCGTTGGCATCTTATGCTCCAAATTCTCAGATTCCGACATGAAAAGTAATTAACTGTTCATCCTCTAGATTTGTTTATTTTTTTGTTATTTGATGACTCATATTGGAATGCTAAGAACCAATCTAGATGTCAAAGATTCAATCAAGAATTACTTGTTTTAACATTTGTTCGAAATTTTCAATATATATTTTATGTTTTTTTACCTATACTTCCATATATTACCCTTAAAAACTCAACTAGACAACTACTTTTTTTTTTTTTTTTTAACTTACCATGTATTGAACTGAATAATTTGTTCAAGAAACTTCTGTACTTTTACCTATCGTACATGGGCATTAGAAGCCAACTACCATCTCTTTGTTTTTACCCTTCAACAGCAGGACAAAGCGGCCCCAACAATTAGACAAATGAACCCCGTACCCTTCAGAAAGTTACTATATATGTGTAATTTATTGCCTCTTTCACATGATTCCCAAATTAATCATGACAGAAGCCAGAAATGACTTGAAACACATTACATTATTGGGACAATAAAAACTGCCATTCATTTTATCGATTTGCTTTCCAGTGAGCCCACCTCGAGTGTTCTCCGAAAAAAATTTGATAGCATCAGAAGTCCTCCCATCAGAAGCCTCGAATACGCACAATTCTTTTTTTTTTTTTTTCTTTAAGAATTTTAGTAGAAGATAATTGTTACTCTATCTCTCTCCCAAATAGATTTTTCCATTTTCCATTTATTTATGTTCCAAAATACTTATATGTTAAAACTTTAAAAACACCTTTAACTGATTAAAAAAAAAATCAATTCTTTCTTCTTTACTAACAAAAAAATCAATCTATTTTAAACTTTCTCCTTCTATGTATAGATACTTGTAAAATTATTGGCATACATAAATTTGAAAAGTCACGTGTCGATTAGAATCGATATGTATGCATTTTCAAAATCTTAAATAAAACGAAGTATTTGGTTTCATGAAGAGAGATTTGAAAATCTTAAATGAAACGATGTGTTTGGTGTCACAAATCAACCAATATCGACGAATAAAGATTTGAGAATCTTAAATAAAACGATGCATTTGGTTTCACAAACCAACTAAAATCGATGAACAAAGATTTGAGAACCTTAAATGAAACGATGCGTTTGTCTCACAAACCAACCAATATCGACGAAACAGAGACTCCGTTTGGTTTCATAAACCAACTACCGTCGACGGATAGAGAGGGAGATAAAGTCCGATAATCGTTCTTGCTCAAATTAAAAATTTCGGATAGTTATCAATTGATAATGGCTTAAAAGAAGGAGAAGGAAGACAGACAATGTAGATTACTTTCATCATATTTTCTTTAGAATAGCTTTTACTTTCCTGCAAAGTAGATCGATAATGTTTATCTTGCTTTCCGAGTAACTTAGGATTTTCCATTTCAAGTATTATCAAATGGCATCATCCAAAACTCGTTTATGTAAGAGTTGTCTTTTTCGATTTATAATATTTATATCTCTGTTTGTCTCATCGAATATTTATTTCTTTTGATTAATAACATTCCCCTTTATCTTCATTTTTATCATTCAAATTGAACTACCATGTAAAAGTCATAGTGGCTTACTAAGCAACATTAAACCCTTTATTATTTCATCGCAAAATACTTGGTTACAAATTATTGTTTCTATCGAAGAAATGATCCGGGTTTTTGAAGGTGTGCCTTTAAAAGAAAAGGAGAAGCTAGGAAACCACACTCGGTGGATAGGCTATGGATAACAAAGAGGGATTACCTAAAAATGTGATAGACGAAGCTATAATGATGGTCGAAACAAGTTTGGTATCGAAATCAAGAGCCTATGAACCCGGAAAAGAGTGATACCTTTACCAATAGGAGACAAGACGTAGTGACGAAAGAACCAAACTCTAGCGTTTGACGGATGTTGTCGAAACGAATTGAAGAATTGCTCAATAAAATCTATGATATAACCATGGACATAGGTACTTAAATAAATCGACACCTACGGTTAATGTCAAATCGGTTTGAAAAAGACATTAGCAGGATGAAGGCTTTCATAGTCGAATCATTACAAAAGAGCATCGATATAGCTAATCACCATACTCGTCGAAATGGCAAAATGTATATGTTATCATAGCGACAGAGTGATTGCGGATGTGAATTACTTATTCGGTGAAACTATCGATCCATTGGCTAAATAAGTAGCCAAAGAGGTGGAAATTGCCATCAAACTAAGGTTTGACACAGCTACAAGTGCCACTCGATTGATGAGAGAAGATGTTAGACGCCTTTTAGTTCTCATAGAAGAAAAAGGGAAAGAGGTGATCGAAGATGGACATGGAGCATATCCTATCAAGCAACAGACATTCCTCTAGTGGTACCTACCTATTATCTCCAACAGAGCATTCGACAAGTAAAAGTGGTTAAGATTCATCGCAAAGTCCGCACGCACGGACCTATTATGGCTAAACTTATGGCGATCTCATTCAGCCATCTACTCAAATGCCTACATATCCATCCCGTACACCTCATGTTAGCCAAACTAATGGTTATTTAGCTCATATACCTCCCATTAGCCAAAATAATGGCTATTCCCCTCAAATACCCCCGATAACCCCGTTAGCCAAACTAATGGCTATTTGTCTCATGCATCACCTGTTAGCTAAACTAATGGCTATTCTCCTCAAGTATCATCCGGTAATCAAAATAATGGATACCATCTCAAATGCCCCTTGTGAACCAAGCTAACAATCATCCCACTTCAACGACAATACTATAGTCTAATTCCAAATATCCCTCCAAGACCTTCTAGTGATTTCCCATCACATAATTTACAAACATAGCTACATCAGTATAAAAAATTTGATGCCACAACCTAGCCTTGGGAATACTTATAGAGATATGAGTCGGGAAGCATTAGCCAATATGATTGAGAGAATGTATGGGTCTCGCATGCAAAGGATAAACCGACCGTTTATAGGAAACCATATCCCGATTATGTCGATCAAGAATATCTTTGCCTAATAGGATTCAAGGCTCTCGAATTCATATTATTCTCTCGGTGAAGATAATGTTTCGTTTTAGAACATGTCTTCAAGTTCACCTTTCGGTGTGGGGAATTGTTAGGAGAAGATTTTTTGAAGCTTTGTCTTTTGCTTAGTTCTCCGATCGTTCGTCGCTTTCATATAGTATATTAATTTGTTAATACGATCTTGAGAGCTCGTTTTCTTGGACGTTAGGTCTACGTTGTTTGCTCCAAAGGCTAAAGATTGGCCGAAAGGTACAAATAAGTGATAGCCATGACATCTAACAAAGTCATTGACATATGACCTTTTGAAAATTGGAATTGGTTGATACAGGGGTTCCGAAAAGAAACTAAAGCCGTGACCAAACTAGGATTAGGAAAATATTGATGAGTCGACAACATGATGGCTTCATGAATCCTCATCGTTGCTCATTTTTACCCAACTAAGGAAGAAGCCTCTTATTCACCCAAGCCTCGTACTTGGCATCCGATTTTGGCCAAGTCCCTAGAAATGTTTTGGCGATCCGGGTCTATTTTTGGAGGTTGAAATAAAATATAGGTTCAAAAATTATACCAAGCATCGGTAGTTCTTGGGTTAGTTGAATCGATCATCTCCGATAGAGGCATTTTATCATCATTGACTGTAGGTCTTAGGGTTAGATAAGGACTCCTCTAAGGGTTTTTCTTAAATTCTATTGGGACGTTGACAACTTGGTTGTTAGTAATGGTTTGAATAAGGTGAGTATTCGATCGTATTGGGTCAAACAAAAAGCTCCTATAATCTATGACAATCGGTTAAAGGAGATACTTTCGTGTACACGAGCTTCTTAACATATTTTGGCTTTTCTTAGGAGCCATTTTAATGAAATGGAATGAAATTTCAAAGCAAAGAAAATGTTTGAAAAAAGATAGGAAGATTTTTAAAAAAATTTTACAGAAAGGAAGAAAAATCATAAAGAGTACAAAATTATAGAGTCGATTTTATTTTATATCACATACATTCAAAAATCATGATGATTTCACTTTTCAACTCAATGGTTTAGATTTAGAAAAATGAAATGTCGGATTGCTGCATAAAGTAGCTCCCTTTAAAAAGATGGGAAGTCGCATGATCTCATCAGGTCTTATGAGCATTTAATGATCTCGTCCATTAGAAAAGAAACTCATTGTTTCATCTCCAAAGGACTAAAAGGGGACATGTATTGGCATACATAAATTTTAAAAGCTACGTGTCGATTGGAATCGATATGTATACATTCTCGTAATCTTAAATGAAATGATACGTTTGGTTTCACAAATCAACCAATATCGATGAATAGAGATTTAAGAATCTTAAATGAAATGATACGTTTGATTTCATAAACTAACCAATATCGATGAATAAAGATTTAAGAATCTTAAATGAAACGATATGTTTGGTTTCAAAAACTAACCAATATCGATAAATAGAGATTTAAGAATCTTAAATGAAATAATGTGTTTGATTTCAAAAACCAATCAAAATTGAGAAACAAAGATTTGAGAACCTTGAATAAAATAATACATTTGGTCTCACAAACCAACCAATATCTACGAAACAGAGATTCTGTTTGGTTCCATAAACCAACTAATGTCAACATACGAGAGGGAGATAAAACCCGATAATCGTTCATGCTCAAATTAAAAATTTTAAAAATTTATCAATTGATAATGGTTTAAAAGAAAAAGAAGGAAGATAGATAAAAGGCACAACAAGATTGCTCGAAGATTACTTTCATCTTATTTTTTTAGAATCGCCTTTACTTTTCCGCAAAGTAGATAGATGATGTTTATCTTGCTTTTCGGTAACTTAGGATTTTTCATTTCAAGTATTATCAAATGGCATCATCCAAAACTGTTGATCTAAGTGTTGTATTTTCCGATTTATAATATTTATATCTCAATTTGTCTCATCGAATGATTATTTCTTTTGATTAACAACGTTCTCCTTTATCTTCATTTTTATCATTCAAATTGAACTACTACGTAAAAGTCCTAATGGCTTACTAGACATCATTAAACCCTTAATTATTTCCTTACGAAATACTTGGTTATAAATTAAAGTGTCGATTTACTCTAAATTTAAGACCAAATTCGACGAACAACAACAAAAATAGAATTTTTAAAAGAAATTTTTTTGTACATGGAAAATATTCATTTTTTATGGATTTTACCGTATGCTAATATTTTGGGATATAAAATATTTTCATTAGTAATTTACTCTTTTATAATTAATTTAAATTTGTTTGTTAATTAACTTAATGAGTTTTCCTTTCATTTATCACCTTAAATTAGGATAGATTTTTTAAATTAGCATTAGTTGTATGTAATACATGATTAATTTTAATAAGTAATAATTATAATCGAAATAATATTATAGAAAAAAATATTGACATATTATAACAATTAAGAAGTCAAAAGGGGATAATCTTTTTGAAGTGTATATCTATAAAAGAAGAACAATAGAAAGCTAAATTATGATACGAGTTTGGTTGGAGGGGTCATTCTAGATAGCAACCAAGGTTATAAAAAAGTTATAGATGAAGATACATTAGTAATGGGTCAAGTTATAGGTTAGCCATATCCATTTTGGCATAGTACGGATGCGTGTGATTTAATACAGGATGGACCATCACCTTGAAAGATCCAATCTTCCTTTTAATGAAATCATAATCTTCATTCATGCTATATTCGAATTCTTCTTGTTCTCACCATTATATGATCGGTCTTTGCAACAATTGAGAGTTGACTTTAGGCATCCATTTTCTTGATAGGACCTTGTTAAGGGCGGACACATCTTCTCAATTGGCATATTGATACTCATATTTAACAACTTGTCTTTTGTAATGTTTTGTTTCATCAACTAATAATACACCAACGTATGTTAAAAGGAAAACATACTAGATGTTAAAACCTATCTCGCTGCTGAAAAGAAATGGTTGCGTTGGGGCAAATTGTCCGAACTTGTTCCATGTCCGGCCGTTGAGAATTAAAAAAGTCTTGAACTAATCTAGTGGCATCCGAAAGAAATTTGAAACCAAAAGGAAAATCCAAATGAACATGAAATCTAGTAAGATCTAGAAAGTCTTTAAAAGTTTCCATGTCGAGTAGTAAATGAAACATATGAAAATATATCGCCTAATAAGGTGGATTTTATAGCAGGAGCACGAAGACGAAGCCTTCAAACTATTAAGATTCATTTTAAGAGCAATCCCGTAAAAACAAAAAAGCAATAATCCAGGTTAATTGTTAATAGAAGACACAAAAACCAATAGTAAAATATAAAAAGTAAACTCACCAAGGACAAACAAAGATGAGGATGAGAATAAAACCTACGCTAGTCATAGTAGATGAGCATCACGGATAGTAGGAACAATACAAACGAAACCTAACTAGCGGAATGACTCGCTAACTTATGGCCAAACATGCTAGGGTCGTAGGAGGCTCTTGCCCCCACGTCCTCGAGGCAATGGAGGGTGCATACGCACCCGACGTATCTCGAAAACAAATCTTGATACGAGAAGCACCAAGAAACTAGAGTACGAAGAGTGCGTCCCCCCATCATCGAACGTTGTTAGAGGTGCGTCTCTAATTAATGATAAGCTAAACGACTCTCGACAATGGATATCTTGATTCTTGCATCAATGAAGAACGTAGCGAAATGTAACACTTGGTGTGAATTACGGAATCTCATGAACCATCAAGTTTTTGAATGCAAGTTTCGCTCGAGGCCTCATAGTTGAGGGCACGTCCGCTCGGGTGTCACGCATCGTTGTCGTTAAACCCCTCAACTAACAAGGGCGGAGAGTAGATACCGGTCTCCCATATGTGTTTTCGCTTATGGTTAGCCTAAAATCGAGTCTTTTGTGACGATTGCCAGGACGAATGGTGGATGAGAGAATCCTCGAAAGCGATCATGCGTATGCCCTGTTGCACTTTGGGATATCTAAGAGCCTCGAACATCATCGGCTTTTCTAGGATGGTCTCGCTACAACCCCGAGTCGAGCAGGATTACTCGTTGAGTTTAAGCATATCAATAAGCGAAGGAAAAGAAACTTACAAGGATTCCCTTAGTAACGATGAGCGAACCGGGAGATGCTTCGTTTGAGAATCAAGCTCCTGTGGCGTTTAAATTGTAGTCCGGAGAAGCATCCTCGGCGATGGACTTGTTGCGCCACGAGGTGTTGTCTTTGAGTCGGGTTGTTTAGGAACGCAACCCCAATCGAGCGATAAATTTCATCCAAGGGAAAATACGAGCGAAAGATCGATAGCAAACAAAAGTATCGCAAGGAAAATATGAAAGGGACTTTGAAAAGAAAGTCAAAAAGTGCTTGAAATTGTTGAGAGAGAAATGGATGGAGGCCGACGATGGGCCCCAATCGGATGTGGAATGATGCTAGCTCGATCGACAAAGCAATCCCGGGAAAACGAAGAAAGAATAATCCAGAGTTATTTGTTAATATCGGACATAAAAACCAACAAGTAAAATATAAAACGCAAATTCACCAAGGACAAACAAAGAAGAGGATAAGAATAAAACCCACATCGATCATAATAGATGAGCATCACGGATAGCGGGAACAATATAGATCGAAAAAACAATCCCAAGAAAACAAAAAAAAAGCAATAATTCAGAGTTAGTTGTTAATAGAAGACACAAAAACTAATAGTAAAATATAAAAAGCAAACTCACCAAGGACAAATAAAGATGAGGATGAGAATAAAACCCATACCAGTCATAGTAGATGAGTATCACGAGATAACGAGAACAATACAAACCGAAAAAGCAATCCTAAGAAAACAAAGAAAGCAATAATCCAGGTTAGTTGTTAATAAAAGGCATAAAAACCAATAGTAAAATATAAAAAACAAACTCACCAAGGACAAATAAAGTGAGGATGAGAATAAAACCCACTTCAGTCATAATAGATGAGCATCACAGATAGCGGGAACAATACAAACCAAAAGGAAAAAAAAAACGAGTTAGAACAGGCGATAAATGATGTGAAAACGAAGCTAAAAACACATGAGAAACAAAAAAAAAAAAAAAGAATTTTGATCGATGAATCCCTATGAGTAATTGTTATATCATCGAATGAGTAATTTTTTGGGACTGCACACATATTAGAAAGAGAGAAAATGTACTTTTTTTTTTAATTGCATACCTATGTGAGAGATAGATAAAGGAATTTCTATTGTGATGAATTGAAGATAAGATTTGATGATGTGGCAATAATTTATTGGTTGCTCAGATTATATTATCTCTTTTTAACTAATAAAATTTACAAAAAAGAAAAAAAAAGAGAAAGGAGGTAAAATCACAAATCCAGTGGCCATAAAAGGAAAAGATAGAGGATCTACGGCTGAGAGGCAAAAACAATAGGAACGAGTCTACAATAGATTTGAATGTGAACAAACAATGAATGAGTAGCAATAAGTCTAGTAGTTTTATTTTTTATTTTTTAAATCTGAACTGAATAATTTATTTAAGAGCCGTTTGTATTTTTACCTTCACTTCCATATATCACCCTTAAAAAGTCAACTAGACAACTACCTTTTTTTTTAAAAAAAAAACTTACTGTGTATTGATTTGAATAATTTATTCAAGAATTGTTTGTATCTTTACATATACTACATGAATACCTGTACATATTACCCTTAAAAAGTCAGTTCTTTTAACTTTCCTTGTATTGAACTGGATAGTTTATTCAAGAAACTTCTGTACTTTTACCTATAGCTATAGTCCATGGGCATTAAAAGTCAACTACCATCTCTTTGTTTTTATCCATTAACGGCAGGACACTCCGGCCCCAGCAATTAGACAAATGAACCCCGTAACCCTAGAAAGTTACTATATATATGTTGTCACTTTATGCCCTCGTTCACATGATTCCCAAATCAATCATGACAGAAGCCAGAAATGACTTGAAACACATTGCTGTGCTAGCATTCCCCTTTGCCACTCACGGCCCTCCACTTCTTAGTCTCGTTACAAGGCTATCTGCTACTGCTTCACATGCAAAGTTTTCATTCTTCAGCACAAAAGAATCCAATATCAAACTCTTCTCCAGTGATTTAGACAGGTTGGAAAACATAAAACCCTACAATGTTCAGGATGGCTTGCCGGAGAACTACATCTTTTCAGGGAATCTCGACGAAACAATAGATTATTTTCTTAAGGCGTCCCCGGGGAATTTTAAGCAAGCAATGGAAGTGGCGGTGAAAGAGGTAGGAATTGATTTTACGTGCATCATGAGTGATGCATTTCTTTGGTTTGCAGTGGATATGGCTCAGGGATTGCATGTCCCCTGGGTGCCCCTTTGGACCTCAGGGCCTCGTTCCCTCCTGTTGGTTCTTGAAATCGATTTAGTCCGCCAAAAAATGGGATGCACTATTAATGGTAAGGTTTCATATTTTCCAAGTTAAGTTGGTCATTAAGCATATATCCTAATATGCAAGACTTGTTATGAGTTTAATTTGGTTCCAATATCATGAGTTTTCTCTGATTGAAATATTTTCATGTTGCTAAATCTAGTAACTAATAACAATGTTAATTAATTCATTGTTTTTTATTATTTTTTTCCTCTGTTCTGATTTAAATTTTAAAATTGATAATGAAATTTGAAATATTACAAACTAGGTTCCTAAAAAGAAAGAGAGAGAGAGAGAGAAATACTACAAATCAAATTTTGTCAATTGTAGATAAGAGTTATGATTATTACGCTTTCAACAGTGCTTTGCTAGGTCAAAGTAGAATCTTTCGTAGAAGTAAATAAGGAAAAATAAAAGAAGCCACCGATAAGTACAATTTTCTGTTTCAAGACCCTAGCTATTCGATTGGTTTGAAGATGGTATATCATAAAATAAAAATTTCAATTCTCCAGAAGTATCCACCATTAGGTGGAACATTCGCTTACATTTTTTGCATGTTTGTTTGGACATATTTCTTTTCGGTAAAGTGGAGAACAGAGAACACGCATGTGATAGGAGAAGAAGAAAGAAAAATCACAACGAAGACACCAATTTTGGGAAAAATAAAATGAAAATTGGAATTGGATTTTCCTCAAACTAGACAAGATCTTGAGCGAGATTAGCTATCAAAGATTTTGAGCGAGAATGGCCCAAGCAAGATCATTATCCATTCATATCCTTTCTAGTCTGATAACTTGTTCATAATCTTATTGCAGAACCGAAGACAGAACAATTAGTTGACATTCTTCCAGGATTTTCTGAACTACGTGTTGCTGACATACCCAAGGAAATAAACTCGGACGGCGAGCAATCAGAATTCTCAGCAATGTTGCAGAAAATGGGATTAACATTACCACGGGCAGCTGCTGTTGCTTCAAACTCATTTGAAGAATTAGACCCTGATGCGGCGAATCTGTTCAAGTCAAGACTCCCCAAGTTTCTCTACGTTGGTCCCTTTGCTTTGGCGTCTCCAGATCCATTCACGTCTGATCCACTGGGTTGCCTGGAGTGGCTGGACAAGCAGAAACAAGGATCGGTGGTGTATATCAGTTTCGGAAGTGTGATAATGCTACCACACCAAGAGTTGGCGGAGATAGCAGAAGCTTTAGAGGAATGCATGTTGCCATTTCTTTGGTCGTTTAGAGGCAATCCTGAGGAAGAACTGCCGAAAGGGTTCTTAGAAAGGACTAAATATAAGGGAAAAGTAGTTTCATGGACTCCGCAGGTTAAAGTCTTGCAAAACAAAGCAACTGGAGTGTTTATGACCCATTGCGGGTGGAACTCGGTTTTGGAAAGTATTATTGGATGCGTGCCTATGATTTGTAGACCATTCTTTGGGGATCAAACAGTGAACACGAGGAATGTAGAAGCAGTATGGGGTACTGGTATCGGGATTGAAGGTGGAAGGATCACTAAAGAAGGAGTTACGAAAGCCTTGAAACTTATCTTGTCAACCGAAGAAGGTAACAAAATGAGAAAGAAACTTGAATACTTCCAAGGTCTTGCTTTGGATGCTGTGAAATCAAATGGTAGCTCTACCAAAAATTTCGAAACTCTGGTAGAGGTGATAACCAAGTAATGTGGGATGATACATTCCAAGAATTTGTGCTTTTGAGAGTACAATCTCAAGTATAATGTAGCATGTGGTTTGCAGTTATTAAAATGGATTTGATGTATGTTTCAGACGTGACTTTTATCTTACTGAAGTCATCTTTCGTCTGAAACCAGAAATCAAAATCTAGTAATAATAAATATTTGGCCTATATAGGTGCTTCAAGTTATTTTGTAGATGTCTTAATGAGAAGAATTTGAACAAAATTAAAATGCTGACCCAGTAAAAGAGTGCAAAATTAAAATGCTAAGTAATCAATTATCTGAAAGATTTCATTCTCTGAAAGCTCTGCTCGATAACGGGCGTCAGTCTGCTTATCGTTATTATAGAGGCCAAAAAGAAAACGTCAATCCTCGATCAACCAAGGATGAAAAATAAGCCTCCATTTGCAGCAGCAAAGCTGGCGAATTAATCACGCCACACTTGTTGAAAAGCGACTCTCTACTTTGAATGGTAGACTCACATTACAAGAAAACTAAAAAAACTAGCCACAGACTACAATCCATAGCTAAATAGCGAGTAAATAGATATCGAATATCATGTGTTTGATTTATGATGGAATAGAAATAGTTTGGAGATGGTTTATCAACGACATATGATATTTTATCACTATATGTAGTGCCAAAATCTTTTTGAGGTTTTTTAAAGATGGATTAGTGACATAATTGCCACGAAAATCAACGATGGATTACTATTCCGTGACTATTTTTTTTTATATTTTTTGTTTTAGAAACAACTATTCCGTCGTGAAAGATCTAAATCTATCACTAAATCTAAAAAAAATGACTTTTTGGAATTGAAAAGTAGCCTATTTGACGATAAAATAGCGACAAAAACTTAATTTTCGTCACTAAATAGCGACTAATCAATGATGAGAACATTTTTGTTGGTGGTTGTAAAAAAAAAGATGGCATCCTAAAATAAATAGCCGCCTATTTTATAAAAAATTAACGATCGACACTTATGTACTTTACAAAATAGTGATAGACTAGAGATGGGATCGCGTTCGTTGTTGGTCCGAATCCCTAATTAAACCCCCATTTCCCTTCTTCCAACTTCTCCTCTCCATTCCTTCTTCTCATTCTCTTCAAGTCCAAATTATGTAAGTTCTCTCTCTCTCTCTTTTGTTCATTAAAAGTTAGTTATTTTCATAATTGTTATGTTAATTTTAAATTTAATTGGTTGATATATAATTTTATATAGTTTTTAATTGTTAATTTTTTTATTAATTTGTTAAATTGTTATTTTTGTTAATTGTTAGGTTAATTTGTGAATTAATTGTTAGTTTGAGTTTAATTAATTAATTAGATTAATTCGATTTAGGTTTAATTAATTAATTAGGTTAAATTTGATTAATTGTTAATTTCTTGATTAATTTGTTAAATTGATATTTTTATTAATTGTTACGTTAATTTGATTTAGGCTTAATTAATTAATTAGGTTAATTTTTTTAATTGGCTAATTTGATTTAGGATTAATCAATTAATTAGGTTAAATTTGATTAATTGTTAATTTCTTGATTAATTTGTTAAATTGTTATTTTTTATTAATTGTTAGGTTAATTTGTTCATTAATTGTTAATTTGATTTAGGCTTAATTAATTAATTAGGTTAATTTTGTTTAATTGGTCGATTTGATTTAGGCTTAATTAATTAATTAGGTTAATTTTTTTAATTGGATGATTTGATTTAGGCTTAATTAATTAATTATGATGAATTTGATTAATTATTGATTTGATTTAGGTTTAATTAATTAATCATGTTAATTTTGAGTAATTGCTTGATTTGATTTAAGTTTAATTAATTAATTAGGTTAAATTTGATTAATTATTAATTTATTGATTAATTTTAAAAAATTTTATTTTATTTTAATTATCGAGTTAATTTGTTAATTGATTGTTAGTTTGATTTATATGGCTTTCCACTTATATGGATGAAGGCATTAGCAGATTTTTAATGATGCAAATTAAAGTCGATAGTAGCTTCTCACTTATGTCGATAAAGTAGTGGGTAGCTTTCTAACGATGCAAATCAAAGTCGACAATGGTTTTCCATTTGTATGGACGAAGTTGTTGACAACTTTCTAATCATGTGAATTGAAGTTGATGGTAGCTTCTTACTTGTATGGACGAAGTCGTTAGCGACTTCTTAACGATGTGAATCAAAGTCAACGGTGGCTTTCCACTTATGTAGATGAACTCGTTAATGGCTTTCTAATAATATGAATCAAAGTTGATGGTAGCTTTCCACTTGTGCAGCTGAAGTTGTCAACGACTTTCTAATGATGTGAATTAAAATCAATGACGACTTTTTATTTATATTAATGAAATCATCGGTGGCCTTCTAATGATGTGAATTGAAATCGTCGACGAGTTTCCTATTTTTGTAGATGAAGTCATTGGTGGCTTCTCAATTACACACATCTTCTTTAAGCCTCGTTTCCATGCACTCCTTTAAGTCATATCATCATGCATCTATTTTAAACCATGTACCATGTTACCATGCATATCTTCAAGTCGTATCATTGTGTATCCCATTTAAGCTATGTTGCCATACACCCCTTTAAATTGTATCGTCATGCTTCTTCTTTAAGCCATGTTATCATACATATTTTTAAGTTGTGTCATCATACATTTCTTTTGAATCATATTGTCATGCATATCTTTAAGTTCGTGTCATCAAGTATTCCTTTTAAGTCATGTTGTCGAGTATCCTTTTTAGCCATGTCCCAAGCACCTCCTTTTTAACCACATCCCGAGACATCCTTTTTAGTTGCGTTCTAACTCATCCTTCTTAGCCGCGTCTTAACATATCACTTTAAGCCATATCCAGGGTGCCCTTTTAAGCCATGTCTTTGTTTACCTCTTTAAGTCGTGTCTACACATATTTTTAAATTGTGTCCTTACACATCTCTTTAAGTCGTGCCTCTTGCACTTTCTTTTCATCCTATCATCCTGTTTTTATTTTTTTTACTTTAATACCTATCCCGAGTAAGATAAATTCATTCAAATATGCATAGATTCATAATATATTAAGACTAGATTTTTAGTTTTACATGTATGTAATGTTGCCGAGCCTCAAATAGGACATAATAGTGGTGAACTCAATCTTTTCTACTTGTAACCAATCTCTTATCTAGATTTATACATAGATCAATAATTTTTGGGTTTTCTAATTTTCTCGATGCTAAGTGGCGACTTCTTTCTTAATTTCCTATCCTTTCTTACGAGCCTATTCGTCGGACCCTAGAAGTGGTATTTCGATCCCACAACAAGAATAATGAAATATGATTATATAAGAAAATTAGCATAGAATGTGATTTGCATTTATATGGTTATTAAGAGGATAATATGGCCAACATGATGTAAGCATTCACAAGAGAAAAAGAAACATAAATATAGAGAACCTTGGCCAACTATATAAAGATTTTTACGAGTAAACTTAATGGTCAATATAGAGTAGATCCTTATAGTTAATACAAAGATAGAGTACCCGGAGCGATGCTTGACATTTCTAGTTATAATTAATAAAATGAGTATTGCATATGTATAACTTATGTATTTATATGCTCTTAATCATCATTGGATATGTTTTCAAGAACGAAAATAATTATTAAGTTGATGTGAAATGTGTGATATGTTTGAACTTAGAAATTTCTATAATGGTTTCATCACTAAGTGATGGCTCACCGAGAAATGTATGTTTTGCTTTCAAATAGTTAGAAGTTAGAAGTTTTAAACTACTTTTGAAAGCTTATATATAGTACGATGAGTCAAAGGTGGAGAAGTCACAATCACTCTCCATCTCCTCACTACTTGTATAGAGAGTTAAAAGAAGAGTGTTTGTTTTTGACTCGTTATGTATAGTATGCTAGTACTCTAATGCATAGTTTGTATATTCAAAAGCAAATTTGTTATATATGAAATAGTTCATAATGACTTGTTTTGCATATGCTTATATGAAATACAAATGACAATGTGTTCTTTTCATATATATATATAGCTTTCTCTCTCTTTTTATATGATCAAACCCTTCTTCTTCTTTTGTAATTTTCTCTTTATAATGAAACTCCGTAAAACTCTTAATTTTTCAATAATTACTCACCTCCGTTATACCTCATCGACCACCATCACTATATTTCATAACCTCTCTCGCTTTTGTTCCCACCATCATCTCAATCATGCTCCTCACCATTAATAGATTCTCTCATCTATCTCTTTCGTATCTACCACCATCTCAATCTCTATTCTCCTACTCTTTCATATTATTTAAAATCATATATTTGCACGCATCCCTAATCTATCTTACCCTCTATTGTAGCCACATCCTCTAATCTCTCTCTTGCTTTTCCATTACTATCAATTGGATATTGATGATGTGAACTATGAATTGTACATTGAAATTCAATTTTATGACTAAAATTTGATTAGTGATGTTAATTGGGTACTTGATATTTACCTTAGTGTGGTCATTTTTCTATGTATTTTTTAGATTTGAATTCCTCTATGCTTTTTGATGAAATACGTTGTTAAGTGAGAATGTGCAATCCGAAGATGAAATTTTTGTTTGCAAAAAGGCCTGGAAGAGATTTGATTTTGTGGAATTCGATGATTGATGGGTATGTGAAATATGGGAGGATGAAGGATGCTTTGAGATTTTAAAATTTAGGTTTTAATTTCATAGAATTGGATGGTTGATTTCCAGTACAAGGTATCTAATGTTAGTTTTTTTATGTTGAATTTTGATTATAAATAAGGGATTGCTTGGTCTTATTAGTAATTTAAAAACAAGAGATTTGAGGAGCATGTATCTACTTAATAGCTTATTCTTGAGCACTTGAACCAAAACTCAAGCCTCATTATTAGACTTGTTTAAGAAATAAAAAAGAAAAAAGGCTAGAGTGTCCTCAATAGTGGATATGTTGGTGTATGGTAGAAGAAGAGTTATTTTAAAGATATTTGTAATTTTTTTAAAGAATAAGGACGATATCCCGGAATATCATAGATGATACATGGGAAAAAAACAAGAGGGACAAACCGAGTTTAACCTAACATACTCGGAGGACAAAGAAGCCTAAACCCTAAAAAATTACTCGAAAGATCCCCGAAACATTACAAGAAAGTTTCATAAAATAAGGTTACAAGAAACTAAAAGAATGACAAGGAACTAAGAGCTATGAACTATATAAAGAACCAATCACAATAGTAACTATCTTACCAAATACCGATGCCCCGATACTCACTAGCAACTTACCGAGGATGAAAATTAAAAAGATAAAACTATCATATGAGATAGCAACTTTGCAATAGGTAAGCAAATCGAAACTAAGAAACTTATTTTACAAAAAGTATGCTAAAATGCCCAATCCGCAAAGCGATCCGTAGCCATGTTCCCTTTTTTAAATGAAAATAAAAGGACAATATCCGAGCAAAGGTAGTCCCAACACCTCTCGAGAATATAAGTTAACTACCAAGGGCACAAAGTAATGTAAGGAAGGCAACCCAAAATCAAAGAAGAATCTGCTTCCACTATGTCGAACTACATGTTAAGGTCACCGCAAATTCTAATGCCATCTAACATTGCTAGAGCTTTTTCTTTAGAGTTGGTTTTGAACCCATAAAACTTAAAGAAGGCCAACACTAAGTTATCCCTATCATCCCCGAAGATGCCTCCTCCACAACAAATATTGTTCCTTAAAGCTCTATCCGTATTAAGCTTAAACTTACCCATGGGAGGAAAACACCACTTAATCTAACACACCCTATTAGGTTTTACATTTTATAAACGAACGCTTAGAGTAAGCAAATAGATATCGTCATGAAAGCATGAACTTTTCTTTGGGCAAAATAAAAGAGAAAGATCATACAACCACTTAATGGCCTTTTGTTTAATATTTAGACCATTCATCACTTCATTATCGAACATAACTCTATTCTTAGCAATCCATATCTCCTAAATAATACGAGTTAAAAATAACTACGTGAGCAAATTATTTTTGAGAAAGTAGTTTACCTTTTGATAGCTAATCCATTACTAGATATGTCAAATTGTTCACAACGAAGTAGTGTCTAAAATGTTACCAAAATAGTTCCGCAAGTTCATTTGCAATCTCTCTATAGAGGAATAGGTAAGTGACAAATTCTTTCTTTGGTGAGTTATAGCATTGACATTTGAAAACCAAAGGGATACTATAAGATTTAATATTTATTTCAACAACTATTGTATTGTGTAAAACTTTACGGAAAAAAACTCTAATTTTTTAGGTAACCGGTTATTCCCCAAACTCTTCTACCACTCATATTTAGGAGTAATGACACAAATTGTAACATCCCCAATCCAGGACCTAATAAGTTGAGAATATTATCGTCATTAGCCACATTCAAAACGCAATGAATGTAAGCTAACAAGGCACTCGTGATCTTATTGTAACGTATGTAAGAATATTTTCATGGTAAAAATCTTTTAATGATGTTCGGATCCTATTTCTTACTTTAACTTCGCTATAAATTTTTTACGTTTATGTCGCGTTTATTTATCATAATATTTTATTTTATTTTATTTTGCATGTTTGCTAAATTTCTAATCATATCAATATGCATTGGATAATTTGAAGTAATTATACTATTACTATGATATTATTATTTTATTAGTACTAATTCAATTACACACCTTAACTATTTACATACATGATCGATTTCATATCAACTATTATGTGTAATGGATCTACCGGAAGCCAAACCCTCATTCAAGTTACATGCGTCCGATGCCTCCCTCGGTAGTCGGCTTCACGGAGAAGTGAGATATAGTATCTTATTTATCTACACCACAAGAAATTGTATGAGCTACAACCCGGTAAGTTAACGTATACATGTAGTGTACGTATATGTGTATGTATGGATAAAACACCGTTATGCATAATGAATCATTTTTCCTTATGTCATAAAACATTTCATAAACGATCTGAAAATCTTTTTTCTATCTTTAGACATGTCCCATTTAAGTACTTCGGGGTTTCCATCACATATGTCCGGTGAACCGGACCCATCCACGGAAGCGCCCTATCGAGTCTCTAAAAGTGCACGTCCGCACTTGACCGATCCTAAACCATTATCATCACGGTATGAAAAATCCATAAAGTCCTTTTCTTAAAACCTTGAAGTCATGAAAATCTTTTTCTTTAAAATCATTCCGATTGCTATCGGATAACCATGACATAAAATATATTTTCATGACTTAAAAAATTATTCATGAGCTAAGCATGCGTATGCAATTTGTAATGAACCGATAAGTCGTATGAATTCATATATGCTTACTTAAAATGGTTATGTAACCAAGTCATAAGAATTGATATAAAATTGGCCGAGCATAGCAAGCATAGATAACATCAATCCAATATAAACTAACACGACCATCATTGGCACATCAATCATCATAACCCAATTCTCATCATTAATCACATTCAAGCATAACCATTATTCATAACCTAATGCATTTATGTAGTATTTGAAAGAACATAATTATAACATAAAGGAAGATTAACATTTTTGTTCCATTTCTTTGTTCATTAAATTTATCTTTCACTTTACTTTTCTAAATTCTTTTTCTTAGGTTCTTAATTATCTTTCCATATTTGTTCTTTATCAAATTAAATATCATTTCATGTTCTAACCTAACTAGGTATTATTTCATTGATTTAGTAGGTTCAATTTTGGTTTGGGCCTTAATGGGCATAAGGCCCAATTTTTCATAACCCAATTTTTTAAAACAATTTTATGAGTTCTTTTCATTCCAAACCATCTTTTTACTGTGTTTTGAGTCTGAATCATCAAATTTAAGGTTTTAAACTTGGTTTAAACCTAATTCTCCAAAATTCCCATTTAGGCCTAAACTTGACCTCTTTAGAATCCTAACATTTTCTCCTCATTTTGTCCCACCAGTTTAACACTAAGTAGACTATATAAGTAAAAAATATAAGAATTAATTTAAATAAAATTTGAGACCCAAAATCTTGCCCAAACCTGTATTGGGCCTTTATGGGCCGAAATTGGACCCAAGGTCATAAAACCCATTTTCTTCAATTTTTAGCAAAATTTCCATTTCTACTCATCAAAACATGCTTGTTCAAGTGTAAATGACCCATCAAACTAGAATAAAATTGCTTTGAACTCAACCGCTAATTTGCTTAGTTTAGGCCAAATATAATTTCTAACAATTAGTAGATTTTTCTTCAATTAAAGTGTAATTTTTTATTTCTAAACATTAATTCATGCTCAAATAAGTCAGAATAAAGTGTCAAAACATCAATTGAATGAAAGAATTAAAAACCCCTAAATTTGGTTCATCGGCCATAACCCTAATTTTTCTTAATTGAGCAATTAAATCAAAATCAAGCAATTAAACATGAAATTGACTTGAAATTTAGCATTGTTGTGGTGTAGGTGAGGTTAAATTACTTGTTTGAGCTCTAATTAGACTCTAAAAAGGTAGATTGGTGAAGATTTCTCTTCCTCCTTTTTTCCTCTAAATATTTGAATTTGATCTTTGAATTTTTTCCTTGAGATTTTCAGCTTCCCACTTAAAATTCAAGCTTCTTTCACTCGATTTAAGGTAGATAGAATTTATTGAAAATATTTTGGATGGTTTTTAAGTGAAAATTTTGAAAGAGTTTCCTTTTTATTTTTTAATTTTTTCTCTCCTTTTTATTTTTTCAAAACCCCTATTTATATGAAATTTTGTGGAATCATTGACCTCATCTCCACCTTTAATGTGGTAAAATATCAGCCCTTAATTCAATTTTCAGTCATTCATTTTCATTTGTCCTAATTTTTATCTATTTATTCACCTTTTTATTTAACCCTTCCACCTTACTTATTTTTTTCCATAATTTTTACTAGAAGTCAGAAATAATTAATTTTATAGGTTGGCCAAATTTGGGAGGAAAATGATAAATTTGGGTCCTCCAAGTTTCTAGACTTTTCCATAGCCCATTCTTTCCTAAGTTCCTCTTTTATGCAAAAACTCACTTCTGATCCTTCCTTTTTAGTGTTTAGGACTAATTTTTAACCATTAACATTCTTACATAATTTAATTTGGATTATTAGAGTTTTAATTTTATGCAATTTAGTCCTTACTCTTAAAATTCCATTCTATACTTTTCAAAAATCAATTTTATTTCTAGAATAAATTCAAAAATTAATTAAGAGAGTTTTATTTAAATTTTCATAATTTTTTGACCTAATTTGAGCCTTCAATTTATTTATTTAGTGTGAAAATTGCACTTTTTCCTATAAAAAATATTCCCTATACTTACTAAAATTAATTTAAATTTTCTAGGCACTCTCACACATCCTATATATTATTCTACACTCTTAAAAAAATTCTCATACTCTTAATGTGCCTAATTAAATTCTTTACCTCTAAAAACACTATTCATACACTTAGAAAATTCAATGAAATATTCACCATATGTGGAAAAATTTATAAAATCATACAAATAATCTAACACCCTTCTAACAATTATTCTAAACAAAAAAAATATTTTTCATACACAAAAAACATGCTTTAATTAATTTCTCATGCAATAACTATTATTCATGTATCGAAAAATCACTAAAATATTCATTAAGTATGAAAAAATATTTTGACCCTTCTAAATATTCTT